TTTCAGATTTGAGTGCATTTATTTCAGCTTTAAGAGGCACAATTTCATTATTCACGATAGCCTGTATATCAGGTATTATCATATTTCGGACGCTGAGGGCAATGCGCTGAATGTCAAGGTCAGACAGACTGCATGAGGAAGGCTGAGTGCCGGGGGTTGAAGTCAGATGAGGTTGGGCAAGACCTTGAGAGAGGGGCAACATTGGCGATCCTTGGAAGCTGAGTTGCTGAGGAATATAGTTCATAGCCATGATTGGATTATGGTGTTTACAGTCCGTAGATAGATAGCTTCCGTTCAGTATAGTGTCACAATGAGATAAAGAATTATCGAGCTTATTTTTTTTTTGGTGATCTCGACTTTAACGACGACGTGGATTGGTGTGAGCGTTCTCTTTTACCAGTGTTAATTATAATGCTCATATTACATAGATAGTACACAAATAGTTACGTACACATTCACTAGATTGCACAGTACGCGCACTTGGTGAACCAGGGCACAGGTGAGTTGTTTATCGATCTATTAATAGGCTTCCGAAATCGAACGTACAGGTATTGTGGACATAACTGAAAGTCAATGAACTGTGACCAGAGAGCCGGTATACAAAATCTTGTAGTGACTTATATTATTAAATACATTTTTACCAACTTTCCTCCGTCAGGAAGCTCCCTCTGTGACTCATAGTTCCCCAGACACTGAAACTGGTGCAGAAATGTTGGAGAATTTTACATTTTCATCGGAGCTCTGTTGAGAGTGACCACTCTCCTTACTGGTCACGTGACACCTTTCCTATTCTGAAACTGGTATTACTGAATTGAATTCTCACTTTTCTTACTCTTTACCCTTTGTCCACTTTCCTGTCCATACTTGGTTAAAACAAATCATTTGGTATTTCTATTACTTATTTGAGTTTTATATGTCGAAATCGATGTTCACTTCCTGCTATTATTTTAATATATCAGTTTGCTGTATCTTGTACGTTTATTTTAACTGTAATCCAAAGTTTATTTACCGACTGGCATTACTGACAATATAGATGAAAACGTTAATCAATTATTAGTAATCCTAACAATCCTATTAGTCTATGTTTCTATCATTTCGCAGCCATTTAGCTAAAAAAACATGATGGAAGATTAAATGGAAACTTTAGAAAATCTCGTCAGGTCATGTGAATGCGGTCCATACAAAATGACTGCAAGATGATTGGCAAATATATAATTGAATTATGAAATGTTTTAATGAGTAATGTCCTTCCGTATTGTCCGGTATGTAGAAAAAATATTGTTGTTTTCCCCCTCCACACGGGTGTACCAATTTAAAGAAGATTTCAAGTCGTTCTCACGACATTTGTAGGTGGAAAGAACGAAAGTTCTAGGTCGCTAATTTGTCGATTTTAATTTCGTTTTTTTTTCACTCTACTTTTGTCGTTTTTTCGTGGCAAAATAAAGAAATGGCACAAATCATAGAGGCATAAAAAGAAAGACCAATCAAATCCTAAGTAACGAGGAAATCGAATAAGTAATCAGCATTCTACATGTGTTGTATAGATCGAAGAAAATCTAATAAGTAATGAGAAAGTCGAATAAGTAATGAAGGTTTCAAATAAGTAATCAACACTCTACATGTGTTGTATATGTCGAATACAGGAATTAAAACGTTTATTCATTCGTTTAAACTACTATTATTGTGTGTAGGTAATGTAAAAATCGAATAATTAATGAGGAAATCGAATAAGTAATGAGGAAATCGAATAAGTAATAAAGGTTTCGATTAAGTAATCAGCATTCTATATGTGTTGTATAGGTCGAATAAAGGAATTAAAACGTTTATTCATTCATTTAAAAATACTTTTATTGTGTGTAGGTAATGTAAAAATCGAATAAGTAATGAAGAAATCGAAAAAGTGATGAATACTTTATATGTGTTTCACAAGTCGAAATGGGAATAAAAACGGTTTATTCTTTCATTTAAAACTATCTCATTGTTGATAAGTGATAATAATTCGAAAACGTAATGAGAAAATCGAATAAGTAATGAGAAAGTCGAATAAGTAATGAAGGTTTCGAATAAGTAATCAGCATTCTACATGTGTTGTATATGTCGAAGAAAGGAATTAAAACATTTATGCATTCATTTAAAATGATCTTTATTGTCTATAAGTAATGAGGGGAGGAATAACGAAAAGGAACTGAATACATAATAGAAAGGAGGAACAATAGAATGGGCACGTTTGATAATTATTCAGAAGCATTTATAGTGTTATTACATAATGATTACATGAATAAATAATAGGTACTGAATTAGGAATGAAAGTGTTGAATTGGTAATTGAACAAGGAATAAGGAATAAGTAATCAACTGCACCGTCGAATAAGTAATGGAATAAAGAATAGGGAATAGGGAATCAACTTCACGGAGGTAAGTTTCATGATGCTAATTCCAATGCAACCAAAGCTAAGCTCATGACATCTGTACTGAGGAGTCATGGACCCTGACTTTACTTCACTTCACATTGCTTTTCAAAACGGTATGACTCATGTGTACTTCTTGCTGCAAGATCCTAGTTTAAATGCAGGCAAAATAAGGCTCCAGATAAAAATATTAACAAAGGACAGTAACTCTGTAATTAAGGGGTTGCGGGTCCTAACATTGGTACACTGCACATTGTCTTCGTATGATTAATGTATACACCAAATTTCATTACCCTAAGTGTAAAGAAAACATATGCTCTGGACAAGATATTTCAAAAAAGGAGATCGAGGGTCCTGTATTTGGTACACTGCACATCCCCTTATTACAACCAATGTATATAGTAAGTTTCATGAGAAGAGGGGAAAAGTTTAATGTGATAGATATAATTCTGAAAAAGAAGATACACTTGGAAAATATGTTATCCTAAAAAACAAGTACGATTGCATTTTTTGGGATGTCAGAAAATTAGTTACCTCGTATAAACACTGCTAATATAGAGCAAGCGTATAGAGAAGATCATTCCGCGGCACTTGTATCTTTAAAATTTAATGAATTGAATAAAAATAATGCTTATTACATTATTTAGAGTGTCTTACAGTAATGAAAAACTCATCACAGACATAAAAAAACAATATGCTGTCTCCATATAAAGCTTAGATAATATCGATAATATTTCAGATGATTTTATACAGTTTACAATAGATGGTCATTCTTTTGGAAACCTTACTAATGGAAATTTCACATTCTTCTTACAGGAAAAAAGAGCAAAATAAGAAAGAAACTTGTCTGAGAGAACAGATACAGTTATTAGAAGACCAGGAAAATGTAGACTTTGGAAAAATTAGCAGAAAAAAACATGAATTAGAAAAGATAACACAAAATAAACGTAAAGAAAGTGTTATTAGATAAGTGCAAAATAGGTGTATGAGGGAGAAAAGCCAACAACTTAATTTCTAAATCTTGAAAATAGTAATTTTACTTCCAAAATGATTCCAAAAATATAAAAAAGAAAATGGATAGATTATTATAAAACAAGAGGAAATTCTGGAAGAAGTCAAAATTTTAAACAAATATATATTATTGATAGAAATATAGTCAAATTAAACAATACAAAATCTCAACAATTAGAAGTTTATATAAGATAACTTGAGGCATCAATAACTTATAAAAAAAGTGATGAGAGCCCTGGATCGGATGGTTTGACCGTAGAATTTTAAACATGTCTCTGGCAGCAATTAGGAATCTATACAGTAAGATACGTTAATTTTGGATGTAATAAAGAACAATTGTCAGTTTCATAGAGACAGGGAATATAAACATATGTAAAGGTGATAAACTAAAGCATTATCTAAAAAAAAATGGAGAACTATTTCCCTTTTGAATGTTAAGCATAAAAGTACTTTGGGCTAATAAACCAATAGAATTTGAACTATTTTAGACAAATTTACATCTACAGATAAGGCTTGATTTATTTCGGGGAAATACAATGGGTAAAACACCAGTTTCCTTTACGATACCATGCACTTTGCAGTAGAAAATGATGTGGTAATATTTCTTCATTTTTCTTAATATTGAAAGAGGATCTAGACAATGACATCCTATTGCACAGTACATCTTTATCCTATGTGCAGAAATACTATCAGTCAGAATGAAAAATAAAGTTTAAACGGAATAAGTATTGATAACTACTATTGTCACAATATGCAGACAATACTTCAATAATTCTTGATGCTCATAAAACTCACTGAAGGAAACAATTAATGAACTTACAGCATTTGCAAAAATCTCTGGACTTGAAAATAATGTAGGAAAAACACAATAATATAAACTGTCAGATTATAATGTACAGTGTCATATTGTGGAATAGATTATAATGTACAGTGTCAAAAAGAAATTAACAGTCCATTTTGGGCAGACGTCTTTAAAGCGAGGATCAAGCTAGGGAGAAAAAACAATTTGTACAGAACTTATGTTTAAAATGCCAACCTGGCATAACACGTATCTTTTATCAAGCATGGTACAATAAAAGAATTTTCATATAAACTATCTATTTCACTGTATTATGTAATTCATGCCATACTTTCATTTTCATTAAGGATGTATTATCTTGATTTTCTTGATTCTGGGAAATTTCCATCCAAACTTAGCTGTCCTTCTGTGTAAAGAATCTGATGACTGGCGTTTACGTATAAACAGTTCGTTAGAATTTCATAGATTCAAAATTCTTCATCCTGAGATGGTTCATACAGTAATTTGGTCATTTTCAAAATGCCATTCAAATTTTTCGATGTAAAGGCACTTTTGAAGACGCAGTCGCCCATTGTTTACTTGACTGCAAAGAGCCAATATTAAAGTCTCTGCGAGATAATTTCTTTACTAGTTTTGTGTACAAATATCCAGTTGATGTGTATGTATCAGGTGGACAGAGATGTCCAGATAGCGGCTCTGTTGGGTGCTCCCAGTGTGGACATTTATGAATCATTTTCAGACGATTCATCTTTGTTTACATTTTTTAGGGAAGATCGTCTCATGTTTTCTGAAAAGGCCTACAACATGACTTTTCAGTAAAGGCTATCTCGTATCTAATGTTTGATGTGTTCTGTTAGAAATCTTCATTACTGATGGATTGGTTATTCACATTCATTGTTCAATATTTATATACATATATTCTTGCACTTTTTTTCTTTAATTTACACTTAAATTTATCATATTTATCATTGTAATTACTCTTCAATTTTTGGAGGAAATAAAGAAATGATGACGATGAAAGGAATGAAGAATTAGAATTTGAGGTATACACATCACATAATAGACAATTAGCCACTATGATCATGTGGAGAATTTCCAACTGTCTTGTGATATTCTTTTGTGATAACTTCAAAACATCCTTTGTTAGGGATGTGGTGTGGTGGTGTAATGGTTAAGCAGTTGTAGAATTACTTGGCTAGGCGATTAGATGCTGTAGTAAGTCAAAAGTTATCTTCCTTCGTAAGTTGTGTTACACGCACGCACGCACGCACGCACGCACGCACGCACGCACGCACGCACGCACACACACACACACACGCACACACACACACACACACACACACACACACATTTTAACACAAATATTGAACTAAGTCATTTAGCTCTTCATGTTACGACTGACATAATGGAGGCACATTACTATTGTGTGCCCTATCAGCCAGTAGGTATCCTAGCGCTATATCTAAGATCATTATTCTATCATCACAGTTTCAAGGTGCACAAAACTTAGTCATCAGTTTATATCAGTATTTAATTTCATGTGTAATACTACATTGTAGCTAGGCTGCTGTTACTGTTTTTCCTTTCTCAGGGTTAAAGGTTTAAGCTGTTTCAAATTTCATTCTATGTCTAACATCATATAATTGTTTTATCGATATTTTAGAAATCCGAATATTATCAAAGTGGGGCAAGCAAGTTCTTCCTAGTTTCAAACAGACATGACAGATGTAGGTTGGTTTTCAGGACACTAAAGCAAATGTTTTATCACGATGGCTGAAAATCTTCCGATATAAATCTTTTTTTTTGTTGAACATGTCATTCCAGATGGATTTCATTGTAATTCCCTGCTCAATAAGGAAATCATTTGAAATTTCTAACTTCCTCTCGGAACTAAGATCTGTGTAATAAAATCCAGGATATCCTTCAAGCAACATCCAAACTACTTCACAATATTCCTTGGTTGTATCAGCATAAACACCAGGACTGCCAGATGCACCATGATCAAATCTACAATGAAATAGAATTTTTTTCTTGTCTTGGACCCCATTGTATCCATTTACACCATAATGTAATTCGCTCCACTGCTTTGCTTGATGAAACATTTCATCAGTAAGTTCATATAGTTTTATATTTGGGTCTAACACTTGTGGATTTCCACCTGGATGGCCAATCATGTGACCTTTCATAGATGGCTGCACGTCACTAAAGTGCTCAAAAGGATCGGGAAGGAAAGAACTCTTTCTTTCAATGTCTTCTTCACTACTTATCTTCAAGATGATAAAATCCATATCCAGATTTTCATATTCAATTTCAGGTGCTAGTTTGAACAAAGTGTCACGGTTTGCAATATCTGCTTGCTGCTGATAACTAAACTGTATAGATAGATCTTTAACCTTGGTAGGATTCCCATATTCTGAAACATAAAAGAGAAAAAAATACCATGTGGATTACGAATGTTTGGCACAAATATGTAATTTGCCAAAGAATAAATGTATATTTGCATATTTTTTCTATGACAACATTTATATTAGAACAATATAAAGAAAATTTAGCAAATGGATGTCTCAAGGTTTATTGGGTGTTTTACAACATAGGAATCGTATCCGAAGAGTGGAGAAAAAGCTATGCCATTTTCGTATATAATTTTACTGTTAACATCTTGTTAGGTATGTTGTGGTGGTGTAATGTTTAAGCAGTTGTAGATGTAGTCAAAAGTTATCTTCCTTCGTCAATTGTATTACAATTCCATACACACAGATAAATATATATACACGTACCCTAATTCAAGGTGGCCTAATGAAATTCTCATTTGTCAAAAATCTAAAAAATTTGAAGATGAAAGGTCCAATATTCAAAGTTGCGTTTCACTTTTAAGTTATTCCTCACAAGAGATATTCTATTGAACCGTAAAGTTGAGGTTGCGTTTCTTTTTCCTTTTAGTATAGAAATGCTTATGTGGCATTAATGAATTATCACAAATCTCTACCCTACCCGGTTGACTTTAGGAAATTCTATTTAAGAGTGTGGAATAGGTTATACTGTGTTGCTAAGAAATATCACTTATTTGTTTGTTAATCACTTTCCTAACTTGTTATAAATGATCAATATACATTGCATTTTATAAAGCATCAGCCCTACATCCAAAACCTATTATGTCTACTTGTCGCAGTTAATTCGATATTCAAGGGCTAATTCCAAGTGTCATGCTTTTCGAGCAAGACGTCGGCTAATGAAAGGGTTTCGAGAGATGCACGCTAATGAAAACTATAGGGAAGTTGAATGGTCATAATAATTCCTTGTGTAATATAAAGACACATGTGTTAGATGCTATTTAGTATGCCTGGTCAACCAGATGTTGTTTACCCTGTTCCTATTTTGGAACGTGGCATTACTTGGATTAAGCAGGATTTACACTCTTACTCCTCGAACTAGTGTGTGCTGACATGCTTTTGTTCTTGGGCAAAAGACTCTATGGTTTAAAATGGGCCCTTGTATATTGTCTGATGTTATACCAAGCAAGCAAACAAACAAACCTATTTCATTCAGAATTAAACTTTAAGGCAATCTTTACCTCACACAAGGTACACAGGATTGTATACTAGTTTCATGTTTAGTTATGAATACAAATAATAAACTGAAGTTGGAAAGCGAAGGCGTAACATAAATGCTGTTCATGAAACTGACGATTCGATTCCCTCATTGACATTTGAGCACAATGCGTTCTGAATACAACTGTGTGCCCAAATATCCTTGCCAAGAGAGATGACAATAGTAATTTCAAGAGATGAAGACAATGAAAGCAATAAAAAAAAAATTGTGAAAAGCTCACCGAACTTTTATTCATTTTTGTCAAATAGTGTCTAAAACTGGACTACGTTAATGTACTTTGAAAACATCTCAAACTGCATTAAATATTGGAGCAAATCAATGCACCTTGAAAACGTTTTTCAGAGTGACTCATTTTGTGCATTTTCATGTTTCCGATTCATGTCACGTTGAAAAATACGCATAGTCGACATATGTTACAACATTCTTTCAAAAAAGTTAGCACTTTGATTTACTTTTTTGAATTGCGTTAAATTCGGGACAAGCTCAACGCACTCTTAAAAAGAAGTCAAGATCGCCCCGAGTCAACATATTTTCAACGAGAAGTCAAAATTGAGTTAAAAAGGAAAAAAACACCCTACTTTGAAATAATGTTAAATGACAACTCTTTTATATTTCTTCTGACTTCTATTTGGTTTCCCAAAACGGATCCGACATTTGATGTTTCTTATAATTATTGAATACCTCTATTTGTTGCCGTAGATTCACTGAAATGCAAATATTGATCAATTCTGATGAAATTTGGTATGTATGTGCATTATTAGAAAACGGAGACTTACTTCATTTCCATTTCAACAAAATAACCATCTTATCATTCAAAGACCTTGTATTGGTTAACATCTAAATATTCTACGATTTCAATGAAAATGTTGGAATGTGTATCCTGATGCAATACAATAGACGTCACTTTCGGGCCGCTTATTAATCTCTTACTGGAAATAATGATGGTTACATTTGACTGGCTTTTCCTACAACGAAATCAACATGGACAGCTTTCCACCAAGTTGTATGATAAATGTGATTTCAATTTCCCTATTGAGAATTTTCCATTTCTGAATTGCAATATCCCTGCATCTCCAACCTTTGGTGTTTACATGTCACGGTTGATTCGATATTCAAGGGCCTGTTCCCATTATAACGATTTTCGTGCAAGAAGTCGTCAACTGACTGACAAACTCGTAACATAAGGGTTCAAAAGATGCAGGTTGATATAATTATGGTATAATTAAGTTTTATGGTCGCCATAGTGAACTCATTTAGAACTATTCTATTTCTTTGTGTGACATGAAGCTTTCGGAACACCTGGTCTTATTCTCTATCTATTTTGTTTAGTAGTATCCGTGTAAAACTTTCTTTTTTTTCATATCCTGCCCTAATTTTATGAAATTTGAGTTTAGATTATGATTCTGTTGCCATGTTGATATTTTCGTGATGTTTTTTTCTTTACCCCCTTGGCAGAAACTAAACATTACCAATAATACTGTTGAGGCCAGCCCAAAATCAAGAGGATCAACGGGTCTGCATCACTCACCTAGTACACTTCTCACATCAATAACCTTGTAAATAGGCTAAAATAACGCTAAAAACAAAATTTTCTCGGACTCGTATACGTACGTCTCTATCCGTCAATGACCAAATACAACCATCCTGCATATTTCTTTTGATATTCAGAAGTTGTTTTAGAATTGTCAGACATAGTTGATCTTTGCGTCCTTGGATATAGAAGAAAGTTATTCATTTGAACAAACTTTGTTTCCCTTTATCCCAGCATGCTATTAGTCAAATATGATCACCATAGGTCTTTTGGTTATTCAGACGAATTTGTTTAAAGATTGTAATATATTTATCATGTGTGACCTTAAAAATGGACGGAGGTCATTCTTTTGAACAAAGTTGTTAGTTCTTGTTCCAGAAGGAGAAATATAGTTAATTGTAAGAACAAAATGCATAGTTTCTTAAGTAACTTTATATCATTCAAGTTTACAAAATGTTTATGTTTTTGGGATAAAACCATTTAAAAAAAATAACTTCATATATAAGCTTATACACAGTGAAATACAGACATGGAACTACATATACATAGAGCACTACTGGCTTCGAATTTGTAATGTTGCCTTAAACATAAATTATTTTCTCATATTGCACAAGCAAAGGACGAAGGTTTGGTTAAAATACTAGAGATATAGATGTATGAAACAAGCATTTAACACTGACAAGTTATTAAACAAATGAGTCACAAAAACAAGAGATCTTAAAACCATATTTATAATATCAAATGTAAGAATCCCCTTCTTTAAAACAAGAGGTCCTATATAGCTTTTACTACTCACCTGGTTTTGTTTAATTCAAACTAAGGGTCAGAAAATTTGCTATATATCCCCTAAATGGTCCCATCCTTTCCGACAGAGGAGGCTAACACCAAACATTTCTTTAAACCCTATTCCTTTTTACCAAAGGATGCCTCATATCACATTGTTATAATAAATCTTTCCTGCAAACGTATAAGAATTTTCATGTAAGAATAATTTCCCTCTTTTGGGTCAAGCTCCCTTAAACAAATATTTCAACATGATGTTCCAATCAGCATCATCTTAAATATACACGAAAACAATAGCAGTTTACATACCAGTAAACGATAAAATGAAAAATTATCTTTAATTGTATGACATTGTTATAACTGTGTTGAGTTTGTTCAATTTTTAAGGCAATTTGAAATAATTTTTTAAAGTGCGTTGACAAGGTCAATATTTTGACGCAATTAGAAATAGAAATCTTAAGTGCTTTGAGCTTATTCGAAAGTTAACGCGTTAGTGCGTAATGATTTCAAAGAGCTTTGTAACAATGTATTGGTCACCTGAGATGATTGATATTTATATGATATAGATTGTGGCGGTAGTATAAAAGCATACAGAGAAAGAGCTGTGTGAAATAAGTATCCTATGCATCTTTATTTAGGAAATGGAACGTGAGGATATGTTAGTGTCCATTTCTTATATGAAGTGTGCTACATACTCCTACACACCCCTGGTATATACCTTTACACAAATGTTTATGTACACCAACATTCTCATTTGCAAAGCTATCATCACCCAATAATATCATCCATGCAAGAAATCAGCATTCTAAATCCAATATCAACTAAATGACAACGCACTATACAGAAATGCAAAAAATAAACGCTGAATAAAACGAAAAAAATTGTTTGGGGTAAACAAGTAAAAAAAAAGCAAAAACTATAAGTGAAATGGTACTGTCCAACGAAGGTGTTGACCAAACTGCATGTCTTCTAGATGCTCGGAAAATGGCAGTTTCTCCAAATATGAAAGTTATACCCCCTCCAACTTCATGGATGGGGTAAAAATATAAGCCACGAGTCATATCTGCTGGAGGTATGTACACGGTACTTACTGGCATCTTTGACCACGTGAGCTGCTGTCATCACTAGGTTTTCCTTTAGAAGGAAACCAGTACCCTGTAAATTTCCTGGCCCACGGATGATACCAACTGACTTTTGAGCTTTGGCCAACATATCAACAGCACGGGTTGGTAGATTGTCATCATCTGCTTTCCTGAATTTATCTCCACCTCCCAACTTCTGTACTCCTGTAATAATTCAGATTTCATTCACAAATCTTTAAATCAGGACCAATCATCTGTGTAGCAGTGCAACTGAATGGCACAGTACATACAACGCACATAAAAGGGAGAGAGCAGTTCATTATATTTACCAACATAAATAATTTCCAGTATTATTGAAACCCATATTGAAATAATGATCAAAATTGAAATATTATTTCAATAGTGAAAAACATTATTGCAATAGTGGTCGCAGATTCAATTGAAATACGGCTACATTTGAAATAATGTCAACTCTATTGAAGTATTTTTTTTCAATAGTCAACGTGGCATGCGACATCGCCGTTTTTGGTTCGACAACTGTAGAAGTAATTTCGTTCAAATACACCCGAGATTGTTGAAATAGCCTACAATTGTTCAGTTTCATTGCAAAATCCTGAGTATATTCTTGCCATTTAAAAAAAATAGGTATAACCAGGCCTGGAATCGAACCGGCACAAATCTGAGAACGTGAAACTGGGTTTTCTAATTGCTTGTTGTTGTAATGTTGCTTAACGTCACACTAGCAATTTTTCATCTATTCGCGATGAGAACTATTTTGTTATCCTGCTTGATCTCAGTTGTTTGTATTTAGTTGCAATGACATAAGAATGCAGAAAGCATTTTGATTCACACAACGGCGCGTTTTTTGTTCGTGTGTAGAAGCCCAACTGATTTTTATCAGTCAATTCCCTGCGCTCTTCAAAATAATTTGTCGCAAACTGTTCAAAACATATATGGTGACTAACACTTCTCAAGTAGGGATTCCCGCCCTTTGGGTGCGAAACTTGTCAGATACTATAGGAGAGCGGTTTACCCCTATTTCCTCCTTGAAAAAACGGCATGTCCATAGATAACTTTGTGTGTCGACATTAAATACCTATGCTCGGATTCAAAGGAGGTGTGTTCAGTATCACTATAATGGGGTAGTAGTGTCTAACTGCAGCACATTGCTCCAGTGAACTGGGACTCAAGAAGTCTGCAGGATTTTCGCTCCAGTACAAGCGGTCCATAAGCACCCATTACACACAGCATATATTATGCATTCCGTCCGCAAATGACAATAATTGTAACGTGTACATTAAGCCCGTTACCGCCACCTCGATCAGGTCACAATGGTACACTCCATTACAACCTGGGGTGTATTTGAATGAAAATTATTTCAACAGTGGTTGAACCAATACAGCGATATCGCATGCTGCGTTCACTATTTAAATAACATTTCAATACAGCTGACATTATTACAATAGTATCCATGATTGAATTGAATCTGCAACCACCAATGAAGTATTTTTTTTCAATAGTGAACATTATTTCAATAGAGGCATCAACACAGCATACAAATGTATATTTTGTTACATTAAGCAACTTCAATAACATACTTTGACATGCTTTTCGCAAATATGAATTATTTAAGTACATGTAAGCATCACCAATAATGCATACCTGACTTATCTTTGCGTTTAGGAGATGGTGGCTTCTTTGGCACTGGTACAGTGATGTTGTTGTATGTAGTCTTCCTATGATTATGTATGATGTTAATCGACTCTACATATTCTATCACTTGAACACCTATTAATATCAAAGTATACATAATTGCAGAATTATGTGTTATGTCTAATGAAATTCTGTGTTCAACAGAAGGGGGGTTAGAGTTGGAGGGTTGGTTAGTTGGAGGGGGGGGGGGGTGGTGCAGGAGGAGGAGGAGGACATCGTTAATGACGGTCATCTGGTGGCCTTAACCCTTATCAAACTTCAGAAAATTGTGTTCTCTTGGAGACATTTTCAATAACAAAATCACCAATGATCAACATAAAGATATACAAGAATAATGCCTACCTTTTGCGGAGATTTCTTGGTCACTAATAGCATCCTCCTGAAAAACGATGTTTTTATAAGCCATGAATTATGTATAACGGTAGTATAAAATAAATCATATACTAGTATTCAAAATGTCTTGTAAACTGATGTGGTAGATAATATGTACAAGGGGTAAAGACAGTTATTAGCAGCATTCAAGAACTATGTTTGTCCTGTAGTTAATTTCCATGTAACAAATGAATGTCCTGAGAATGAATTTTAAGTTGTTTTTTCACATAGTGAGAGTTCTGTACAAATGACATTCATATATTGTTTCTAAATATTGTTGACATTCACAAAATGCTTATAAACATAACTGACTTTCACAAATTGCTTCTAAACATAGTTGACATTCACATATTGATTCTAAACATAGTTGACATTCACATATTGTTTCTAAACATAGCTGAAATTCAAATACTGTTTGTAAACAATGCTGACATTCATACATTGCTTCTAAACGAAGTTGACATTCACATATAATTTAACCGAAGTTGACATGCACATATTGTTTCTAAACATAGTTGACATTCACAAATTGTTTTTCACCGAAGTTGACATTCATACATTGTTTCTAATCGAAGCTGACATTCACATATTGTTTCTTAACATAGCTGACATTCACATATTGCTTCTAAACGTAGTTGACATTCACATATTGTTTCTTAACTTAGCTGACATTCACATATTGCTTCTAAACGTAGTTGACATTCACATATCATTTCTAAACGAAGTTGACATTCATATATTGTTTTAACCGAAGTTGACATTCACATACCATTTCTAAACGAAGTTGACATTCACATTGTTTCTTAACGAAGTTGACATTCACATATTGTTTCTAAACATAGCTGACATTCACATATTGTTTCTAAACGAAATTGACATTCACATATTGCTTCTAAACATAGTTGACATTCATATATTGTTTCAAATTGTAGATGACATTCACATATTGTTTCTAAACGTAGTTGACATTCACATATTGTTTCTAAGCATAATTGACATTAACATTTGGTTCTTAACAATGCTGACATTCATACATTGTTTCTAAATGAAGTTGACATTCACATATCAATTCTAAACGAAGATGACATTCACATATTGCCTTTAAACGAAAATGGCATTCACATATTGCCTCTAAACGAAGTTGACATTCACATTGTTTCTTAACGAAGTTGACATTCACATATTGTTTCGAAACATAGCTGACATTCACATATTGTTTCTAAAGGAAGTTGACATTCACGTATTGTTTGTAAACGAAACTGACATTCATACATTGTTTCAAATTGTAGATGACATTCACATATTGTTTCTTAACATAGCTGACATTCACATATTGTTTCTAAACGAAGTTGACATTCACATACCATTTCTAAACGAAGTTGACATTCATATATTGTTTCTAAACAATGCTGACATTCATCCATTGATTCTAAACGAAGTTGACATTCACATATTTTTTTTAACCGAAGTTGACATGCACATATTGTTTCTAAACATAGTTGACATTCACATATTGTTTCTAAACGAAGTTGACATTCACATATTGTTTCTAAACGAAACTGACATTCATATATTGTTTCAAATTGTAGATGACATTCACATATTGTTTCTAAACGTAGTTGACATTCACATATTGTTTCTAAGCATAGTTGACATTCACATTTGGTTCTTAACAATGCTGACATTCATACATTGTTTCTAAATGAAGTTGACATTCACATATCAATTCTAAACGAAGATGACATTCACATATTGCCTTTAAACGAAAATGGCATTCACATATTGCCTCTAAACGAAGTTGACATTCATATTGTTTATTAACGAAGTTGACATTCACATATTGTTTCTAAACATAGCTGACATTCACATATTGTTTCTAAACGAAATTGACATTCACATATTGTTTCTAAACATAGTTGACATTTACATATTTTTATAAACGTAAATGACATTCACACATTGTTTCAAATTGTAGATGACATTCACATATTGTTTCTAAACATAGTTGACATTCACATATTGTTTCTAAGCATAGTTGACATTCACATATTGTTTCTAAACGAAGTTGACATTCATATATTGACATTCACATATTGTTTCTAAACATAGCTGACATTCACATATTGTCTTTAACCGAAGATGACATTCACATATCATTTCTAAACATAGTTGATATTCTCATATCGTTTGTAAACGAAACTGACATTCATACATTGTTTCAAATTGTAGATGACATTCACATATTGTTTCTAAACATAGTTGACATTCACATATTGTTTCTAAGCATAGTTGACATTCACATTTGGTTCTAAACAATGCTGACATTCATACATTGCCTCTAAACGAAGTTGACATTCATATATTGTTTCTTAACGAAGCTGACATTCACATATTGTTTCTAAACATAGCTGACATTCACATCTTGTTTCTTAACAAAGATGACATTCATACATTGTTTCTAAACGAAATTGACATTCACATATTGTTTCTAAACATAGTTGACATTTACATATTGTTTATAAACGAAACTGACATTAATACATTGTTTCAAATTGTAGATGACTTTCACATCTTGTTTCTTAACGAAGATGACATTCATACATTGTTTCTAAACGAAATTGACATTCACATATTGTTTCTAAACATTGCTGACATTCATATGTTTCTTCTAAAATAGTTAACATTCACATATTGCTTGGAAACGTAGCTGACATTCATATTTTGCCTCTAAACGTAGCTGACATTCATATTATGTCGTTTTAATGTAGCTTCTTGACATCCGGTATCTAGCACTTTGATATCAGTTATTTAGTTATTTTAAAATAAGTCTGTAGTTTTCCACATGTCTACTTTTAATTAACTAATTCCTCCTCTTACCTGTCTGTGCTTTTCTCTGGGATTTGTTACATCAGGACCTTATAAAAAATGTCAGAAGAAAATTGTTTACTAATCACCAAAGGGCTGCATAGGCATGAGGTATTGTTCTAGTATCTACACAGACAAAATGTGATATCACTACTTTTGTTGTTAATATATAGAGCTCACACTGTCAGTGTCTTAAAATATAAGCTGTATTAATTTAAATGTGATGGAAGAAAGAGATGGCGAATCTTTGACGAGTGGCTGGTCAGTTTTGTTTTTCTGTACCGAGCCATAATGAACATTATACTTAAAACAATGGCCTTGTAATTTATCAACAAACGAGCATTATGTATATGAATATTTTTTTTGTATTTTTATGTACCTTTTTACAAAATAAACTTAAAACAATTCTGTAACACTGTTTGAAAATTCAGACTATCAAAAACTTTAACAGTTTCAGGAACATCATCACCAATGTTGTCGTATTCATTCACGAGAAAGATGTTTGAAGTCTCCTACATGTACCTTTACACTACATCTTGCATGAAGTGATGTCATAACTGAATTACGTCTAATACCCTATTGTCATTCTGATGTACATAGATGTACTTAGAAATGAGTTTTTTATATGCAAATTTGACACAATATGAATTTTTGTATGCAATTTATGAGATAATAATTAATGTACAATAAAACGTTTGTTACCCCAGTATGTAGAAATCAATCTATCTCAGTCTGACATTATGTAACATCTCATATTTCCAATGATATTTTAAACAATGATGTCAGCCCTCGATGGAGATCAATTATTCTTTAGGACTAACAATTAAGCAAGCTTTTTAAAATGACGGCCATTTTAAATGCAGCTTTAGCATTTTATGTAGGACCACTCTTGATCAGGATCAACATGTTCCTATAGGCTTGTCTCTAAACAATAGAGCTAAAACAAACATCAACACCACATCAATACCAGATAATGTAGACTCTTCCACGGATGCTTTTCTTTGTCTAGCAGTGATTGCCAGCTCCCCAGACGAGGATGTTTGATCTTCATGAGGAATTGACTGTTTATATTTCTCCTCCTGTTTACTACAGCAAGAAAAACCACATGTGCGCATCTTGCTTCCACTCGTTCCCATGGTGTTGGCTATTTGAAGTATCCTCCCACTTTGGAGAGCAAACAAAATGTGTTGATTCTTGTTTAAAAAAGTCTGTGTTTTTCTGTTTTTGTAAATAATATTTTGCTTCTTTCATCACTCTGAAATGAAATTAAGAAAAGATGTTGTTAATGGTTGATAATACTAACACAACATATCAGTCTTTTGATGATAAATATGTTTCAGTTTTGTTATGATAGATGTCAATTATAATATTTACATATATATCATATCCATTTGGACTATGAAAGCAAGAAGACTTTGAATTATTTCAGGAAAATAATGTGACAGTATTCTCTTTGTTTTAGTTTATTAATTAGATGTAATTAGGAAATATTCTGGCCATGTCAGATATGTATATTTCATATTTACTGACAAGGGTCAGATTAATGTTATTCACCTAATAATATATTTTTTAATGTGTTCAATATTTATTAAATATTTATTTATGTGTTTTGATAATGATTATTTCTATAAATATAAAAAGGATCATGTTCATGTAGGGAAAACATTTTTAATAAAATTGTATTAATATAAAAGCACTGTACGACTTGGACATGAAACATTCACAGAAGACCTGACATGATGTGGACAGTTTTTATAGCTTAGATTCTATCTGGAGGGAAAATAGTGTTGGTGCTAGATCCTTTGTGAGCAGAGCAGAATTAGATTTTTAACGGTAAACATCAGGTTCTGAGACAAGAAGAATTTTTAGACCAAGGACTGATAATTTGGTAAATGTTATTTGATATTGTTAACATATATTTGTTATTTAGATATTGATAATCTATTGTTGCTGTAACAACTGTGAGAAAATATATCAATTTAATCGCCCCGGCCAATGTTTTGTATTGTTGTAGAAACAGGTCACACATACTCGTGGTCATTGTATATTGAATTTATTCAACTCTCGTTTGTTATTTTTCAAAAGTTACAAAAAACACCAGCTTTAGCGAGTTAAATAAATTCAATATACAATGACCACTCGTAACTATTTAGTATATATCAAGCAGATTAATATTCACTGTAAATATAGATGGGTGGGAAGTGATTTAGATCTGTTAATCAAAAAAGTTACCAAATAGTTATTCACTTTTGATCTATCTTATCTAAGAAATGTGGATTACTTTTATAAAGAGAAAATGCAGAAGAGAATAAAGGTAACATTAATCAAAATTTCCCTGTATAAGCATCTGAACAATATATACAATGGGTTTAATACATCATTTTTGTGTGTATTTCATATGTGTGAAAATATGTATTTAGTTGCATCAAAGTTCCATAGTTTGTATACAAGGTAGGAGGAATGTAAGTCTCTAATATTTTTGAACTATCTCTTTGTAAAATGTTTGATTCCTCTGTGACATGCATTTGAATCTGTTATGGTTTTATACAGATTCTTGGTAATTTTACTTTTGGATATATGTCTTCTAAATGGAGCGAAACGGATAGTAATCAAACGATAATGTTTGTTTTCGAAAATTGGAGAATCCGGGTATCGATCCCGGTACCTCTCACATGCTAAGCGAGCGCTCTGCCATTTGAGCTAATTCCCCTTAACCAACGTTTCAATGCCAAACCAAACAGTAGGTTATATCACAAGCATTCTCGCTACCCATCGTCTATCAAGCTTATACCATGTACTAATGGAGTGAAACGAAGGGCAGTAACTCTGGTAGATAAGAACGAACCACACTGGTCCACAGGATCTAACAAAGCTAATATGATGTTTCATTTTGTAAAACTTTAACAAAATGCTCGTTCAGCTGTAAGCAACTGGAGTGCTCGGCTGTAATCAACAGAACAGTTCTCCTGTGCACATTACTAAATGGATCTACACTTCTGTTCAATATACAGAAAATATCGTCCTGTTTCGATTTAAGTTCATTAGAAAATTGTGATGTCATCAACAGTTTGTTTCCTGATAACAATTGACGCTTTTGTCCTTTCACATAACATTGTATTTTTTCTCAAAGATATACTTAACTATGATATCACATTCTCGAGATATTGTATAAACACAAACATACTTACATATTTCTTGTAATGTAGTTTTCTGTTTAATGGTAAATGGGGATTTCCAATAACACTCACTAATTTAAACGTTGTCTCAAAACATTAAACATCTTGAATTTTCGTTCTCTTAAAGTTTATATTATCAACAATACCCAGTTTATTGTACAGTCATTTATGCATTACAGATAGATAGCACGAAAGCAATTAATGTAGTCATAAACATTACAATAGTTTTACAATCCGTGACTTTTCTCGTTATGACAAAACGAAGGGCGTAAACTTTTCATGTTTCTGCGGTTTTATTCAGTTTGAGTTATCTCCCTTCATGTAATATACCTTATTAATGTAATTAACAATGATTGAGTTATTTGTAAAGAAAACTGGTGTTTTCTATATATGTAATCATACTTTATAAGTGAATAAATATATACGTCTTACGTATTTTGGGTTATGAGATAGGTTTTGGTGCTTTGTTAATCTGCAAAATAATGACACCCAGAATGTTACAATAAATTTTATATAAAGGCTAATTGAAACCAGTATTGTGGGTTGAAAGTTCTGAAGAGACACAGAGTGTACAGCGTAAACGATAAGGTAAGCGTTGGCTGCATACTGTTACCAGAAGCTCCTGCATAAGGGGTTGCCTGCAAAGGCTGCTCTGGTACGCCTGGCTACTGATACAAAAACTGACACCTCACCTTAGTACTTCGTAACAGCAGGACACTGGCAGGCGACGTCGGAGCTGTACGGTGGTCAGCTCGGCAACGTGCCTGTAGTAGTGACAGTGTCGTGGTGCTGACAGGCTGTTGAGTGTTGATCTACGTCCAGGCGACGGTGTAGGGAGGACAGGGGTACTGTCCCTCCTATTGTAGTGTATATTGATATATTGTTTGTGTTGTTTTGTTCAACTGTTCGGCCAGGTAGCCGAGGCTCGCCTGTGGAGCAGGTGATAAATTGAGAGCCCGGCGTATCAGGGTGCACGTTATATTCGGCTATCAGTGTATATTGCTTTTTTTTTCTTTTTTGTGTGTGTTTTTTTTTAAAAAACATTTTCATCTCCAAAAGTAACGATTATATACGAAATTATCCGTCTCTATATAATGATTCCCTCCTTTTTATATAATAATTTATAATTAAAGTTTTGTTCAAACACAACAATGAAATACCAACATGTCAGCTGGTCCGAATTTATGTGACAGACATTTTTTTATATTGGTCTTGAGTGGATAAACGTCAGAACTCCGGCCCTATGTGATGAAACCACGTGACTCATGAGATCCAGCGATACCCAAGGTATTTCCTAAAAAAGTTATTACCAGTATTATTAAAAACAATTAGTTTAGTCGAATATAAACATATACTCCCAGCTTCATTTCATCTACGAAAACGAATTTTAAATAATTTATTTCATAGTCATAATGTTGACATTGGCTCCATCCTTTGTACAAATGATACAGACGTGAAGTGGAATTATCATAGTCTGAGCGTTTAAGCATGAGCAAGAAGTAGCGAGACTATAGACATGTAACTAGAGGAGTGTGCGCGTGGCTAACACAAATGTGGGGAAATTGTACGTTTAGTTAGTATGTTGGTATTATGAGACATATGTCCTGTTTGAAAATATTGTAAATACAGAACAGACCTTTCGATCTATGTTCGATGTGCATATGAAAAACAATTAATTTCCACAATTATCATTTGATTACCGACCCAGGCACAGGTCGTTTATTTCAGTCACTTTATGTGGGACCGGAATTCTGACAGTCATCGACTCCAGACCGATATAAAAATGTCGATAAAACGTCAGAATAATTCGAACTACATATCGACATAGTCATAATCCAAACTCAGAGTCATTATAACTAGGGCAAAATATGAACGGAAAAAAAAGAAAGACACGGAGATTTCTGAAAAAGTACAAGGAGAACAAGATCAGTGTTTCGGAAGAGTAATCATCTTCTTCTTCATCGACGACACCCGACTCGTATAGCTCTTTAACCAAGCCTTTGTGAAAACTGCTGACCACCATTCTTAGAACTATCGAATCTTGGTTACAGTCTTATTGTGATAACGTTTACTCAAGAAGTGGAATAAATACCATGCAGATTTTAAAGAACTCTAAGAACTTTTGTCAAATCTTCAAAACTCAAACACGTTTTTGCTACAAGAACATTTGATTTCCCCCTCCTTTGTACCACTATACACATCATGTGTTGGTTGATTGCTTTTGTTTTCATACAAGGCTGAACTTATTGAAGAACTTATAAAACAGATCACAAAACCTCGCAAACTCGTTTTTACTCTGAGATACTCTAATAACATCTTTAAAGAATTATTGACCACGTCCATTGTATATACCCATCAGAATTGAAATAACACGACATGCTCTTCTACATCTGCCGCTTTTCTCCACAACGAAACCAAAATGGACAGCTTTCTACAGCATACAGCTGTATGATAAGCACGATGAATGCAATTTCCGATTTGTGAACTTTCCGTCTCTGCTTAACAATATCCCAGCATCCATAACCTGTGGCTTTAACATGTCGCAGTTGATTCGATATTCAAGGGCCTATTTCCATTATCACGATTTTCATGCAAGAAGACTGACGGACAAACTAGTAATACAGGGTTTCAAAAGATACATGTTGCTGAAAATCATTGTCGTTAGTGATCTCATTAAGAAATATTTTATTTCTTTTTTATGTGATATGAGGCTGGACGCGTTCGATGCTCGTTAGTTTGCTTGCTGGTTACTTTGTTGTATACATTGTTCTCATTTGAGAATTTGACATTACTTGCATTTGATTGACCAAGGTTTATAGGGTGGATGTCGTCGATGAAGCATAAGACGCCTACTCTTCCGGAACACTTGGTTTTATTATCCTAGTTATTTTTTTAGAAGTCTTTATATTTTTCATTTTGTCCTGGTTTTATTGATTGTGAGTTTGGATTATGTTGACAGGTTATTATTTTCTTATTTTAAAATGACAGTTAAAAACCCTTGTTAATGTTCAAATAATCCCTTTGTAGGATAAGATTATCATTATTATCGTTACATATGGGTCCGGCGCTTATTACAACTCTTCTAAGGATTTTTGTATCGCAATTCTCCTTTAAAAATATTAGATGTTGTCAATTATGTTTGGCAATTGAGTGGAACATTAGCGTCCTTCACATATCTTGCGTAAGGAAGGCTGATGTGGGGAATCGCACACATTGTATAACCATGAAAATCACGATCTCTTTGTTACTACAACATTCGGGCAGTTGAAATTCTGTACCGCTCTTTAGATAGTAACAGGGCATATTGTGAATGTATAATGAACCTACATCAAGGTTTGTCGGGTCTGACGCTTATCACAACTCTTCTAAGGATTTTTGTGTCGCAATTCTCCTTTAAAAATACTAGATGTTGTCAAATCTGTTTGGCAATTGAGTGGAACATTAGCTTCCTTCACATATCTTGCGTAAGGAAGGCTGATATGGGGAATCGCACACAATGTATGACCATGAAAATCACGATCTCTTTGTTACTACAACATTCGGGCAGTTGAAATTCTGTACCGCTCTTTAAATAGGTACCGGGTATAATGTGAATGTATAATGAACCTACATTTAAATTTGTTACGTGATTTACTAGTGACAAATCTGCAGCTTAGACACGTTCACCACTAATCGATAAAGTTAAAGTAATTATTGATTACATAAGGTAAAAATTCACCACCAATAATTTTATCAAAAACAATAAGAATGCAAATATCAATTAGACAGAAAGAGATCTAGGACTTGTAAGTATTCTATCCAAAAATGAAGTCCATCGATATATCCCGCAATCACTAAGGAGATCTTACTCTATGATATGATTTCAAGTGCATTGTTACACAATACTGAATTAGGGAACAAACACCATTAGAGTCAGCAGAAATACCCGACTGAGTGTGAAGACCGCGTAAAAAGGTGGGTATGTAGAACGCAACACGCCTTATCACCCACAAAAGTAGGACGATTTTGGTGGAGACAAGTATTGCCAAGCAGCCAAGGTAAACAAAGATTTGGGCTACATGGTGCTATATATTCCCACCAAGTGGAACAAATAATCATATTCAGGATGGTGCGAAGGTCTCAAGTCGAGTAAGTTTTTCATTTTACACCTGGTTTTATTCTCCTTGTTCAGAAATCTCCATGTAAACGTTTCCTTTCTTCATATTTTGATCTGGTTTCATCGAATTTTAGTTTGGGTTATAGTTATGTACCGTAAGTACTTTTAATGGCATTTCACACCTTTGACTTAACATTACATATTTAAGGTTGCCAATTTGTGACTGTTTCCATCATGGCAATATCTGTTGAAGATAATTTATTAGTAATAATAAAACGGCAAATTTAAAATTTCAATATATTCATTGCAGTAATGATAACAAACACCATCAGAAAATTTTATTTTTAGATTGTTGTAAAGTGTCAATTATTCAGTTTTGGTTCTCATTGTTAAAATATACATGCTCTTAGATGAGTTTTCATTCAAATTTTATGAAACGGGACACAATTAAAAATTTGAAACGAGTTTTATAAAATTTCGTATGAAATGAAAAATAAATTTCAGACAGGTTTTAACACGGAGCTCAGAAAATTAAAATCTGACAGGTTTTAAGGTAAAGATATTGAGGACAGTGTAATATAAAAAAAATGATTCAGGGTATATCACACGAGTGACATATATTACATTAGCGAATGCACTGGATTACAGGCGGGTTATGTGATGAAAACGTCAAGAGGAATGCAGCCGGATGATTCATTACAATAAATTAAGGAAATTTCTCTCGGTAAATTGTAGGCACATGGTATAACTTTATCACACGATGGTGTCATAACATTTGTGGACGCATTCCAAAGGTGTTCATCACCAAGGATAACCAATGATACGCAACAGGCCATTAAGTTTGATAAGAGTATGTACAAAAAGTGTATTGTTCATCTTTACCTTTAAGTTTATATAGTGTATGAAATGCTACTACTATGAAAACAAAATATGGCACATAGTTAAAATCTCAGATCAAAACAAATTTATCTCCCATTAACGCACCTCCACTACAGTCTATCAGGGAATATATTTGATTTTGACACAAATTGGATGTGTATAGGAATGTGTGCATACATGTCTGATATGTATGATATTGTCTTGTACACAGGGAAGGAGGCGATGAACCCATGGTCACACTCTACCAGATAGGACGCGCTCCACATTCGCCAAGTTTAACGCCGTTTGCAATCAAATTGGAGACCTATCGTAGGATAGCTAAAATTCCATATAAAGTTGGTTCTAATGTAGTTTGGCCCAAAGTGACCATGACATTTGATGGACCGTATAACACCAATCAAAACATAAGTCTAATGTCGTTGTAGATATGATAAAAACATGAATAGTGAAATTATTTTCAAGACAGTAATATTACGAGGAATTACCATAAAATGTTATCTCGTAGTCTTCCATGTTAAAAACAGTTTTTGGCAATGTTGTTAAGGATTATCTGTAAATACTTCTGTCTCTGTCGTCCGTTTCAGAATGACCACAGAGGGAAGGCCAGTTCCAAGGGTAAAGTCCCGTGGATTTCATATAACGGGAAAGGCATTGCCGACTCGGAGTTCTCTATAGAGTTCCTGAACAAGGAACGCAACATAAATCTAAACAGTCACCTTAACGATGAACAGAAAGGAGCGTCCGCGCTTTTCAGAAGATGGTTGAAGAAAACACATACTGGTAAGTATTATCAGTATATGATAGATCTCAAGTATACATAATAGGTAAATGATGCAATGTCTATAAAACTGGTCTCTACACAGCATCTTTAGGTATCTGATACGTCTTAGAATACAGACATTGTGTTACTAATTGTAGAATTATTAAGGATGTGGTTGTCTTTGACTTATTTTGCATGGCGATGATTTAGTAAAATTTAATGATTTCTTCATAAGATTATTTTAAAGTTTTACGGTTGTGTTCCTTATGGGTACATGGTTAGTTCTCATTATGGAATGTGGTATCACTTACTTGGATTGACCAAGAGTCCCATGAAGACGCTTACTCTTCTGGGACATCTGGTCGTATTCTTTTCATTCTCCTTGTACTTTTTCCAGAGTCTATACGTAAATATTTAGTTCATATTTGACCATAGTTTTATCGCATTTGAATTTGAATTTCATGGTTGTTTTTGTAACATGCTGTCTTAAAGCTTTAGATTAATTTTCTTGATTCGATGACAAATTTACACTTTTATCATATGCTTGTCTTGTTAGAGAGCACTAACACCACCATGTAATATGATCTATTGTTACGAAATAGGATGATATTAAGTCACTAACTCGTCAAATGCCTGAAATCAACATCGAAATCAAAGAACCGAGATGACGCCAAAACAATACAAACGTTTTCGTTCGTGTGATAGAGGCATCTTAAATTCATGTTCAATTCACGTGAAATTCCTGATTTGTAATAAATTTGTATAAAATTTGGTAGTCAGCTGTAATTTTAAAATTTTCGTTTAATGTTTGTAACTTGCATGTCTCGATGTTGACCCGATAGCTTTGTATGTTTGTGTTTTGACCCAGGCAATTTTGCTTATATTGATGATGACCTTGATATCTTTTTTGTTTAGGTGTTGACACCGGTAATTAACTGTTTTGGTGTTGACTCAGATAACATCACATATTTAATTGTTGACGCTGCTAATTCTATATATGAGTGTGTGTGTGTGTGTGTGTGTGTGTGTGTGTGTGTGTGTGAGAGAGAGAGAGAGAGAGAGAGAGAGAGAGAGAGAGAGGGTGTGTTTGTTTGTGTGTGTGTGTATCGTTAACTTTGTGTTTTGATGCTGACCCTGATAATTTGGTATATTTGAGCGTCGAAGACATAAGAAAATAACTCTTTCCTCAATAGGTCGTTTTAGTTAAGTTCTGTTTTTTTGACAGTCTTGTTGTGTGTCCGTACATGAGATGCTTTTCTTTAATTCTTTAGTATTTTAGTGTTTCTCCAGCGTATTTTACTATAAACGTACCGTGTGCATAATATAGGTACTGCTTTCCTTTTTTAAGAAGAAAGTGTTATATACCAAACACCTGGTCAACATAATTAACATTATATTGTTATCTTAAATATGTCAGTTATGTGTTACTTTATGCTTTTATTAAATCTTTGACGAAGTGTCATTAAGTAGCTGTATATGTCAAATTAGTTCTTTCTTATGTAATATAGACACGTATTTCACTCATCCTTCCGCACAAATGCTTTATTTTAGTAAAAAGAAGAAACGAATTTCTATAAAATTATCTGTTTTGTGGTCATTAGCAGCTAGTATACAGCGGCTGGTTTAACACATTAGGTTTTGGATTAACGGTGTCATACCCCTTTTTTGTTTTTAACATAAAACACATCAGATATACCTAAGAACAGTTAAAATTCATATCATATTAATTTTATAAATATGAAACAACTTATCAGTGAGATCAACTTGATATGAATATTTCTTCTGACTTAAGGTTTTAGTTCTTGATCGCTGGTTGTATGACAAAATAAACGTTGCCGCCATTACCTTCGGAGTTCCTAGGTTTATGAGGTGGCTTCCGAGAAGAAGGTTCACGCGTATGGCCAAGAATCATGGAATTGGACGACATAGCCAAGTGGAAGTCGAACAAATTCTGCGACATGATGTCAACGCCATATCCGGTTATCTAGGTACAGAAATACTTAAAAAATACTGCATGGCTACAACTCACCTGATTACGTAGTTGTTGTTAGCATAAATATATCTTATATTACACAAAGAGATATGCAGCACATGTGATTGAAGCAGAAGGTAACCCCAGTAGAAATGTATAATATATTCACAATCCTGTTATAGATTTTATATTAGAATACCAAATAATAACCTGTTGTCCAGCAACCTCTATTGTGACTTCGTTTTACTAACTTATGTGTAAGTCCTGTTTGTTTTATACCATAATGACTCTTAACGTGTTTCAAGTTAAAGCAACGAAAATAGGCATCGGTTTGATATATGCATTACAGTTATAGAAACGATGTTTGCATTGCTTTGTTTTTTTTAAGTCAGGCTCAAAAAAGTTCCTGTTTGGAGATCAGATGTCCCAGTTTGATTGTGCTATCTTTGGTCAGCTAGCCGCGATGAGATATGAACCATTTGGTGGAATAGCTGGACCCATCGTTGAAGGTAAATGTTGTCTTTTGAGAAAAAAGCACGATGAAATTACAGTTTTAGATGGAGAAGGTAACTTGAAAGGGAAATAATGTGCATATGAAATTAACAACTGCAATTTTTGGTAGTGGTGTTTATTTATCTATTTATTTATTTATTTTTTTTGGGGGGGAGTGGGGGTGGTTAAAGGGATTTATGTTTTAAGACAAATATTGTTCTTTGATTTTGCTATATTTATCGACGCTTTGCGGGGTGTAAAATCTGTTCATATCATTAACATTCAAAAATATTTTGACGATACTCATGTATCGATATTCACATTCGTTGTTTCATTTTTTAATTTTAGAGTTCCCTGCTGTGTGTGCTTACCTTGACCGCATAAAGGTAGAATACTGGTCAGATTGGGACGAATGTACGACAGGTGGTGGAACCAGGAAGGCCACCAAATAAATCGTCATTATAACTAAGGCCTTCTTTACGACGGCTACCGGACATGTCGATAAAAAAAAGTCCGGAGACACTTTTTCCCTAGTATATCTCACCTACAACATACATTACCTTGATCACGTATTCGAAACACTCTCAGACTCATTTCTTAGTATAACTTACTATGTATTCTATAGATCTCCAGACTACACATCTCGTTAAGCATATGGTAACATATCTTTATATTGCAATCACCTTTGTTCGGCGACGTCCGTCTTGCGTCCGTAATTTTAAAAACGCTTTCGACTTCTCAAAATCGCCTGAACCGATTTGGATGAAATTTGGCAGAAATCTTCCATGTCCTAAGATGAACCAAATTACCGAAAGATATATGAAAGCTTATTTCATACACGTGTTGTCTTAAGTCCCTCTTCATTTTACAAATCCATTTACATTGTTTATTTATTTAATCTAAATTACATGAATTTCGACATAGTTGTATTTTCGCATACTTTCGCAAGAAATTCCTCATAACTAGTGTCGGTTAGTTTTGTAAAACGTAAGAAAAGATAATATTTTCACATACCTATAGATATGCCAGTGATTGGTAACTAGTAAGACGTCAGCCTTACAGCCGGTTTGACCACTTTTGCAACAGTTTCGATTTCTAGATGCGTTCTTCGGATTCATCTGTACAATGTATCCTATGCAATATCTCCGGTATTCCATTAATTTCATTATTTCATTAACGTCGGCAATACGTTTTCATAGATGTACATGTAAAGTAATTATAATATATATTATATAAGCCAGTACATTTTAATTAGTATCTTAACACTTGACTGCATGAATATTATTGTGAATAATTATTAACATTTTTCGTGCCGTTGAAATTTTTATAGAAACAATTACATTTGTCTTTACCTACCTGCATCAACGTCCATAGGCATTTATTCTGAAAACATTACTTCATGTTATCTGATCATTTGCAAGCGTCCTATAAAAACAGTAAATTATTCCTGTGTGGTATGGACTGAAAATGCCGCGTCAGATAAGAAAGTAAATTATTCCTGTGTGGTATGGACTGAAAATGCCGCGTCAGATAAGAAAGTAAATTATTCCTGTGTGGTATGGACTGAAAATGCCGCGTCAGATAAGAAAGTAAATTATTCCTGTGTGGTATGGACTGAAAATGCCGCGTCAGATAAGAATGTAAATTATTCCTGTGTGGTATGGACTGAAAATGCCGCGTCAGATAAGAAAGTAAATTATTCCTGTGTGGTATGGACTGGAAATATGCGTCGGATAAAAAGAATAAATTAATATTGTGTGGTATGGAGATTTCGTTGAATACTTATTCTTTTCTACCTCTTTAAAATGTCGTGCGCGATTTTAACAGGGGCCTATGAGAATGTCGGTCAGAATTGTATTGGAGTAAAAGTTATGATAACCCAAGCATGATTGGGTATATAGTGATAAGCTGTCTGTGATAATTTTATGATATTGTTTCAATCACCCTAATATTCTTTGTAAGGAAGGCTTGACTAATCCCTTTCTTTTTGTGATCGGACGAATTAAATGCCTGCTTTCTTGACGTGGTTGACACAAGTGTTGTTAATACTACCGCATGGCGTAATTCTAATTTGATATATTGTTGAAGAATGTCCTGATGAGGAAGTTTGACATATCAAGGTTTTCCTTGTCGAAATAGATTAGGCTTTGTCTCTGAACATTTTGAATTTTTGATGATTTCTGTCTAGTTGATTAAATTAGTTGGTTAAATTCTAAAGAATCACGTAAGTTACATACAAATTATTTAGTCAGTCCATCAAGACATTTTTCTGCTGTTACTTTTCCAAAAGATTAATATTACATAATGATAAAACTAAATGCGTTCGGCCGATTTAAGGTTCCATTCATACTACCATCAATTAAATCCATGAGCGGAGGTCGATACACGGTCTTATCTGGATTGGTTACAGCATAAAACTAATGAATGGCTACGATCTATTAGGATAGTATGATATGAGTGCACTTCAATATATTTTATTGATGAGTTTACCTTCATACTGCATTATCTAGTAACCTATATGTCCGTATACTTTTAGTAAGATAATATATTAATCTGATTTCTTGATATTATTTTAAGCAAATTTGATATAATTATTCATCTTTTAATTTGTTTTTATCAGAAGTGCCATTTTGTCAACTCGTTAAATTGAAACGCTTTTACATTAATGTAAATACCGAATATTAAAGAAAAACAATTACGCAACCTGTTCTTGTCTTTATTAAACTATTAAGGTTTGAATTTCATGTCGGTTCTGAATGAGTGTTTAAATTTATACTTATCATGATAAAAAAGGCTACTGTAGTTTACAAAATTTCACGTGTTTCGCTATTGATTAAAGGAAAAATTCATAAAAAATCACTTTGTTCATATAACTTTTTTTAGTATAATTTACATTTATTTTTGGATCGAAACTATCTGAACAAAATTATAGATTGCGTTTTTAATGTGTTTCCATACATACAACAAATATCAAGATTTCGGGGAAGACAAATGACATAATCACATGTATCCATTGTGTACAGTTGTTTATATTATAATAATTTATTATAGACGATTCAGATAGCTGTTGCACAGTCGTTTGCACATTTATATAGTCCAACTGGTGTTCCATTAAATTCCTGTTAATATTCTGGTTTGTGAGCCTTGACGGTTTTATCGATATCGGGATCCAGAAATTCTTTACCAGACAAGTCGAAGTAGTTGGTGCACTCTTTAATTGCCGAGTTTGGTACCTTTGATATGAAGCAATTAGAAATATATTGTCATGGATATATATACATATTTCACGTTGAAAAAAGACATTTCAAAATCGACAGCTTGGGCTCGTAACTTTGAAAACAATGAAAATGACAGATTTTTAAAAATAACATTAATTTGAACCTGTTTCTAAGTACATATTATTCATGTAATGATATGTGTACTATTTTATCATTGCCTTGTAAAGTTAAGATATCACCAGAGTTATCGCCCTTTACTCAATTTCATTTGTAATTATGCAAAAATCAAAGCAACGACTTTGGTGAGAAACGGTATATTCTTTCTACTTCTATTGAGCACACCGAGATGAAATGGCCGAGTATACATACCTTTTCCAGCGGCGTGTACTGTGGATGATGATGAGGGTACAATGCGTCGTTGGACTTGAGGTTGTACGAAAACAAGAGTACCCAACGGCGGGTATCACTATTGTTAACGTCGCTGGTGTGGAGCAAATTACAGCTGAAGAATATTGCGTCACCTGTAACAAAACAATGTCATATAAAACAAAAAACGACACATATCATGGAGTCTACTTGATATGACGAAAAGTCGTTTATGTTTATTTATGATGGAAAGATGTCATTAGAAAATGAATCTTAATGTTTGGAAAATCTCTAATTGTATGTTATTGTTTTCATTTATATACATATTTATATATTACAACCGTTTATATATTACAGCTGTTTATATATAACAATCGTTTATATATTACAACCGTTTATATATTCAGAAGAACGAAAATAAAATGCTGCGCGATTTGCCCACTTAAGATGGAAGATGAGGCATGGGCTGCGTTTTAGTATATGTGTTTACCAAATTAAGCTTAAATTGTTTATTGTATGGCAGTTACTATACAGAAGCCGATACATTTATTTTATGATGTATCGTCAAATATGTGCTTTGTAAAATGGAAACGGTTTTGAAATGATATCGTAGAAACAAAGAAATAAGCCAGATGCGAATCGAACTACACGGAAGATACCAGAAAATTTTATATAACACAAAATGTGAACCATTGACCAAAATGTGTTGTACCCGGGTTCATTTCTACATATTCCAAGGGACAGATTCGCTTGATGTCTTTAACTCTGTCTAGGTCGGCTTGGTGTTGTCCTCCCTGAGGTAAGTGATCGATACGACCACATTTGTGGGAACCTCGCAGGATCTGCAAATATATCAAAATTATGTGACAAATTTACATACTAGGTTAACGCACTAATCAACTAATGTTTGTTACAGTTAGGTATACTGTAAATATACTTGGTATGTGTTCACCGACCAACAGTGTTCAGCCCGAAATATTAAACTGGTAGGTATGTTGCCAAGCAGAAAAAAATCGCTGGTAGTTAAAAGAAACAATTTCGGATTTGCCCTTTCAATTGGAAATGATAAATAACCGTATTGGAATTTGTTGGCTTTACTTTTTTCCCCGTTAAATAATTAAACCTCTTACAAGTCCTTTATGCTTACATATGGTTTTATTTGTCATTCATAGAAAGTATGTGTGCTGTTATGCATCACGTGGTCAGTGGTTTACTTAAAGTGTACCCTGAGAGTAATTTTATATTTAGATATAATGTTAAGAATGCCGTAAAAATAATAATAATGAAAACCCCGTCAAAATCCGTTGCCCCAGTGTCGAGTTATTAAAGCTCAAAGTTGTCGATTTTCACCTGTCCGCCCAGACCTAATCAGCCGAATCGTCATTTCCGCGGAATCGAGGCTCTTCTACTCGTGACGTCATAAGTTCAACAGAAATGGCAGTCAACATGACTGACAGTGGCAACGACACCGCAACTGAGAGCGATTTGAGCATGAGTTTTGAGGAATCTGATTATGGTGTGAATGATATGTCTGAATTGATTGGTACGTACTTCACTGGGTCTCACCAGTAGTCGTGAAAGTAGTCGAACAGTGAATCGTCGTTTCAAAGAAACAAAATAAAATTGGGTGTGATTTTGGACTAATTTTACTATCTTCAAGTCTCGATTCACAATTTCTGACGTCGGGAAATCGCGTTTGTGCAAGACTATGCATACATTCACGAGGTGTCGGGAATTTTCTTACCGAAGAAGTTTCGTCCGAGGGGAATTTTTCTTTCCAGGGAATTTTCGTAGCACTATGGATATATATAGATAGGGTGTCAACAACCAATTATAACACCCTCCGCTGTGTTAATAATAAAAATTTGATGTTTTAGAAGTTTAAACAATTATTTGACTGGTTTTCACCCTGGCACTGGTACGCGTCTGTTGTTAGCCGATAGGCGTGTCGCCTCACAGGTGTCACAATTGTTTTTTCCAGCCACGGAGGTGCTAATTACCTAACCTGGCACAGGTGTGATTATGAGTTTAGATGACATCTCTACACTGTGAACTGTGTTTTCAAATCAAGATTGGTGATCTTATTGTTATTTTTACGATCGCAAAATTAATAACTAAACAACATCGTCTGCTGGAAGATCTAAAAACCAAATACACCTTATACAAACAACATACACACATAACCTATTCTATAAATTCTAATAATTCTATTCTATACTATATAATAGTAGTATGAAAATTCTCGGGGTGAAAATTCCCGTGACCCATTCACGACTAGGCCTTCTCCGAATATTAGGCGTTCACGATTACGAAGGAATAATATTCCTATGACCGCCCAAGTCATAGGCTAGCCTATCAATTTAAAATGTTTAGTTGTAGAATTAATAACAAAATATCAACCTAACAAATATACTTTTAATTAAACAAAAATCAGTTTTATTTATCGACGTCATGCATCGACACCCCATCCGTGTTAGTGTTAGGACAACCATACACACCGCTTCCCTCCTCGATAGGAAGCCATTTTAGCGGATTTAAGCGCTAATTCACCGACCCCTCGTTCACTACCTTAGATATTGCGAAGATGTGAAGTACTTTCACGTAAATAAACAAAGAAATTACCACGGAAAATTCCAAAATAGATCACAATCATATGTAGCACAGTAAAGACAATATGGCTGCATCAACAAAAGCGTTGAACTTAGGACGTCACAGGTTTGGGTGCCCGAAAACGAGGTCAACGCCTCTCAGCCAAAGGTGTGTTTTTCAGAAAAGTCGCAATTTCTCAGTAACGGAACATTCCACGGCATTCGCGTTTCGGCATAGTGTATTTTATGTGCAGAACTATTTTTCAAGGTCAACATAGCTGACCTCTCAGGGTACACTTTAAGTATACAAATTAAAATCATAATGGGAAAATATGTCATGGTGATGCACTTAAAGACAGCTATATGTAATGAATTGACTGGACGCGAAACAATACCTGTAGGCAACCATTAGCCTTGTCACACTTGTCCACAGCAATAAAGGCCGTCAACAGGTCAGGAAATAAAATGCTGTTCTGGTACCAATACCTACATATGTGAAATAATAACCTATACTAGTATTGTGTCGAGAAACTTATTCGTTTTTATCATATAGTCCTCAGACAAAATTTGTCTTAATTTCAAATAGATATTACAGAAGTGTGATTTACCCGTAGTCCTGATGCCATAATAAACCTCCCCCAGTACGTGCGTCCTTTTGTACAAACTTGGCATGATAGTGGTAAATCTCTCCTCCTCCTAATAACTGAAAAAGGGGCAGATTTTCTAGAATTCAATAACGCTTTTTTATGTCTGCAGAAACCGAATAAATCTTTCCACATTTTGAAGATATCATTATCTTTTATTGTCAAAAATTGTACAGAAAAAGAGAAAAAGGAAAATAAAATATGAAAAGTATACTGCTTTCAGTCATTATATTCTGGTAACGTCTTAGATACGTAAACAAATAAAAAGAGAAGAAAAGGCAAAACAGGTTGGAACTCTCCTCAGATGAATAACATTAAATCGTTTTACCTCTCAGCAAGCGCTCAGATATTGCCCATTACGTGATGAAAAAAATACCAGAAACCGGTATTTGTGGTTCATGTGTTAAAGATTGTTTTTTATGAAACTGAAGCGCATTATTAAGAAAACACGACTACTCACCTTTTCACTGGTATTTACGACTTTCTCACTTCTAGCAACCATTCCAGTGACGTCATTTCCGGGATGCCCCCAAATTACAAATTTGGGTTCTTTTCCAGTTCCGTCGGGTAACTATATAAATGAAAGCGTAATTTCGTGACAAGATGCCTAAACATTGTACTCTAGTTATACATATAAGATAAATTTCCAATGATAAAGATCCTAGTCCAATAGGTTTAAAAGTAAAAAGGATTAATTCGTAGTCGTAAATGCCTGCTAATAGCACGAATAAAATCATCAGCGTTTGAATATCAATTCAGTATTTCAGGGACCTCCATTATATCTTTCTTTTGATTATAACTTGCACTCATTTTATCGACTTTGAATTAAAATAATTCATTTTATTGACATGTAGGTTTTTTTTGGGTACTTTGGGCATATTTTGGCCAATATAGGTTTTGGGAAGCCCTCATCCAAGTCTATACATGACCATAAATAATATTTTACGTTGCCTGACAATGCAGTTCACAACTCAGTGAAGCATTGCTGACGAGTGTTTTTATGACATACCCCGTATCCATATTTGCTTCTCATTTCAGAATCTTCCAATACTTTCTTCACTTTGCTCATTTCTTCACTGTCAAGGAATCCGCTGACAATATACATCAAGATAATATTATCGTAGAAAGATTACATGCATGTTTCATAAAAATGTCATGATAGGGTATTTTTGAGTTTTCATTGGCTGCATGTTTGTTTGACAGAGGAAGTTAACAACAGAATATTGACAGATCGCACATTTATAACAAAAAGCGACATAAAAGTTATATTTAGTTCGTGTCAAATCCATACCATGTTAGATGTGCTTGTAAATCCAAGAATTCCCCAGGTAATGGGCAGAAGCCCAAGTTACCATCTGAGAGTTATCTAAGATTAACATATTTATAACGTAGATTTTGATGTCGTAGAAACTCACCGAATCATAATATATCCATGCTTGTTATAATCCGCTAGCATTTGCTCCGTCACCTCGAATTTATCAGGGTCATACTGATACTCTGAAATGTACGAATACCTAGACTAAAGAACACTAGTTCTACAAACCGAGGCGAACACAGGAGGACTTAATAATGAACCAAACTTCATCTTAATCTGTTTCTTCCTTTCAGTAATGCATTTTCATTTATCTGATAATTTTTTAAGAACATCAAGTATATATACGAATACAAACGTTGGGTGTACGTAACAGCGAACCTCTGGAACTTAATGTTTCCCAGCAGTGACTTCCACCCGCGATCTCGAAGACTGACCAAAAGACACACATTTAGCATTCGATACAGTATGATTTATTAAAGAATTAATTATTTTCATATTCCACTATGAATTAACTTATTACATTAAAATTTATAGAATTAATTATCTTTTTAATTATGTAACGGATGCACAACGCATCTACTGGTAAAACATATATATAGGTGTATCTGCTTGTGTGTGTGGGGAGGAGGAGAGTAAATGATTTGCACGATTTGGGAGTATATGAAAAGACCTTTTCAGAAAAAAATGCACCATATTACATCTCTATAGATATGAACAGTTACCGCGGACAAAAGTGTCATGTTATACTACAGGATCATTTATGATACTTGTAACAAAACATTACAATACTAGGTCTACTTTAATTGTAGACAGATACATAAATCAGAAAAATCTGTCTGTAAGCTTTCACACACTTGCTCTTCAAGAACCCTGTTCTTGTTTTTTCCCTTTCATATCCAATACTGGCAGAAAATGAATAATTTTGTGTTGATGATGGTGTCAGAGAGCCAGTGATGAATTCAAGCAAAGCTTTGGTAAATCATTAGCTTGAGATAAAAGTGTTTCATGAAAGGTTAATGAAAAAGGCCAAAATCCTGGATTATTATCCAAGGAACTGGATTTAGGCAGCCTTCCTCGCCTGAGGAGTGTTAGATTGACCCTGTATTACCAGTGCATTGACCTGATGGCAGTGATCTGGATAATATAACTAGATTTTTCTGGTTATATAACTTAAAGATAAATTTCAGCACACCTTATCTGAAGCAGAACGATAACTAACTGAAAAACAGTCTTCACGCCATTAAAACACAATCAAAGGTACTGAGACATTGTAATGTATATGACTTTGCCCTATCAAGGCAGCGAGCGCCCATGACCTCAGTGACAAGATTGTTACAGGTTGAATGTCGTGCTGTTACGTAACATACCACAACAGTAAACAAATCACTCCCGAGACGCTGCTTCAGTGGCATAATCTGACATAAGAGTTTACCGAGAAATAAAACATTTGTTTTTATTCATTGCTTGTAACATTGCAATAAACGTTTATTCAACAATAACCAAACGTTCCCGGCGTATAATATCGGTTCAACTGTTTATGTTGGAATTATCTTAAAAGCAAATACATTTAGAGAAGAGAGGTTTTAGTGATTCATTTACTCAAATTGGTTATAATTATCTTGTCATATAAAGTCACTAGCATTACATATTTACCTGCACTAGTCAATTCCATCATTTAAATTTTAACAGCGGACGATTGTACCTAAAACAAAGAATGTATATATAGTCCAGTCAATAAAACAGGACAAAATTGCAACCGTAATTATCTTTTGTTTTTCATCATGGCCGGAAATTATGTAATCACAAGAAAAATAGTTTACCGAAGCGTAATATCTACATGGATAATACAGGACATTGTGTTGATAACATTGCAAGACAGTACAAAATGAAATAGATAAATCAGTAGTACTTATTGCATAGAAAACATACTGCGCCATGAATATTGCTTTAAAAACATCCAAATTGTTCTATAATCTGGACATAATGTCATTATGAATACTAGCTAAGCATAAATGCATTATCTTATACTATGTGTCTTGCAATTTCTGAAATGAGGGATTTTGCTTTCATACATTAAAAGTTCAGAGTTGGCATGTTTGTATGATTGAGAGCTATTATCAGCCAAAATAAAGCGATATTCCAATTTATCCTGATTATATTTAAGCTGTGCTTAAGCAGAAATAACATTTTGTACAAGAAAATAAATGATGGAGTCGGGTTGTTGAAATCACTAACTATTGCAAATTTGAGCGCACCTTTAAAAGTAGCGACGTCCATCATTTTGAACAACATGAATGTGTATATTTGTTTTATCTAATTGTTAAATTTTTGGAATTTCCATGATAAAATTGCCCTTATGTTTATGATAAGTTATGGTTTATGTGATATTTTCTATTTAAAATCCCTTTTCTCTTTAAATACAGTACAGATACAGTGTGAGGTGTTATTATGTAATTTTGAATAAAATCAAACAAAATCACGGTTACAATTGCTTTTCTAGCAATATCATCATGGCATGACCTGCACGAAATATACATTTTTGTTATTCAGGTCCATTTGTACTGTTTGGGGCGAAATTGCATGTGATGAATCTTTCACCAGGAGGGCTATCTATGGGAGCCCATCTTACCATAATCATCATTTTCAATAAGTGGTTTACCTAAACAAATGGATATGTAATGCTTTTATGCATTTGCTTATTCTAATTCAAATTACAGGTTGCAAAAAAGTTATTTCGTTCGAGTTGAAAAAAAATCAACACTAAAATAGCACAGAGGGTATTTGATGGCCAATATTTTGTTTTCATCTGAATGTACCATTGGTCATGTATGGGAATTGAATTGAATGATATATAAAGAAGCTTGATAGACTCTCAAAATGTTGTTAAAATTAATAGTAGCTTTTTATATTAAAAAAAAAACACTGCAAAAGTGTCTCAGTCATATTTAGATTTATATGCAATACTACAAGCAAAATGTTTAATTATCAAAAGTTTATATGCTAGTTAATTAAATTATTAAAAAAAATTGTGCTAGACATAAGTCAGATGTTTCATCATAATGTATCTGCCAGAATTAATTTATTACTGACATCTACTGTGATCAATTTTGTATTGGCCAGTGGCCAGAGGCATTCTGTCATTGCTGATCTACTACACATGTTCATGTATTTAATTCGTTCCCTGGTCATTACCCGAGGCCTATCTTAGCAGTCTGTATGAAGGTCAGCCTTATCTTGTTGTAAACAGCAAAATCTATTGACATTTATGTGTCACAAACTCATATATTATTCAATCCTTGATAACCTGTGTAATGTGTAATATTACTTTATTAACAATTTTAGTATAAATACGACCACATTTCTAGCCAGTAGGTATCGGTTCCTAAAGGGAAGAGCGGAGGCCAGACAGGTGAAAGGCTAGTCTCCAATGGCGGGACGCCCGCTCGCTCGAGCTGTTGCCCGAGCAAGAACATCGGTAAATGATGATTATTGTAGGTAGTTTACATGTATATTGTATATAAATTCATGCAGAGATTATAATACATCCAACAAGAACTGGACTTTTTCATTACCAGCTCTACGATTTCTACATCGGATGAAACATTTCACAAGTTTTCATTATAATATTTTGTTCAATATGCATGTGCGGTCTTCATTTATAGTTGATTTTATAATATTGTTTGATACAATGAGAAAACGTCATACTCCAAATGTCGTTAAATAGGCATTTCCCCCTTTTACCTAAAGTTTGATTTCGATAGACATTTTTTTCTGCTTCAAATATTAAAAAAAGTCTGTTGCAAGTATTTTCTGTTTTGGTTGTAATGATATACAGTTTGTATGATTTGAAAGGGCTTGTACAAAGAGTCCACGAGAGCAGTGATTTGTGTGTCCATGCTAATGATAAACACCTGTAAGAGGTTTATCGGGGACAAACATTTGCTAAACAAACAATTTACTTTAACTTGCTTGAGCGTGATTTCTAAGCAAATATAACATATTCAATATTTAAGTGTTAGATTTAATTAAATACCTTTGAGTAATTCTATAATTCCTAGCAGACCTTAGCGATGCGTCCCAAGTCTTCAAATATTGATCACACCCACTTCGATCTCGTGTTCTGTAGGCTTGGATATAGCTGTGCAAATCGGAGTCACAGACATACTAGAGTGAAGTTATTACACCGATATCTGTGTATAACTGTATGCGCTGCTTCCTCACGTGGCTCGGGTGTATATATTTACCTACGTAGAACATGTTTAACATCGCCATAGCGATGATGAACAGTGACGAACACCTATTAGTGCTTTACGCAGAGTTCTGAATACTAACGACGGTGTTGACTGCGACCGCAGGCAAAATACCAAAACATCAATCTTCATCATTCGAGATTTTCCTCCCCATATTTTCATCAACCTGTATCTTTTGAAACAATGTGTTGTGAATTTGTCGGTCAGTTGAAAACATTTTGCATGAAAATCGTGATTTTGGGACCAGGTCCCGGATTTTCCTATTGTAAATATTCCATTCTAAAGAGCCATATTCATGTAGTCTCAATATATACTGTTTACATATTCAAAGGTATATTCTCAATATAACGATTTTCGTTCAAGATGTCGGCAAACTCACCGCGCATGGTTTCGATTGATGCAAGTTGATAAAAATGATGGAGAAGTTTTATACTCATCATAATAACTTCATTGGAAAATATTCCATTTCCTTATGTGAAATGGAATAGGCCATATTTGAAGCTCAATACGATTATGATTAAGATGAAAACCACAAAACGTCCCGATCATTTTCATCAATTTTAATCTCTCTAATCTACCAGGTCGTTATCGCTGTCTTTCTTGGAAATCGTTTTATCAGGAACATGAAAATAATTATGTTATTCATATGTTATTCATACGACTTCATGAGAAATGTCAGTTTTGGCTGCATTGTAGAAGAATGTTTTTGCTTGTTGGATTTAAGACCCTGTGAATAGTCAGAGTCATTTTAGGCGATGTCCGCATGTAGTATCTGGTTGCTACCTAATCGTTTCCTTCGTTTGCGTCTCTTCTAGGTATATCAGATGAACTCTTTCAAAGTTTCAAAAAAAATTACAAATATAATATAAATATTCGATAGAGTTGGCAAGGTAATTGTGACCCTTTCTTAATTAACTTAAATTAATAAATTAAGTGCCGTCTTTCCTAAAATGCCATAATGAAAATGTACATATCCTTGTCATTAAGATACCATATCCTAGTATATAATTTATTCTTAACAAATGAAAGTTAATCTATCAGTCAACCGTCTACTATATTATAGATAGCCATATTTGTTTTGCATTCGGATCTCTCTGATTCTATTGTGTATTAATTACATCCGACAAGTAAAATCCAGAGAAATTTACACTCGGTTACTTGTATTTGTGTCACGTATTTGATTGCTTGATTGCTATGATAAATAGTTAGAAACTGTGGAGCTTCAAGAAGAGCAATTTTACTTCTCCCACAAAACGGTTGTTCTCTTATAACCGGATATTCGACATGATTACGTGCAATTTCATTATGGAATCAGCTGCAGAGGTAACTATCTAATAACATTTTTATAAACAGATAATTACTCTTACTTAGATTTCATCACTACATTATAGTTCTAGTCCCCACTATTCGCCAATATTCTCCATTTGACATATATTTAGTCATATCTTAGGTAGATAGGATTTCAATATAAATTGTATTTGATGTTCTCACCCAAATTCGCCAATAAACCCCAACAATAGCTAATCCACAATGTAAAAGTTTAAATGCAAAAGTAAACATTAGATAATGTTAATCAATATCCATTAAAATGGCCATAGTATGGCAGCAATTCATCTCAAACATATCGGAGATTTTTTTTACATTTCAGCACTACTCTTGAAGGTGGAAGAACGTATAAACTCGCATGGTTAGCTCTTAATATCTAAGCTTTACACAAACCACAAAAGTTTTTACAGTATGCAACCGCTAGAGTATGAACAGAACAGATGTGGATTTCTGCCATGAACTCGCAACGAATCCCAGGTTTGTCACTACACGACTGCACGACACCTTAAAAAAAAATATCGTCATAGACAAAACTAATTTGATGACAACGCACAGTAAACGTAGAAATCTGTACCCAACAGGTTAATTTTAACCAATTTTGCATCACTGAAACGTGTATACCGTATAGATAGTAATTTCCAAGGGTCAAAATTATCACGATTTCCTTTAAAAACAATTCGAATTATAATTTAACCGAATGCGATCTGGACCATAAAGAACACGTTAATGCTCTGCCAAATGGCAAATTATAACCTGATATACGATATCTATAGGCTATCTAAACATTTTAATTTTTTAACACTTATTCCATGAAATCTTTGCTCAATTGATGAATATTTTGTTCTAGTTATTGAAAAATTATTGTCATAATCCTTAAATAGCCCTAGCTATGCGAAATGAACCATGGCGTTTAAAATTGACACATGCAGATTACATATGTATACATATATATATATACATACTCGGTGACATTCCTGATGGAGAAGTATATGTTACTGGTGCAGGCGTCGGCGAAGTAGGTCTGGAAGAAGTATTAATAATTGGACCTGGAGAAGGTGGAGTTGGTTTAGGTGTAGTTTTGGTAAATGGAGCTGGTGTTGGCGGAGTTGGTCTAGGAGTGGTATTGATAACTGGAGCTGGAGTTGGTGGAGTTGGTCTAGGAGTGGTATTGATAACTGGAGCTGGAGTAGGTGGATTTGGTCTAGGAGTGGTATTGATAACTGGAGCTGGAGTAGGCGGAGTTGGTCTAGGAGTGGTTTTGATAACTGGAGCTGGAGTTTGAGGAGTTGGTCTAGGAGTGGTATTGATGACTGGAGCTGGAGTAGGTGGAGTTGGTCTAGGAGTAGTTTTGGTGAATGGAGCTGGAGTAGGTGGAGTTGGTCTAGGAGTAGTTTTGGTGAATGGAGCTGGAGTTGGCGGAGTTGGTCTAGGAGTGGTATTGATAAAAGGAGCTGGAGTTGGCGGAGTTGGTCTAGGAGTGGTATTGATAACTGGAGCTGGCGTAGGCGGAGTTGGTCTAGGAGTGGTATTGATAACTGGAGCTGGAGTTGGCGGAGTTGGTCTAGGAGTGGTATTGATAACTGGAGCTGCAGTTGGCGGAGTTGGTCTAGGAGTGATATTGATAACTGGAGCTGGAGTTGGCGGAGTTGGTCTAGGAGTGGTATTGATAACTGGAGCCGGGGTTGGTCTAGGAGTGGTATTGATAACTGGAGCTGGAGTTGGCGGAGTTGGTCTGGGAGTGGTATTGATAACTGGAGCTTGAGTTGGCGGAGTTGGTCTAGGAGTGATATTGATAACTGGAGCTGGAGTAGGTGGAGTTGGTCTAGGAGTGGTATTGATAACTGGAGCTGGAGTAGGCGGAGTTGGTCTAGGAGTGGTATTGACAACTGGAGCTTGAGTTGGCGGAGTTGGTCTAGGAGTGGTATTGATAACTGGAGCTGGAGTAGGTGGAGTTGGTCTAGGAGTGGTATTGATAACTGAAGCTGGAGTAGGCGGAGTTGGTCTAGGAGTGTTATTGATAACTGGAGCTTGAGTTTGCGGAGTTGGTCTAGGAGTGGTATTGATAACTGGAGCTGGAGTTGGCGGAGTTGGTCTAGGAGTGGTATTGATAACTGGAGCTGCAGTTGGCGGAGTTGGTCTAGGAGTGGTATTGGTAACTGGAGGTGGAGCAGGTTTAGTTAGTCTAGAAACAATCGATGATAATGGTGCTGGAGATGGGGGAGTAGGTACAGGAATTCTGTCCACCTCAGCTCTTGGTGTTGGCGTTTTTGGCAAGGGTGGTGCACGCGAATGAGGAGTCGTCGTTGTTGGGACTGCTGTTGAAAATTTGAACATTTCTGTCTCCCGACATGTCTGTGGGTTTGCTGATGTAGCGGTGGCTAGATGAAATGAGAAAAATATTTGGTATCACTCGTTAAGCCCATGAAAACAACTACAATTATGTACAATACAACAATGCGAAATGAAATGGTATATTGTTTTGCGTACATGTTGTTATTAATACCCAAATGACATATCGATGGAGTGTTGTGCATCAAAATATTGTTATAGATTGTATTTAACTTGTACATTGAACATGTTTGATTACAACATATAAAAAATTCATGAAGACTGATTCAAGTTTTAAAAAGGATATTTCACCTGCAAACAGCAAACCTCATTTATCGTGATTTTAAGAGATATTAAATTACTACAAGGGATACTTCACCTGTACGTGGATTGCCGAATATATTGTTTCAAAAAATACTTTACCTGGAGGCGGTGTACCATACATATTCTGATTGTTACACAAAGGGCCCTTGCAACATCTTGTCATCAGGACATCACCGTTACGTAGTCGTTTCCTCCTACTTCCGCTGACGACGTCACACACCTTTTGAATGGGTGAACATTATTTGAATCACTAATTTACATATGCCTAATTCATATGTATGAGAATACAGACAGTTAATATAAGTTATTCTTGCGTAGAGATTAAGACATCTTGAACTATAGTGATATAATTACTGTTAGTAGATATTGGGTCTTGATCTTAATATTTGATGTCGAGATTTTAATCACTTAGCAACACCATACCTTTTTGGAGAGGCATTCTAATTTCATACTGGCATCAGGGTACAGTAGTGACGAAGAACACATCTGAAAATAAAAGAATATTATTGGTGTTGGAAACTTCAGCTTGGTACAATTATTTACATTATGAGCATATTTTTGTTTCAGCTTTGGAACTAACAAAATGTGTTTAATGAAGAATTATCTACCTGATCCTGACCGCATTGCTTGATCGTTGTGCAGTTTTCTACTGTGGCGGCATTGCTACATGTTAGGCAAAAACGGTTCCAGGGGTCACTCTCTAAATCACAGAAAATATTATCGACAATTTACCACTCTCAACGCATAATTTATTATCATTACATATGGAAGAAGAAGAAGAAGAAGAAGAAGAAGAAGAAGAAGAAGAAGAAGAAGATATGTTATTCCTCGCAGTAACATACATTAGTGAGATATATGTAAACAGATGATATATGATGCATAAGGTCGATAATGGTACGCACCTGTTGAATGGAAACCTTGTACATTACAAACGTGAGATGAACAGCAGTGATGGTAAGTACGAACGCCGTCATAACCATTGGCTACGGCTTGCATGACATCACCATTACAGTTCACCTCCGTGCAACGCTTCGGCAATGATAAAATACCAAATAGTGTTTATTAGATATTAATTTATTAGGTCTAACTGATCTCTTTCTGCAATTTTTCCTGTTTTATCATGCCTTATGATTTCTTTAGATCGCAAACCGTATTAATCTGTGCCGACTCAAAAACTCTGCTGACTCCTAAACACATATTTTGTTGAAGATTTACAGTACTTCATATACATATTATTATGTCTACTTTTTCATATTTGTATTTGGTATGTTGTATTCTAGAACTCAGCACTTATAACATTCATAATTTAATGTACTTAACTACATATGACACGCAGCACTTCTACAGAAAGAGGAAATAATATCAGTAATGTCATGAAGCCTTACCTCCGATTCCTTACAACCAGCACTGTAAAGGATAACCTCCGCTCTTTGCTGTCCTGAAGAATTATGATCTGTCCCATTTAGAACTGATAATCTTTCAACGAAGCAGACCTATTGAGGAAATCAAATAGCGACATCTTTATATTAGCCTGATGCCTTTCCTGTTTTCCCCTACCTTACTACAGAGTCTAAAGCAAAGAACCATATCTTCACCTCCATATCAGTATACAATAGAAAACGCTTGTATGCCTTCACCATTACTATCTTTAGCATTCAATTAGTCAATTTGTTTTCAGAATGTGATCAGAGTATTTTCTATTCACTGTAATATAATTAACAGTATTTCTATTGTCTTGGAATAGCACAACTCTGAGTGGCAAAAAAGGACTAGTGTCAGTCAAATAACGCACCTGGTTATTTCTACAAGTTACAGTCGCATTGCAGTTATCCAGGGACGTGACTTTATCACACTGTAGACATGTGACTGGATCGGTGGCTGGATACATCCAAAAGGACCACGCAAACATACAAGAAACAATAATGTTCAGTGACATTCTATTTTGGGAGTTAAATCTAAAATTTTAAAGATTTCTCTGCGAGCATTAACGTATGATTGACATTCAAAGAGTTGATAGGCATTCTCAAAGATAAATCCCTATCTAAGACAAATAAAACCTGAGCTAAGTTTATACAGAAAACATCATCAACGTGTTGAAATTGATAACTTATTTATTATTCAAGTGGATTAAAGTAGTACCGTTTGGTTAAGAATAAAATATAATGGTATAAGATTACTTGGAAAATAGTTTTTCATTATTATCATTCTTTCGGATACATTCTGATATTATGATAAGTGTGACAGGTATGAATGCTGTATCTACCTTGTAATACTTGTATCCAATAACAGGACAGTACCGCGACCAGTATAACTACAATAGAAGCAGAATCAATTAGATAATTAGCGTATGTACAACAGGCGTGATGTCATACGTAGTATATATATTATTAAAATATTTAAATATAATGATAAAGAGACATATTTTTTGTTTGTTAGTTATAGATTTTATATGAAATTGATTAGCAGGAGATGCAATGTAAATGTGTATTTTCTTGCTTTGCAAAATAAGCGTATTCACCAAGTTTAATAAACATTTTCAAGTGACAAATGAGAAAATCATGTTATTGTATTCTATTTCTGCAATGACCTAGGGAAAACAAAACCTATCACAGAAGATGATAATATTATTGGCACTTTTTTTCCAAGCGGTGTAGATATTTTGATATTTTCCAGATGTACATATCAACTCCTTATAAACACATGCAAAAAGTAAACACAACAAACTTGATGTCACATGTAGTCACTAGACTTCCGTGTGAATGTGCGTAACCAACAATAAACAATAGATAATAAATACGATTTTTTATAGCAATTATCTAAATCGGTCAATATGTTAGATAAACGATCAACAGACACTATGGTATTGTTCTCATAAAACCACCTGATATGCAATCGTGTACATACACGTTCATCTAATAGCAGATAACTAATACCGAGATCATCTGTAGGGTAATAACAATTCTGGTTGTTAAATCAATAAAGACTCACCCTTAACGTTTGAAAACACGCTTCCATTTTCGTTTGAACCGCGCGACACCATTCTGGAGTAATCTTAGTTCAAAGGTCGGTTACACGTTATGAAAAAGTCCCACCAGTTCCCTGGGCTTCTAATAGAACAACACAATTCGAAACACAAATTCTCAAACAGAAGGGAATGTGCAAACATAACAAGATATTATATCATAATAACAATTGATGTACATATTGTCAATTAATCTACGAAGATATCTTAACTAATGTTTTAACATTCTGGTGGTCTATATTAAACGGTCCAATCACTCATTTAAATGATCAAATTATCAAAATGTTAAATATCCGAATAAAGTTTGTCTCCAAGAAAACTAAAATGTTGACGTTTTCATGAATTAATTCCTCGATATGATAGTTTGTCTGTCAACCTTCAGAAGAGAACAAAATAGTGTTGAATATCGCATCCATCATTCATTTTAAATGCTAATGCTGGATTTGATTTCTCTTTCATTAGGAGGTTAATAATGAATGAAAATTAATTTGGTTGCCCATAAATAGTACACTGTGAAAGTATCGGTCAGTTCAAGTATAGCAATAGTCAAAGATCAGGTTGAGCGGGAAAAGACTGGACTTCAGTTTATCACTGATTTCACATCCGGGAATGACGTTCCATGTCTTAAAAACTATTAGATAATTACCGCATTTAATTGATAAATATACAATTCTAACTTTATTCATGTCATTATTTATTTCTAACAGACAACAAGATCTGTATAACATTATAAGTATATGAACAATCGCTGAGCCATTTTTTCAAGTTGTTTCTTTACAAACCTATTTTATTATTACTTACTCCTAACCGACTACAAAACACAGAACACTGAAATATGTAGTCATCTTCTCCAAACGGGAAATATTAAAAATGTTAGAAAACCATTCCTATTTTAGTCAGTCTATGGTATTTTGTTAGATGAAATACGGTAGTGAATAAGATTAGAAGAGTCAGAAGAAGGCAATGGAAAAGAGAGATTAATTCTTAATAAATCAGTGGTAAGTTAGGGTCTAAGCCATCGCGTGTGTTGGTATACTAGTGATGTTTTAATTGATATTAACGAAGGTACATTACCCATCAACATAACAAACAGCATTACGACACAGATCACATGTACGCCTATAGTTAAGATACTATCTATAAATATATTGTTGAACTTTTAACAGCTGTTTCCTTTATCATCTTATATGTGTGTCATGTCTACCACTGTCGAGTAACGAGGTCATATACCGGACATTTTGTACTTTAAAATTGAATCAAAGAAAAGGATGTACTATTACATAATTTACGGAAACGGTACTAATTGAAAGAGTTAATTCTATATGAAAATCATAGTAGATAGACATTGTACAACAATCCCAATTCAACTTATTTCAACTTTAAACTTATATCTTTGTTGCCAAAGTAAACACATCCGTTGCACAATTCCTGTGTATTAGTGTCGTTATTTATTGAAGGTTATCATTATTGTTCTTGTGGCGTCAACAATAACGCAAATTTTAATCTTGCGTCAGTTTATTAAAATATCGTTCTATGATAAACAGAAATTCATGAAACTTTCCACAAACAGTTCCTTTAACCTCGCTACCTGCACGGTAAATGAAAAATTCAAATACATGTTTCATCAATTTTCTATGATTGGAAACTCGCTGTCGGTCATTAAAACATGACAATGCCTGTTCACAGGTTAAACTTTAACTACTCCGATAAGACGAGAAAAACCAGCTGTTTTACTCACGATCTATTACAGAGGCTATGCTTGAACTTACTTAGTAACGGCTGGTATCGAACATTATTGTCTGGTTTTTTTTACGTCTATCAACATGGTTTACTATTCCGTTTATAGCTGTGTACCAATTCTAGCGACTATCATGATATGTACGTACCAACAATACCTAGAAATCTCTTTTACTTACCAATTTGAGTTATCTAACTTATTATTGTATATAAAACTCATCGGATTCTTAACAACTTAAACTGTTGCATTAATTTTTATACATTGCACAACGTTTCAATTTACAGCGGTATATGGCCTATCACCACCATTGTCAGAAGAGGCCCTAAAGTAAGTTCACTGAAGAAATGATAGTCACAGAGACGCGTGACCTTTTGTTTATGAAAATTGATTAATGATAATTGAATGTAACCCTGATACATAACACCTCTATATCTATACGCGTTTAAATAATAAAAAAACAACGATAATATATACTAATCAGTAATTAATACAAGCAAACTTACAGTCGTTCGAAACATGCATTACACTCGATATTGGTATTTGGCACGTGACTAGACCAGCAATACAGTTATAAAAGCTTACAAGTAACATATTTCAGATAACATGTACAATATATTTATTGATATAAGTATTCATTTTAAAACATTTTATATAAACACAATGTTTTCTCAGTTCATTGGACAAAGACGTTCGCTACTCTATATTTCATTCGAAGATCCATCACCATGGTAACCATTCTACGAAAACTTCATTCAAGAGTATGTACGTGGGTGAAGGAGGGAAAATTTACAGCACACCACAAATATTTGCGCAGACAATCAATGTCGACGCCACACAGGCAGTGTCTAGCGACATTTTATGGAAGGTGAAGACTGATATGTATATTTAATATTTTTATTTTGCCCATCATTTCAGAAAATAACTCAATATGTATTGATATAATAATCCTAATTTTCAAGTTATTGACCTGAACAACAATAAACCTGAATACACTATGACTGAAGTTGATGAATGAACAAGAAGGGGGACATTGTAGAAAGTTTACTTGCCGAAATATGCACCATTAAATTCCATTCTCTGCGGTCTATTCCTCAAAGCCCACCGTTTAGTTAACAGTAGGAGATATGCATGATTGAAAGAATCCGAATTACAATGTTTCTAAGCGATTAATTCCCCGACACTCCAGGGTTATGTCCACTATCACTCTCTTTGATTAAGTGCTTAGATCCTATATGTTACAACAAAAGTATTATTTATAAATAATTAACTGGATTAATTGTGCCTGAATATTGACACAACATGTTCCTCGTTACAATAGGCTACAGTAATCGTGGCCAACATGGTGAGGTACATGCCCGCGGACATCTTCGCCGGTGTAGCTAACAGCCATGGCGTAGGAATATTCACTGCCGCAGATGGTGCCACTGCTTTTCCAGAGAACGCACATCTAGCAGATACTCCTCAGTGTCATGGTATAAGTTATTTCATATTTCGTGTTTCTAAATTTATAAGTGATTTATTCCATCACGTACGTAACCTGTCCCGTTATTGGTGATTTATTTCATTCCAAATATGTTGTTTCAGTTCGTGTTTAGAATTGATGTACCCAGTCTGTTTATTTTAATCCTTCATATTTCCCATTATCGCTGCTTTTCTTTTAATAGGTATATGCTCTGGAGCATGTGCACATACATGTACAACTGACGGACGTAAGTATTCAACAATTGCCGGAATTACCAATTCCCGGTCTGTGGCACTCTCTGTCAATGTTGGCTGTCAGACTGGAGACCCTCAAGCGGGAAAGGAAAACATTCTGGTGCACGAGTTCGGACACCTTGTATTGATGTACATGCCACAGACATACAGAAGTCAGGTAGCATAAATTATTGCAGTCATTACAATACATTACCCAGGTACTTATAAGCATACGACTGATTAAAGTCTTACGTTGGTCATTGCGAGTATAACATTTAACATCTATTGCAAAAATATATATGGAATCTGATTATTTAAAACTCGTGCAAAAAGATATGTTTGGAGTAAGTTACATAATCATTTTCTGTAGGAATCGCGTTGTTCATCATTCAGTAGGTCATGATTTTGAAGATCCCAAGAAATACTGTTAAAAATAATATGTATATGACCATTTCGAAATTCATCAGGTACCAAGCCTAGGAATCCGGTCTCAACCACACACATGTATTGTGGCCGAGATTGATGTTTATATAAATATGTTTATCACCAACTAATGTATATTGGGTATAAAGATGTACAATTCTTCATTGTTTCATTACTAGTTGATCACCGCCTACAACTATGCATCCCAACATAATGTATGGTATCCAGGATACGAGCTTAGCAACAAGGATGAGTATTGGGCCGAGGCAACGGCTTCTTTCTTCAATGTCATAACAAGGGATGACGGACCAGCAGGTGGAATGAATAAGTACGTGTTGATATTTTTCACAGAAAAGGGAAACAGTTATAAAGAATAGCTAAATTGTGATATTTTCTTTAATTGATTTTCTAAAATAACGCGTTTTGGTATGGACAGAATTGACCTGTGCACAGAATGCTGGGGTAAGTAGTGATAACCTAAATTAGGCCAAACTAACCTACTATGGTCAAGTTCATTTGTTTTCCCAGCCTTATTCCGGCTGATTCCGAGGATTCATGATTCTAGACTTGTTTTATTTTTAAAACGTCGGTTGAAGATTTTAAGAAATTTGACCCATGTGACCTTGAATATAGGTCAAAGTCATATTCCGGGTCTTTTGGTTCATCATCACTGACGATTCCTTACAGAAAGAAACAGCATTATGTTGCGGTTCAATCCAATATCTGGTCCTATCTAATTGTATACCAGGGTTGTGGCGCTCGGGTCAAACTCCTTTCATTTTGGATGTACAATTGAATTTGGTTATCAATCGCCTTAAGCATAACAACATTGAGCGGGGAAACACTGACAAAATTGTCACATGCTCCATGTTCACACATTGTGTTATTTTGATTGAAGGTGTGAATTCACCCACATTTGCACTTCTGAGACGGAGAACAGAGCCTGGCTAAAAAAGCATGACCCATGGTTATTCAATGTCCTCAGCAAAGTCTACACCAACAACCATCCTGAGTACCCTAGTGGACTGCGGATATGTATGTAATTGATACAGAAATTCGTGTAATAAAATGGAAACCATTACAATTGCGTCGATAATCACACACTTTTGGAAACAGGAAATCGGGTTGATGACCACGCTGTAGCAAAGGAGAACTTAAAAACACACATAATGTGAGACAAGTACATAATTTAAGACCTATCCCAAGAATAACAAGACTAAACACGCATAGTTTGAAACTAGACTTAAGAATAACAAGACAAACTAAAGACTGCACCCTTAGCAATTATGACGTGGGCGAGTTTAAACACCGTGCAATACCATACGCACGGACTTTTGTGGTGGGACCCATGAACAAGTCTAGAGTCATGAACTTTGAAGTTAAACTAACGAACGAAAATACCAAACTCGGGTACTGGGAGACTAAACCAACGTACAAGACTATACACTCGGACTTTTTGGGATTAACCCCATGGACAGCAAGACTAGACGCACAGATTTTTTAGCCTTGACCCATAACAACAAAACTAGCCGTACGGACTCTTGTGGCTAGACCCACGATCGTCAAGACTAAACGCTTGAAATGACTAAAGGTTTTTATCGTCCTATAAAACTAGTTCAGCGTATTTCTATTTAATACAATACGAATTTGTTCTCGATAAAGACCTCTTTTCATCACATGATTCCTTCTGAGTTTCTTAATGGCGAGTTCACTCATCACACTTCTAGTTTATGGACAAATAGCAGACATTTAGTGTCCATCTTCTGAAGTTATCAACATAGCATTCATGGGTTGAAGTTCAGTTGGAGGCCCCTATGATGCTCAATTCACCGTTGCAAAAAGGTGACCCGGTCTACCCCCACATCTCTACTTAGCAGGTGAAACACCTCCTCAATGTTAACAAGAAAGTAAGAATCGGGACGAGGGTCACACTTCTATGGAAGTCCAGGAGCGCTACCTGTCGAGGGAACCGCTACCCGTGGCCTTCCAGAAGTAGCTTTATCCCTGGGCATCGTTTCCAACGTTGGGGTCGTGTTTTGCCCGACAGGAGCTGCCGGCGCATTTGGGGGGTGTTCCTGTGGCTACGCCTGTAGTGATCCCCTTGGTAATCCTGCCCTTGGAGCGGCCGTCTCGGTGCTTTGGCGTTCCGGATAGGAGTCTGTTTAATACCAGTTTTTTGCGCCCCTGTTCCAGTATGACCGGCTAGGAGAACGCCTCAACCCATCCGGACCTCCTCCTTTTTCTGCACTTCCGTTTGGTGGGCCAGGTTATCCTCCTGTCCCTGCAGGAACGACATGTTAAATGTGGAAGGCGGGACGGACACTTTATCTAATCGCAGTTTAAGGAATACGTAAACAAAAATGCAGATATAGATGGTGTACTATGACGATGCTGGATATCGAAGGTGATAACCTGAATACAGTGTTTAGATAACACTGTGGGTTTATCTATCCTAGTCTCCGATTACGCATGAACAGCTCAATTTTATGCAGAACAAAAGACAAGATGCCCAAGGGGCCTACATCGTTCACATGGCTATTCAGCCATCTAATGAAGAATTTCAAATGTGACAATTTCTGATTTAATTTCCGTATTGAGTCTCACCCCTGTAGTAAAACACAGGTCAGATTCACTATTAAATGAAAATTGCTTCAGAACAAACTTGGACAATATCCGTGTGGAAGGACTTTTAAGAACTTACATTTCCCCTATTGAGCCCACCCCTCCCGCTCTAGAGGCCCAGAATGTACCGTTTATATAGCACTTAGCACCCTCCACCCAAGAATACTCAAGACCAAATTTGGACAATATCCGTTTATTCTTAGAGGAAAATTTCCTCGTTTTGGCATCACCCCTGGCAACCAACTTTGTTTTCCCTTCACCCTAGAACACTTCTGACCAAATTTGGGCAATATCTAATCATTCCAAATGGAAAAGTAGGATTTTGCGAAATTTGCTCTATTTCCATAACAGGGCCCCACCTCTCCCACCCAAGTAGGCCAGAATCCACTGTCTATACACGACTGATTCCGCTTCATCCAAAAGTACTTCACACTAAATTTGGGAAATATCCATTCATTCCAACAAGAGAGGCAGGATTTTAAACATTTGCTCTATTTCTCAAATTGGGCCCCGCGCTTTCCTCCCCAGGAGGCTGCGATCCATCGTTTCAATAAAAATCGATTCCCTTTCATCCAAACATGATTCAGACCCAATTTGGACAAAAGCCAATCGTTTCTGCAGGAGGAGTAGGATTTTAAAGAATTTGCCCTCTTTCCCCTATTGGGCCCCACCCAGAGGGCCGTTTATACAAAATTGATTTCACTTCACCAAAAGATGCATCTGACCAAATTTGGCTGAAATCCAATCATTCCAACAGGAGTAAGGTTTTTAAAATAAAATGCTCTATTTCTCCAATTGGGCCCTGCCCCAGGAGGCTGAGATCCACCGTTTATACTAAATTAATTTCCTTTCACTTAAACATAATTTAGAGAATTTTGGAAAAAAATCCAGTCATTCTTACAGGAGGAGTCGGAATTTAGATATTTTCTCTACTCCAGCTATTTGGCCCCGCCCTCCAGTCGCAAGGTGCCAATATCCACTGTTTATACAAAACTAATTCCCGTTCAACCAAGATGCTTCACACAAAATCTGACAATACAATTCCATCACCAATGTGTCATTATGTGTTACGGTCATTCGTAAGTGTGTGAGGTTCGTAATATACATAATGTACTTTACGTTCTAAAATTACCAGATATATAAAATTTATGAAATTTATTAATGGAGGTGGAGGTTGCAAGTGGTAGATACTGCTGGAGGACTTTTAGTCCCCAGGAGTTACTGTAACCTGCATTGCACGCTTTAATTCAATGGAATGATGACACGGTTCAGAATATACACATGTACTTTACATTCTTCTAAAATTATCAGATATATGAAAATTACTGCAGTTATGGGGCTTGTGCACGTCCTATCTAGAAAATGACATTACTTCCAATCACTTTTGAATTTGGGATTTTCCTCAGTCCCCTCACTGAAAAGTACTAGAAAGAGGAATCTGATGCTTGATGCAGTTCATTGTTTGGTTCCACTGTATCGGACTCTAATTTTTCATTTCAAGGTGCTATTCACGTGTGTCTTTTGTCTTTGACCATTATCCAATAAGGAACGAGGACTGTCAATCAATATGTGTTTACAGTTTATTCCATGTATGGCATAAATGTTTGTAAATCTTTCAACAACTTATGTAATTGATGCCTTAATTAACACCTATCCATTATGGTAGAAATAGCCTTCCTCAACACATTACTTGCACAAGGTGTATATCAGCAACTGAGTCACACTAATTTAGTGGTTTCTCTTTGGTAGTTTCTCTATAATTGTTTCGTAAATGGAGATTGAAAGTCAAGAAATATGATTTACATGTAATATATCTACATTTATTTGCTTAATTTTCAAAGAGTCTCAATGATCACCATTTGAGAATCGCATAATTATTACAAATTTGAACAACCTTACCTTCATATGTAACAAACGCACGCATGATCTAAATAACAATATTTACAAGTAAAACGTATAAAATGAAAGAAGATACGGCGAAAACGTAAGAAAAAAACTATCATTAAATAGGTCTCTATCATATTCCTATGGTATGTCAAAATTGTTTGATTACATCCATTCTACATATTCCTAGCTGGTAATTTTAAGGTTCACCAAATAAGTTATAATTTGGCAAGCATAGTTACAGAGCTTTACGTTCTAAAATTACCAGATATATAAAATTTATGAAATTTATTAATGGAGGTGGAGGTTGCAAGTGGTAGATACTGCTGGAGGACTTTTAGTCCCCAGGAGTTACTGTAACCTGCATTGCACGCTTTAATTCAATGGAATGATGACACGGTTCAGAATATACACATGTACTTTACATTCTTCTAAAATTATCAGATATATGAAAATTACTGCAGTTATGGGGCTTGTGCACGTCCTATCTAGAAAATGACATTACTTCCAATCACTTTTGAATTTGGGATTTTCCTCAGTCCCCTCACTGAAAAGTACTAGAAAGAGGAATCTGATGCTTGATGCAGTTCATTGTTTGGTTCCACTGTATCGGACTCTAATTTTTCATTTCAAGGTGCTATTCACGTGTGTCTTTTGTCTTTGACCATTATCCAATAAGGAACGAGGACTGTCAATCAATATGTGTTTACAGTTTATTCCATGTATGGCATAAATGTTTGTAAATCTTTCAACAACTTATGTAATTGATGCCTTAATTAACACCTATCCATTATGGTAGAAATAGCCTTCCTCAACACATTACTTGCACAAGGTGTATATCAGCAACTGAGTCACACTAATTTAGTGGTTTCTCTTTGGTAGTTTCTCTATAATTGTTTCGTAAATGGAGATTGAAAGTCAAGAAATATGATTTACATGTAATATATCTACATTTATTTGCTTAATTTTCAAAGAGTCTCAATGATCACCATTTGAGAATCGCATAATTATTACAAATTTGAACAACCTTACCTTCATATGTAACAAACGCACGCATGATCTAAATAACAATATTTACAAGTAAAACGTATAAAATGAAAGAAGATACGGCGAAAACGTAAGAAAAAAACTATCATTAAATAGGTCTCTATCATATTCCTATGGTATGTCAAAATTGTTTGATTACATCCATTCTACATATTCCTAGCTGGTAATTTTAAGGTTCACCAAATAAGTTATAATTTGGCAAGCATAGTTACAGAGCTTTACGTTCTAAAATTACCAGATATATAAAATTTATGAAATTTATTAATGGAGGTGGAGGTTGCAAGTGGTAGATACTGCTGGAGGACTTTTAGTCCCCAGGAGTTACTGTAACCTGCATTGCACGCTTTAATTCAATGGAATGATGACACGGTTCAGAATATACACATGTACTTTACATTCTTCTAAAATTATCAGATATATGAAAATTACTGCAGTTATGGGGCTTGTGCACGTCCTATCTAGAAAATGACATTACTTCCAATCACTTTTGAATTTGGGATTTTCCTCAGTCCCCTCACTGAAAAGTACTAGAAAGAGGAATCTGATGCTTGATGCAGTTCATTGTTTGGTTCCACTGTATCGGACTCTAATTTTTCATTTCAAGGTGCTATTCACGTGTGTCTTTTGTCTTTGACCATTATCCAATAAGGAACGAGGACTGTCAATCAATATGTGTTTACAGTTTATTCCATGTATGGCATAAATGTTTGTAAATCTTTCAACAACTTATGTAATTGATGCCTTAATTAACACCTATCCATTATGGTAGAAATAGCCTTCCTCAACACATTACTTGCACAAGGTGTATATCAGCAACTGAGTCACACTAATTTAGTGGTTTCTCTTTGGTAGTTTCTCTATAATTGTTTCGTAAATGGAGATTGAAAGTCAAGAAATATGATTTACATGTAATATATCTACATTTATTTGCTTAATTTTCAAAGAGTCTCAATGATCACCATTTGAGAATCGCATAATTATTACAAATTTGAACAACCTTACCTTCATATGTAACAAACGCACGCATGATCTAAATAACAATATTTACAAGTAAAACGTATAAAATGAAAGAAGATACGGCGAAAACGTAAGAAAAAAACTATCATTAAATAGGTCTCTATCATATTCCTATGGTATGTCAAAATTGTTTGATTACATCCATTCTACATATTCCTAGCTGGTAATTTTAAGGTTCACCAAATAAGTTATAATTTGGCAAGCATAGTTACAGAGCTGTTTGTCGACCAGCATTTCTAATATGGAGATCAACAATATGGGAATAAGATATGAACACAACAGAATCTGCAACATGGCCTCAGCTCACTTCACCATTAAAACAATATCAAAAGGAAATGACAACAATAGAAAACAATGTCAGTGTTACAATAGAAATGTAATTTGAAATATATGTGTAAATATTCTAAAATGCATGAAAACAAAATTTATGATCAATTTATTTTTATTCTCTCAAATATAGGCTAGTCCATTGCACAAACTTGAACACCTTTGTAAAATAAGTACAGGTATAAAGTTAATCACCTGTATCGAGGACTAATGAAGCTAGAAGGTACTTTATAGAAGAAAAATAAGCCTTCCGACAATTAATACATCACTTAGAGACACTGCTTTCCCTTCAGCCATCTCACATGATTATTATCAAAAAGGTTGTAAGTGCTGTATGTTTCCATTTTGTATGAAGAATTACTTAATTTTATTTCCTTGATCAGTATTTCAACACCACTCATTAAATGTACGATCTCATTATCATGATATATTCATCAATATAATTGCATGTTATCAATAAGAGATGAACTACATCAACAGTTTTATCTACATAACAGATGTAGCTTCATCGAAGCATCTAATATTTCTGTTTCTATATCAACAGTATAATTGAAATTAATATTATACAATACAAATGAACAACTTGACTTGTCATTACCGCAATTTTCACAAATAAACTCCAAGGAATACATACAAGCACACATTAAAATGGTAAAATTTTCTTCAAATTCAAAAAGGAATCTCTCAATAAAACATACAAGAGCTAAAAACAAACATGTATGTAAGTGGAAATAAACAGAAATAAACAGAAATAAATGCTTACTAAATAAATTTTCGAGAGTCAACTATAAGAAAATACATGTAGCGGTACCATATAAAGAAAATTGTATTCACAAGGCCTGAACGTCCACTTTGGATTACAAGAACAGATTTTCTTTTTTAACAATGTATGTTTTAAAGAGATTCTACACTGAAATGGTATGATCTCAATTATTATGTTAGCCTTGTTATATTAGAAAACTATAATACAGAGAATCTTATTGACAATACACAAACAAATACAGTAGATGATAATTACATTTTGTGTGACAGCACATCCCTGATATCAAAAGAAAAAATGAACACGTTTCAGATCACTTTTATAAATATCTAACTTTAGTATATTGAGAAAAAATAAAGGTGCAATATTATTTATTACTACAACTCTGTATCACAATTTATGCTGCAAGTTTCTATATGAACAAAACCAAAAACAAGTTTGATCAGCATCATTAACACTATATGTTGCATGGTTTTGCTAGGGTTTGCATCCAGAACTTCTAACTTGCAAGTCTTGTGTAATATTCTACCTATTAAGCTGAAGAGAAATTCTCCCAATTTCAGTCAGTAGGAAACAACTATATGTAAGACTGTTTTATTTTTGCCAGAGTGAAATACTCCCATCCCAGAAAGAACTAGGTAAAACCGTCATCCCGAGGATAACTTATACCCTCCCCCCTTTAAACCAAATTTGGTCAAAAGTCAATGAAAAAGTCAATACGAGTTTAAAAACCAGGTTCTAAAATGAGCTAAAACATATCAACAATTATCTGTTTGTATTTTATCAAACGACTTCAGATCATGAGAATGAAATCATAAAAAGATCATGTACAGAATCAACATCCCATATCCAGCGATAAACAAATAAATAAATGCCCATTATTTTCAACGTAATTATATGTCACTGTCCCTTTCTAATTTGATGTGTGCTACATACTTCAACACACCCCTGGTTTATATCATCACATAACATTTTACATACATCAACATTCTCTTTCCAATTCTCAAACACATGTCATTATTAAAGGATGCTGCTAATTACTTTGTGTCCATAGTTAAGTTCAAAAACATGGCAAGAATTTGAAAAATACAAATCATATGTACGTTTTGACTTTATAGTATCAATACATCATCCTTTAATACTATTTATGAAAGAAATCAGCACTCTTAATCCATTACCAACTATTGCAAAAATTTAATAAAAAAAAAAAAAGAAAAAAAAATGTTAGAAAAAAACCCCTGAAAATTTGGAAAAATTCATTTGAAGTCAAAAAGAGGAAAAAACCCGTATTATATGTAAAATGGTATTTTTCAAGTGTGAACCAAATTTTTAGTTGAATGGGTACACGGAAAATGGCTATTTATAAAAATGCATACCCAGACAAAATTGTGTTCCTGTGGGGACACCTCAATGTAAAGTCACTTCAAGGGGCACATCTCCATAATGTACAGGCCATTCCAACAAAATTGAAAAAAAAGACCTGTCACAACTGAGTGAATGCATAGCCGGACAAAGTTTGTCTACAGATGGACAAACAGACAAGCTGATTCCAGTATTAACCCCTTCCCTCTCCTCAACTTAATTGCGGGGTGTGGGGTTGTTAACACTAGTCCTTGAGATCTCAACATTTAACTGCAATGCTTGTAAATTTCTACAAGGGTTCGAAGGTCAAATTGGGTATTATTACACCATGCATCCACTTGGGATAAATATGCAGTCTGTGGCTTACTAGTCATAAACTCTTCAACTTAATATTAAGAGAAATTTCTCCTGGTCAATTTGGCAAGAAGCAGATACATTTTCACCAGGGTTACAAACACATACATTTCATTAATATTGAATAGTTTCATAACATTTTTATTTATTCGATCTCAGTTGAAGGATGAAAGATGGGACAAAAAACTAGCAATAAAGTAAAAAATGTAAATGAAGGGCAGATAACCAGTGAATAGAATAATTCAGGTAAATAGCCAGCGGATGTAGAAGTATGGAAATGTATTGACCATATATCTATATATATATATACACCATATTTTGAGGCTTTCAAAGGATCATTAATCCTGTACATATTTTTTGTACATCATCAGAATAAATCTTATATATCTGAATAAGGGAGAAATAAAGAGAGGGATGATTTCTTCACACAAAACCATAGGATTATACAATATTCATACATACATGATATCTTTTTCAATAAATATAATCACGCAAAATTTACCCAAATGTAATAAAATGAATAACACCTTCAATATATTATAACACCTAGTATCTTAAACAATCCCTTGGGTTCTCATTGTAAACAACAAATTAATGCACCCTTAATTGTGGCATACTAACTCCACTTAAAGGATTATATCTCACAAATGCATTTAATATGACATGCTATAAAACACAACATTATCATAGAGGAGATAATTCTTATCTCTGTTGTAAAGTCAAAACATATGATAAGTGATAAATCCACATTTATGGGACCCCAGAAAGTTTTGGAAATACTCAAATTTTACATCATGGGACCCATAATTCTTAGCAATTATGTTGAAAAGGACTCGTGAAAATAAATTCTAGATTAATCACTGTATAAACATGGATAGCAAACTCTGAATTACAAATCATGCCCTTTACTGTGTACAAAACATATCAGATCATATTGGAACACATTCTATATTGTTTGTATATATCACAAAGTATATCAAATCATAGTGTAAAACATCTAAAGGAATTTCTTAAACTTAGATCACTGAAGCCACAACAAGTCTTTATTATACTGAAAGTTACTTATTGACCATAAAATTACAGTATGCCTTTTTGTTTCTCAGCAGTTATATTGCACACATGTATTTTGTGAAGCATCTATGTCTTTAATTAGTTTGTAGATGCTGCCACATAATAACCGAATTAACAAATAAGTCTATTGTAAAATGTTGTACAACAGAGACAAAATTGACAAGCAAGTTTAAAATGTAGCATCAAAGTGACTTGATTAACAGATAGGTTTAAAATCTGTAACAAAGAGACTAATTTCAAATCTGTACTGTACATATCTAATGTATTATGGCAGATATTTCAGTTATATGAATAGAGAATTAATGTCTTTAGTAATAACAAATATTTTTCACAAGTGTTTCTATTGTTTTAGTATCATTAACAAGTGGTCAACACGAGTGAAAGATACTAAAAATATTAGACGCCTGAGTGAAATGTATTAGTTATTACTGAAGACACTATTAGATATTTTATTCATTACGTTTTCACAAGCAAAATGTCCAAATTACTGACATATTTACAACAGATATAAGACGAGGAAGCTGACTAGCTTTTCCAAGACACTACTCGCTCATTATAAGTGTGCAGCAAAATATAGTCCGTCTTTAAAAAAAATCATTGAAAATATGTAAACACAAAAATAAATTTCAATGTACTATGTAAATCTATTTTTATATTTACACAAAAAATGTTACTTATTCATGTTACTAACAGACAAAATTTGCTGTAAAATGTTCAGACAGAGTCTACCTGTGACAAGTTACTATGCAGCTAAAAATATGATAGCGACCTACAGCTGTGGCTGTTGATGACACGAATCCCCTTGAAATGTCTAATGTGTTAGCTCCATATTCAATGAAGTGTTGGGGATTGCGTTTAATCTCTGATAAGGTAATTTGCATTGCATGGGTTGTTGACTTTCATAGAAATGAAAGTTTACCATGGAATTGAAAGTCATGAGTTAAAAACCCCTTCAGGTTTCTGGTTTTGTGTTTCTTGTACCAGGCTTTATGACTTGTCAATTTTATAAGATGATTGGTGTTTTCTCTCTCATCAATGAGATATATTCTATATTATACTGGCAAAAATGTAATAAAATAGTGTAGCAGCACAACATGATCAGCTATCTCCAGGTAATAGTACTGTATATGAAAGAATACCAACTTTGTGATCAAAGATCAAGCTAATCAGTACAGGGTATTTCAAACAGCAGCTGCTCAATGTGGTCGACCAACGAATGAGTCTGAATTATGCCTCAGTCTTTTCGCACTCTTATTACTTGGACGAAGCAGTTCTTGAATATGTTGAACAATTAAGTCAATCGCCACTACAAAAAGAAAAAGGGAAGATAACTCATCCAGATGATAATCATGACATACAAATGACTGATACCTATAGGAGTGTTGTCAAAGTAATTAAATCTGAGCAAAATAAAAACGTTCAAAGCAAAGAAATATCAATACACAAAGTTATTCTGGAATGTCTTATGTCTGTAAAATCATAGTAAAATCTGTCTTAACAGCAATGAGAACAGGCAGATCCAAAATCTTAGCATAGATGCACAACTTCAGTTTGTATGAAATCTAACTACATCTTCAGAGCTTCACAAAGTTTTGATGAGAACAGTTGGCGGAGTTATCTGGACAAGATGCCGTACACAGATAGACAGATGGATGGACAGTTAGACAATTTATGTTTATTGCTGCTCAAGTCTTATTACAGCTTAGGTCATTTTAGATCATGCCTGGTTTTGACAGTGGAGGAAAGTCAGTATTTCTGGAGAAAAACCACCAATCTGCAGCCAGTACCTTATGACTGTCCATGTTGGCCTTGAACCCATGACTCAGAGGTGGAGGGGTCAGATGCCTTAACCACTCAACCATTGCTGTCCAGACAGACAGACAAGACATATAGGGAGACAAACTGATTCCATTATACCCCCACCTTTGATGAAGAAGAGGTGTAATAAGGTCCCCCATTCCCCCTAAAGAGCAACTTTCACCCTCTGAACCTACATACCTGTATTATCAGCTCCTCGTGGTATTATCACATCAGCATATTTTTTAGTCTGAAAACATTGAATGTTAGCACAATAATATCTGTTTGTGACATAGTTCTGAATCAATGTAAAAAGCATTTTACAAAAGATGTAAATCTTGTTTTTCATCTATGTAGAGTTTTAAGGAACACAATGAGACATGGAAATCATTTTAAAATAACAAAATATAATCAATGATTTATATTAGACAATATTTTTTTGTCAAGTAAAAACTTTGCCATTTAAGCTTTTACTTAATTAGTGGGACAATTGTATCGAAATAGTATGCACAGTGAATCATCCATATCAATATACACTAGTGTTTTGTTATTCTGCACATTATTGGGATAATGCGTGGTAAAACATGGATTAAACAATCATACAATTACACAATACAAGTACAGGTATATATTGTCTTTTAGATATTCTGCATTTTAGTATATTACCGACTGTATGACTTATGTTGACAGTTGGATGTTAAGATAACTTGTCAAGAGTCAAATTTACTCCAAACACATCAGATCATATAGGTAATGTTATGACATTGTTCAGTTAATTACCGTCATATTTTTCAGCATGTGTCTTTTACACAAAGAACATTTAAAATCAAAGGAAATCTTAAAAGTGCCTAGTAAATTATAAAACCTATAACAAAGACTAAGAAAGTATCAAATTAAAACAGAAAACTTACAGGTAAACAGAATTCCTCAAATGCTGGCTTGACTAGAGTTGTGTATTGGTGAAGGATTTGTTCTATGTCTCTTCCTCTGTCACGTGTATCTCTTAACACTGTAAGAAATGTTTTATTTACAACTGAACAGTAGCATATGTTTCCAAAATTTGTATGTTATGATTTGTATATTTGAAGTAGCTGCTTGGACAAAAACTTGTATTCCATTAAATTATCTACAATCGAATACAACCAGCTGGATTCAGCATCTCTAATATGCCACAACCTGTAGTTGCCTCTTACTGACATAATATTATCTGAATGAGTCACTGTCAAGTACATGAAAGTAATTCAGCATTTAGCAGATGCATATTGACTTGTCCTGCCATCAATAAATAATAATTTGATTAATTGGTATTTGGCTAATTGATACTGGTAAATGCTGATGCTATGAAATCACTTAATGAAGACCAGATAGTCCTGAGATTATCAGACCTCACAAGAACAGTCTGGAGTCTAGATCAGTACCTCTCCTGGACAGTATGATGTCTAGACTAATACCTCTCCTGGACAGTATGGTGTCTAGACCAGTACCTCTCCTGGACAGTATGATGTCTAGACCAATACCTCTCCTGGACAGTATGGTGTCTATACCAGTACCTCTCCTGGACAGTATGGTGTCTAGACCAGTACCTCTCCTGGACAGTTTGATGTCTAGACCAATACCTCTCCTGGACAGTATGATGTCTAGACCAATACCTCTCCTGGACAGTATGGTGTCTAGACTAGTATCTCTCCTGGACAGTTTAGTGTCTAGACCAGTACCTCTCCTGGACAGTATAATGTCTAGACCATTACCTCTCCTGGACAGTCTAGTGTCTAGACCAGTATCTCTCCTGGACAGTCTGGTGTCTAGACCAGTATCTCTCCTGGACAGTTTGGTGTCTAGACCAGTACCTCTCCTGGACAGTATGGTGTCTATACCAGTACCTCTCCTGGACAGTCTAGTGTCTAGACCAGTATCTCTCCTGGACAGTTTGGTGTGTATCTCTCCTGGACAGTTTAGTGTTTATACTAGTTCCTCTCCTGGACAGTTTGGTGTCTAGACCAGTATCTCTCCTGGACAGTTTAGTGTTTATACTAGTTCCTCTCCTGGACAGTTTGGTGTCTAGACCAGTATCTCTCCTGGACAGTTTAGTGTTTATACTAGTTCCTCTCTGGACCTGGTGACAGTCTGGTGTCTAGACCAGTACCTTTCTGGACAGTCTGGTGTCTATACCAGTACCTCTCCTGGACAGTATGGTGTCTATACCAGTACCTCTCCTGGACAGTATGATGTCTAGACCAATACCTCTCCTGGACAGTATGGTGTCTATACCAGTACCTCTCCTGGACAGTATGGTGTCTAGACCAGTACCTCTCCTGGACAGTATGGTGTCTAGTACCTCTCCTGGACAGTATGGTGTCTAGACCAGTATCTCTCCTGGACAGTTAAGTGTTTATACCAGTTCCTCTCCTGGAGAGTATAATGTCTAGACCATTACCTCTCCTGGACAGTCTAGTGTCTAGACCAGTACCTCTCCTGGACAGTCTGGTGTCTAGACCAGTATCTCTCCTGGACAGTTTGGTGTCTAGACCAGTATCTCTCCTGGACAGTTTGGTGTCTAGACCAGTACCTCTCCTGGACAGTCTGGTGTCTAGACCAGTATCTCTCCTGGACAGTATGGTGTCTATACCAGTACCTCTCCTGGAGAGTTTGGTGTCTAGACCAGTACCTCTCCTGGACAGTATGGTGTCTATACCAGTACCTCTCCTGGACAGTTTGGTGTCTAGACCAGTATCTCTCCTGGACAGTTTAGTGTTTATACTAGTTCCTCTCCTGGACAGTTTGGTGTCTAGACCAGTACCTCTCCTGGACAGTCTGTTGTCTAGACCAGTACCTCTCCTGGACAGTTTGGTGTCTAGACCAGTACCTCTCCTGGACAGTCTGGTGTCTAGACCAGTACCTCTCCTGGACAGTTTGGTGTCTATACCAGTACCTCTCCTGGACAGTATGGTGTCTATACCAGTACCTCTCCTGGAGAGTATGATGTCCAGACCAATACCTCCACTAAACAATCTGGTGTCTAGACCAATACCTCTCTTGGGGATTATTTTAAGTACATCATACCTCTCCTGGACAGCCTTGTGTCTGGATCAGTATCAACAAAAAGCTTCATGTGGAACATGTCTCTGATTTCCTTTAAGTAGAACACAAGGATACCCTCAAATAGAACTACATCTGCAGGGTATATGGTCTGATAGTCTTCCTCTCTGCAAACAAAAGTTTCATTATTATACACTGAACTTAAATATATCAAATTTTATATACTGTGACTGTACTTAATTTTGTGCTACAAAAATAAGATCATCCCTAAAATATGTATGTAATGCAAAATGTAGATTTCGAGATAGCAGTAATACCAAATATTTCTATCTTCATAAATACAATAAAATTTGAAGATTTTATATTCAGAATTTCAAACATAAGTCTATCATATACTGTCATCAAATAAATCTATTAATAAAAATGTTAGGCTATAAGTAAGTTATAAAGTTTTTCAGTATGCATGTAAATAATTGCACATTGATAGTGTTACCTGCTATTTCTGACATAGTTGTAGTTTGGTATCTGTATTGTCCTTCCTTTCAAAACGTCTCTCACGGTTTTTAGCATGAATTCAAGATCAAATGCATCTGGAAAGAGAAACATCTAAAATATTACACCTACCAACAAATCCTAAAGCTTTTATAGAAATAATGACTGTCTTTATTGGTGCTTGGTCTCAGAGTTGTTCACTGCATTGAATGTCTAAAACTACAACAGCAGGTAGTAATTCATTCACAATTTTTCATGAATAATTTTAAGTAAAATGAGGTAAAATTACAACAATTTAAATGAAGCACATTTCCCCTAAATGAAGCACATTTCCCCAATTCCTGATTAGAAATGTAAGTGAACAGGTTGTACTGACAATCCTGATGGTCATATGTAATATCCTTGTAAATAGTAACAAATGCTTTTAAATGGCTGCTGAGTCTCTAAGGACAGTCTAGAGAATATGGTGCTCATGATGCAGATTTCAATAAATAATAATTAAGATAACTACAAAGTACAAGAAAATAGCTTTTATTAAAATGTACCTCATTGTAATGTATTACAAAGTGCAAGAGTGGCATGTTTACACAAAGAAATAATGAATTCATAGTTTACTTTAAATATGTGTACCTCTGGTAATTATAGATGAACCACTTATCTTAAAGTACACTCTTTAGCTTTCTGTAAATGTAATTGTGAAATCATAAACCTGCTTGATTTTTACTATGTACTTTCAAAACATGAATTTAAGAATTTTCATGAAGCATTCAAATGAATGATTTATGTACCATTTGAATCTGTGACATATAAAATTTCTTAATAATTTTCAGGTTTCAAGAAGCGTAGATGTTTATGGGCTATGATATCTTCAACCAAAAGATTACCTGGGTGATCAAAGTTGAACTCGCCACGGAGAGCCTTTTTCTTCTCATCCTCATTGAGGGTTCTGTAAAAGGCATCCTGACTTATAATAGCAACTTGTCTCTGATTATCATCCACCTCTGTCTGACCAAGCTGTTGCATTATCTTAGCACAAACTGATGACTGGAACACATAAGCACAAGTTTTTCAGGTCTAAAAGATTTCAACTGTATGTAAAGTTGTCTAGGCAGTAATCCAGACAAAATACTCTAATTTCTAAATAATAGTTAGGTTTGGGATTTCATAGATGTACATACTAACACAATCTTTACAAGCTATATGTACATGTATTACCGATCATGGCAAGTTACTTTATATAAAGATGTGATTTATTAAGTGTCTGTAAAAATCTTTCCATTGGTTATCAGATTGGATATATCTGATATTATCAACAAACTGGTTGCGAATATCTCCTCATTTGCATTTTTAAGATGAAACTTTATCTATCATTACAATACAATTAAAGCAACACCTTGCAACATTTTGTAGATCAGAACTACACATGAATTCTAACACATACCATATACAAAAGAAGAAATGGCATATGTTTCAATTGTGCACAAGATTTATATTGTACAAATGGTGCAAGTGAGGTTGAACATTTATGTGATACCACATGCAATATCTTATTTATTTCAGAGACCACATACAATATGGTTGAGAATGTCTTGAATGATGAAGTCCCAAAGCATAATATAAGCCCAACTAAAAGGATTCAAAATGGCAGATAAAATGTCTTTATTACAGTTAGCAACAATGATCACAACCTGTAAAACTTAACATAGCTAGGGAACAGCTTCAGTTTATATTTGCATGAGTAGGGCTTGAACTTTCCGCCCAAAACATACAATCCTATTTCAAAGCCATGCACAGGTTGGGAACACTACTGTATTTGCAATGACACTCTGGAACTCGAAGACATCCTCTCATTTCTGATAAAAAAATCCTCTGGACTCAGAAACATTCCATTACAGGCACAGGTCAAAATCTGTGATAAAGCTCTTTTCAAAATCATGAGGAAAAAAGAGCAAATTCTCTTTCACTGGTTAGAGATATGTGCATTAAGTAACAAAGGGAGGCAGAAATCCTCAAATGCGGCTTAGATTTTATACTAAATCATACCGCATGTTCCTCGGCCATTGATTTCAGTAAGAGAAAACTCTGTTTTAAGAGTGTGATTCAAGGGCCAGAAAAAAGTAAACACTTAAATATCACAGTGGGAAATAAGAAAATCAATGTATCTTGGAAAACGAGAGGATATTGTAAATCTGATATAAGTCAGCTTTTTATTGTAGTCATAGTGCTGAGCTGATAGTAAGTTCTGGGTACTGCCAGAACAACATTGCTGCTGTAGGCTTACAGTATTAACACAACTTTCTTAGTGTTATTCAAAACCACCCGAGCATGCCGTGGAATGTGACCTTGGGAAACAAAATGTATATCTAAATTAATGCTAATGTATTATGACACCTTTCCTGAGGCTGTTCCACCTGCTACGCCTATCATGAATGGCCTTGGTATTCTGTCCATTCCGTTTATCATCTGATGAATGGACGAATCGTTCCCACCACGCAGAGTCGCCATCACGAGTGCGTTTTTGTTTGTTGCGCACTTCTTGAAAATTCTGTGCAGTCTTCTGATCATCACGGAAAAAGGCCTATACAATCGCCTCTAAGATCTGTTGCTATATATTTCACTCACAGTTAGATTATAGATAACTACAAAAATCTCACGCAATCACTAAACACGTGGTTTTTGTGTACATTTTACGACAATAAGTTTTGATCTATTCTGCTTTGCGGTAACTGGCTTTGGACGGACGGATTAAAGTAGCTAGTGCACCGTTTTATTGGGTTGATTTATAGATCGTAATATTTATTTTCCAGTTAAAATTTTTAACTTAACACACCGTTCGCCACTGAGCGGTTCACATGTGCTCGCCTTATTTTGTCAAAAAGTTACCAAAAGCTTCCATTCCTTACGTTAGTTGCTAGATTAAATTAGTTAAATTATTATATGCAGCACTGAGGTGAACAACCCTCAATCCATGCGTAGGTTTGGTTATTAAGATTTAATAAGACCAGGGATGTGGCTATAAGAGATGGACATTACTTATATGTTCAGCATTGAGTGTCGTATCTGGAAATGGTTCAGGGGAATAGGTGTGCAGGGTATTTACAGGTGACATGCATGCCCTCACCCGTGCAGATCAGAACACTTTTTTCCCCACATTCCATACATACCACAGCAACAAGCAAGCGACTGGTCAACCCTGATCACAACTCACTAAATGTATGCAGTCCAGGCATGGATATATATATATTTACAGATAATATATATATATAGGCGTCATTACTAATATATATAGTGAAAATGTGATATATATATTCACTGGATTACATATATATGAGAGCATGTAAAACAATGCAGAGAGTTAACGAGCTAGTCATGACGTGAAGATCAGAAATGTTAACCAGGTTCGTGTTTTGTTTATTTTCATTTCTCCGTTTCCTTTCTCACCGCTCCCAAACAAGTGTATGTGTGTTGTGGTGTACCGTTGGTGGTGGCGGGAGGGGATAGCGGAGTAGGAGTGGGATTATCTTCTATCGACAAAGACTATAAGCACAACTCGATCCTCCTATATCGTGTAAAATAGATTTCATGGAAACTAGGTACAGAAAGATTTTTTAAAAATCAAACAGCATAGATGTGATGTTCTAGCACAGATTGTGATATTCAACACGATACACTTTTCATCACATACACGCGACACCTGTATTTAACTGCCACTTGGAAATAAACCATGTATTAATCCGATTATGCGGTATTTCAGGAGCCAATGCCAGAGCAAGCAAGCATAATTTCTAAAAAACTAAGAAAGTAATTGTACCCACTGACACTATTTTTAAAGGCAGAAACCGAAAACACAGATTTTTCTCCCCCATGTGGTCTTTTTTGATGATGCTGTTAGAGTTACCTCCCTTAAACCAGAGCTAATAACTGAAAAAAAGAAACCGCAGTTGAACAATGTTGATGTTGAATGAATATATGTACGTATGATGATTTCAGTTTTAATGTATCGGTTATATATACAATGTACCTATTTTAATACTAAACACAGGGACTGTATATGTATTATAGTAACAGTAATTCACTTATATGGACCATAGGTTGGGAATTCGTGCCAAATCCGTGTGGTACCGAGTATCTCGTTTTGGTAGACAAACTACACAAGGTAAATATATCCTACATTTTTCAGACTTTATACTTCATGACATGAGCAATACATTACGGATATCTGTTCTTAATTTTTTACAGCAGATAGCACGTAATGATTGAATGTAAAGCAGTGCATAAAGTACACTTATCATTTGATCTAATGAATGCGAATTAAGTCTGAGAAAACTATGGGTCGAAACGTTTGAACCCCTAGCATCCTCCGATTTTATTTCTATCCAATGCCACAAATGATAGTGTGTCTGTCAATTTCAATAAATCTGGAACGTAAGTTATATTCAGCCGATACACATGATATTGATTTTTAAGTAGATAGAAACACGTATGAATAATTTATTAGACATTTTGTAGGACAACTCCTCTGTAACATCCATTATACAGAACTGCGAAGGTACGCTGAAGAGATAGATAGTCTGATCGATATACAAATGTATTCACCTCTTGTCATTTTTTTTATAGAAAATGATTTAATCTTATAATAATCTATTTTAAGGCAACCAACAAAGTTTTATGCATCAAAGATAAAAAAAAAAAAAAAAAAACATTTATCAAATTTCACTACCATTCCTAGCACTATCAAATCAGAGTTTCTAGTGTTATTATGAAACCCTTTACTCGACAGGTAAAAGTTTTTGACCAATCTTGTAACAACTTTTTTCCGAAAACATTCCTTTCATAAAAAACCATTTGATTTTTCGACTTTGTATACTCCCTTACCCCATTCCAACCCGAAGGAATGCCTTCATTCTGTGGTTAAGAGAAATTTCACCTCAAAGTACATGCGTATGGTTGTGAACTATACTGGTGTGCCTTTCGTGAAAAAGTATATCTAGAGCCGCGAATCCAACAAGAACAACTTTCCAATAAGATCTATAGGAAGCTTGGTAATATTTGGTTTATTTCCCTATTGAGAGTTTTCTGTTGCGAGAAAGTAATCAAGATTTTCGTGTAAGATGTCGACAGTTCAACAACACAGGAGGCTGGGAGATGCAAGTTGATGAAGTCTAGTGGGAAATTTATGGTCTCATTGTGAAATATTTCATTTGAACGTGTGATATAAAATTTAATGTCAGATTTAGGAACGTGAAATTTTTCCTTCGATTAACAAAATTTACATGAAGGGTGTCTTTAATGTCGTCAAATATGTTTACCCTTCCGGAACACATGGATTTATTAACCTTTCATGGTTCTTTTGCCTTCGATTTATCGATTTCATGTTTGGACATGTTGACATGACTTCATCCTGTTGTTGGCACAGAACATGGACATGTTTGCTGGTCGTCTTCATTTCTTAAGGAAACATTTTATTGCCTTGTACGATTTGAAGTTCGAAGCGTTCAGTTCTCGTTAGCCTGTGTGATGACGTATTTTCCCAGTACGTTGTGTGAGAATGTAACAGTAACACGTACTAGGATTGATCTAGGTCTACATGTCGAATGTGATATATCATTATCTATCTGAAGCACTAGACACACTACGGTTAAAATAATACATATTTATATAACAATTCCTACTCAAGTAGGACTCCATGAAACTTAGATATACTGTTTGACCACCATCTAATCTAAAATGTCGGACAATATTCAATATTAACTGCTCGCAGTTCAAATTAAATTTGTCTCTAGAGTAACTTAATCCATCATCCCATGGAATAGACAAATACAAGATTCAATGCTTAGATAAAATGATTCTTCATTAATGTTTATCACGTAGTAATAACAACAGACCGAAGTTTTCAAATTAATTCATCGTTTTTGCTACGTCAGTCAGAAATTGATTTTGGTGTCATTGCATGGACAATGAAGTTAGGAATTTGACTTCAACCCCCTTCGTAACTAGACTCCGACCTGACCTTAATTTCAAGTTACATCATGACCGCCTAACCCCAAAGTATTCATAGACAAAAGTATAACCAATTGGAGATAGCCAGCTGAAGGCCAATGTTTGCACCCATCCTTTAATATCTTGCGTGGATATATATAGCTTGTTTAAGTAGTATATTAATAGCATTTGACACTGTCAAATTACAGCTTGGTAAAGTCTTCATTTCTCTAATAGTGTCTAAACTAGAAGGACCAAGCAAGAAAACCGATAAGTCTCCAGTCTGATAAAAATACGCGATTTATATGTAAACTGCATTCAACATGAACAAAATATCCCTTCAGAAGATAAAACTAAAATTGACTCTGTGGAATGTTTGATGTGGGTTGTTTTAGACAATTAGATATCGACAAATTTGGTAAACAATATAATGTAATATGTACATACACGTGTCAGTAATGCTTAGTTTTTCGACGATAACATCGAGTGTAGAATGTTTGTAGTTTGTGAACAGAGTAACCAGAAAACCACATACATGTACATCTATCGCAGTAAACAATGTCTGCCAGGATCATACGAGGACGAGTGTGAACAGGGTAACCAGAAAACCACATACATGTACATCTATCGTAGTAAACAATGTCTGCCAGGATCATACGAGGACGAGTGTGAACAGGGTAACCAGAAAACCACATACATGTACATCTATCGTAGTAAACAATGTCTGCCAGGATCATACGAGGACGAGTGTGAACAGGGGCAATATAAGTGGGAGGTAGGAATGAAAGAAAAAATACCTGTTAGCGACAGTTCTATATTATTAACCTAATGAAATTTAAAAATCTTCCTTCCAAATGAATAAGACAGTACCCTCAATCACCATTCTTTTTATTCTAATGGATTTTCAGTTTCTATGTACATGTGCACATAATTATTGAAGATTTGAAAGTGTCGACTCATTGTTGCCAATTTCTCAGGCTATGTTGTTACCAGTGGTGACTACGAATCATCAATGGGTGTCTTAGTTTATCATCATTGGGTGTCTTAGTTTATCATCATGGGGTGTCTTAGTTTATCATCATTGGGTGTCTTAGTTTATCATCATTGGGTGTCTTAGTTTATCATCATTGGGTGTCTTAGTTTATCATCATTGGGTGTCTTAGTTTATCATCATTGGGTGTCTTAGTTTATCATCATGGGGTGTCTTAGTTTATCATCATTGGGTGTCTTAGTTTATCATCATGGAGTGTCTTAGTTTATCATCATTGGGTGTCTTATTTTATCATCATGGGGTGTCTTAGTTTATCATCATGGGGTGTCTTAGTTTATCATCATTGGGTGTCTTAGTTTATCATCATAGGGTGTCTAAGTTTATCATCATGCGGTGTCTTAGTTTATCATCATAGGATGTCTTAGTTTATAATCAATGGGTGTCTTAGTTTATCATCATAGGGTGTCTTAGTTTATCATCATGGGATGTCTTAGTTTATCATCATTGGGTGAGTTTATCATCATTGGGTGTCTTAGTTTATCATCAATGGGAGTCTAAGGTTATCATAATGGGGTGTCTTAGTTTATCATCATTGGGTTTATCATCATTGGGGTGTCTTAGTATTATCATCATCATTGGGTGTCTTAGTTTATCATCATAGGGTGTCTAAGTTTATCATCATGGGGTGTCTAAGTTTATCATCATGCGGTGTCTTAGTTTATCATCATAGGATGTCTTAGTTTATCATCAATGGGTGTCTTAGTTTATCATCATAGGGTGTCTTAGTTTATCATCATGGGATGTCTTAGTTTATCATCATTGGGTGTCTTAGTTTATCATCATTGGGTGTCTAAGTTTATCATCATGGGGTGTCTTAGTTTATCATCATTGGGTGTCTTAGTTTATCGTCATTGGGTGTCTTAGTTTATCATCATTGGGTGTCTTAGTTTATCGTCATTGGGTGTCTTAGTTTATCATCATTGGGTGTCTTAGTTTATCATCATTGAGTGTCTTAGTTTTTAGTATACTTTTGTACTGTGCTGCCATCTTCTTCAACAATGAGGTTACCAAATAATGTAATTTTATATGTACATATTACAAAGGCGTATTACTTCTCCATTACGATAAAAACAAATAACACTAAATTCATTTTAAAGAACGAATTGAGATGTGTCTTTGTTTTGTAATACCGAATAACCATCATACCTCCACCTATTCAGCGATAAACCGATTATTGGTTACTTATGCATGAAATATTTCCTGAGAATAAAATTTTTAATATTCAATCTTTAAATAAATTTATGCTATAACTCAGTTCAATTTGTTAATTCAATTCGTTATTCTTCGAGAACTTTACAGCAGATGAAAGTCCAAGTATATAAATGTTTCGAGGTATAACAACTAGCTGTGTTGTCTTCTGTACATTTAATGGATCAGAAGTTTCAGTGTCAAGTTTTCCCATCGAAAACCTTCTCGTCAAGATAGAATCATTATTCTGATCATTATTCAATGTAAATGTTTTAATATATAGGCGTCTGGCCTTAGAGACTTGAAAATAAATTATTTCAATATACATAAAAATAGTCATAAACAATTGTTTCAGATAGAAAACACATATTGATTGAATTATGAACATGTTTATGTCGTCCAGAAGGTAGAGTATCATTGAATGTGAAGTATTGCATCGCTTGTAAAGTGTATCAGTCGCTTGTTCGTGACACAAATATTTTGCTTTAGGAAACGGTATTTTTTTTAATACGTGTTAATCACGTAGCTAAGGTACAGCCCCGTATCATGTTTGTCATCATGAAGAGTTTTTCGCCATCATCGAGATCAGGTGATCTGCAGAGAAGGAAAATAAATATATTTCGTTAAGATAATCACTATTATTACTAGGAATATCCGTTTCATATATTTGTTAATTCAAACATATTGTATTGATAATACATCAATCATTTATCTAGCAAGAAATATAAACGAGAAAAAGGCAACAAGATACATGTTATCTTCCTAAGTAATGCCTCGTACCGTTTAATCTCAAAACTGTTCCTAAATATTGGAAATCTGTTTACCTGCGATATGGTTCAGTCCAAGATGTTTCAAGCACTTGACAAGTTTACGGATGCCGTATCCATTTTGCTTTTGTTTCCAGAGAGACAACATCCCACGACATTTCAATACATCGTCAGTGTTTTCAGTGTTGATTGTCTGGATTTCTGAGTCATTCATGTCTAGCATACTAGCGATGTCCTTCCATCTGGACACCACATGGCCGCTCTTACAGACCGATAAGATTACTGTCTCCATCTTGTTATCTGGAATTCGATTGATAATGAATTAGTAATGTCTCTTCCCACATCAACATAATACACTATAATGTACATGAAAGAGAAAATTTCAAATCCAGAAATCATATTCGATAGGTATAAGTATTTACTAGGATTTAAGCCCAAAAGAATGGCAGTGTTTCATTTGCAATAGACATTGAACCTACCCAGAGGTCACGTTTAGTTCATTCCAATAGTGGCACGGTTCATAGTATATAGATATACACTTGCCATTTTTCTAAAATTTACAGATATGTGAATAATTGAATTATAGGGATAGTGCACATCCTCATTTAGATTTTGATATTTCTTCTCATCACTTTAATTTTTCTCTGTCACCTTCTAGGCTTCAAGCTTTAACACCAATGGTAAATCCTAGAGGGACGAAACAGCTGTATGGTGCAGCTTACTTTATTGCCTCTCCTGTTTCTACCTAAATTTGTATCAATAGGTGCTATTCACTTTTGTGCTTAAAAAAAAATTAAAAAAAAACAAAAAAAAAAAAAAAAAAAAAAAAAAACAAATTGTACTCAACCTCTTGCATTTCTGGCCTGTTCTCTTCTGTACCGTTTGCTGCTCTCCCTCAGGGCGTCTGCTAGATCATCTCTGCCACTGTTACGTAGGGCTAGGATTAAGGCGGATGTCTGGTGCATATGAGGTAAATAATTAATTTTGAGAAAATGACAACAATGTATCCTTCAAATAATTTAAAAAAAGAAATTAATCATGAGGTAAATTATTACACAGACATTGACCTAGACAAAACATCTTTGTTATACCCTCACTTTACAGACACGTTATCAATATATTATTAGTTAGATGTAGAAGACTGTTTTCTTAAGGTTAAAATATTCCCCAGGAGCGTACTGTACCTAATGGCCAAACAATAGAGACATATTTGGGAACACACACGGACAACGACAGCTCTATCTAAATATTTATTATTTCAATTATACCTTATTTTGCTTACACCTATTGAACGCACCAATCAAACAGGAGGTTGTGTTTTGAGCCGTTATTACACTCGGATATTTTACTGATTATGAAAAAAAAACCCAGATATCAGAGTAGAGCTTTCTATGTAAAAGCTATCTCCTCTAGTCTGATGTTAACCTTTCATTACATTGCGTTTACAATGCATGCTATGTCTCCAAACAGAAATAGTTTATTAACATGCAAAGCAAATTGTGACTGTTACATGTACTGGACAACATTGACAAACAGTACTGAAGAACTCTTTGATGATGGTGATTACATTTTTGCACGTTACCATGCCACATCATATTCCTAAGTCATGTATATGGTTTCTAATTGGTAAAAATTAGTAAATTAATATAAAATAAGCAGTACCTTTTCTTTTCCGAACAATGACCGTTTGAACCATGTCATAAGGATATCTCTCGCCAGCTCTTTGTGCTTTCCCTTATGCTGCTGTTTGATTGATTGTATTCGTGGATGGTCGATATCTAGACTGTTTGCCAGTCTCAGCCATCCTTCACCAATCGCCTGTGCAAGGTTTTCGAGAAATTCCGGCGTTATGGACCCTACATAATGAAAAACTAAGACTGAATACTAATTTAGTACCACATCAAGTATTGACAGGACTACATTCACCGAGTTTAGATAGTTTTGGTAACCATCACTGAATGGCTTAAAAGGTGGCATCATAATTCCTAAAGTTTGCGCTGTGAAGCCAATAGTAAAATTCTTATTGAACCAATTAGTTGATGAAGTGTTTGTGTTTTATTAATGTTGAGAGGAAATCAAATGTGTAATGGCACTGGGCCATGTCAGTAAATTTGAATGAAGGAGTGTATGGACCATATAACTCGTATCACAAGTCCTTATAAAACTAATCACTTATTTACATAGGTACAGAGATTAATGACACTGAAAATGCTCACGTGTATAACAGAATAATGCATGGCGTTGATCGTAAGGAGTTTTTGCAATCACTGAGTGTTAGACTTTGTATGTAATGATGAATATATATATATATTTCTTCTTTATTTCGGTAACATATACGCAAGTGCTATTCAATGTATTCACATTTTTATTGACTGATCAAAGGGAATTTTACAAACCAACGGTTTTACTGCTGATAGAACATTTGGCTGTAAATGTTAGTCGGTAGAGCGTAACCTCAGGTGAAAAGCCAATGACTCTCCCTAATCTTACCGGTTTGTGTTTCTCACGAAGCTGAGAACCGGACCGGTCTCTGCTGACAGTCGTGTCCTTGATCAAGACACTACACTTTACCCAAATCACTCTGGATGACAGGCGAGGGGCCCCGCGTATGTTGTTCAGAGAGGTAGTAACCAAACACTACAAGAAGACCCCACCCAAACATATCCTGACGATACACTCAATAATAGAAAAAAACAGACACTCATTCCCAATGAACAGATATATCTCACCTTCACATCTAACACTGACCGGAGCTCGAACTACTTTTGTGGAAAGCTTCAGTGCTGGCTTTGGCAGAGAGATAGGCATTTCAGTGACAAGATCCCAGAATGTTTTATTATCCACATCCAAGCGCTGACAGTCGAATGGAAGCTTCGCCTTCCATACAAATATTTGGAGAAAACCACAGAACGAAGAGAGTGACCTCTGAGAATACCGATCCACAATGTCGATCGTCCATGCTGTATGGATGCCATGAACACCATAGTAGCGGAATATAATGCGATGATTAGAAATAGACGAAATATTACCACGAAAACATAAACACAGTGTATCACCTTCCTTCAGTTTCACGGCCTTCGTTCTAATAATATTGTCTGTCTCTAGTCGCATCATTTGGCGGGAGTTAATGTTCGTTACCTGGTCACATGACAGGGCAAGTTCATTAAGGCACTTTTTGTTGTGAGCCACGCATATCTGTACATTTTGATATTCGATGTTGTTAAGAAGTCGAGGAACTATATCTTGTATCACTTTCGGCGGTAACTCTTCCGTAACTTCAAGGACAACCGAACTGAATGGATGTTATGAAAGAAACATAAGTGACAAGTGAATAAAACATATAGAAGAAGGATTCCAGTTTGGCTGTTCTGCGTCCATTCTATGATAAACGTAAATTTCTACTAGTATTAACATGAACATCATCTGCACATCTTTGATATAACATGAGAATCTAATTTTCGAGTTTAAAAGACTTTGCACATGAATAAATGCAGTTTTTATATCTATAGAATAGAACCTCTTATTACACAACACGTAGAAGTTTCCATGACTACACATCACCTGCATCATCGACAACCGTAAAGCATACTAGCACTGACGTATTTAGTGTAAATATGATACAAAAGGCACACAAGGTAATTAACGACGCCTTTTAATACAAGGTGTAATAAGTAATAAGGAATCTACGTTTTTGGCTGTACTATACTCCTATGTCTAGATGATAAAGACATTACAGGAGAAAGTGCACAAGATGTTAACAATGTACTGTAGCCTCGACTACGCTTTGTTGAACACACAAATGTATGAGAGTCTGTGGCCCCATCGTCCCTGTGTAGTACTGGTCCGCTTTGGTGTATCCAGATGGTCTTCTTGACCAGTCGGCTGAAGAGGTCATTTTCCATATTGTTTGGAATGATCTGTAAGTGCCGATTGACTGATCTGGCCATTTGTTTGATGAAGGTGACCTTGTAGTCATCGAAACTTCACACTCTAATCTTCTACTGGTTGTGGTATAAGAACTTTTATTCAATTAACATTAACACCCCAAAGAAAATGTTCTAAAATAGAATTTTTTCATGATTTCTTCTAATTCGTGTATGTTTTGTAGTTAGTATGACAGAAGTTTGAAATCTATAATATAAAACAAATGATGCTGACATTAACTCACAAAACCAAAATGTTTACGTGAACTGCACTGTACATTTGCTGAAACTATTCTTTCTAGATTTAAAGTATCTAAATCAAACTATATTCTATTTTATGAAAGACATATAAATGATTCAATGAACAATCAACATACGTGCTTGATTTCTCATGTACGGAAAATGCCACTTGATCATCAACTGTGACATCATCAGAGGTCAACATCTTGACCTTGGTGGCCATACCAGACGCAAATCGAACAAGTCGATATTCTTTTTCTTGACTGGGCTCTGTAAAACCATAAGCTGACATATCAACAGGCCAGTTTTTACTAGAAAACTTGCATATGACCAAAGGAGAGAAAATTCAAGGTGTAAACCATGAATGAACACGTGCCCAAATGAACTAAAGATTGGTGCCATTACGTCTTCAACCTATTACTTGTGAGTACCTGATTTACATTTAAGAAACATTTTGTCATGACAGGCACCCAGTTTTTTCTGAAATTACCTCGATGATAGGAAGCCACCTTTTCTAAAATGACGTAAACATGTTGTAAACTTGCATACCCACGAACTTGCCGAAAGTCGAGCCTTTCCTGCTAATCTGTGCTCCTCTAGACATTGACCTGTATCCAGAGTCAGGTGTACCAAGACACGAAGATGCACGCTTACTGCCAGTCGTAGGACGAGAGGAAACTGGAGGTCGGGTACACGGCAGGTGCATGTATATCGTCTGGGGATGGTCATCAAAGAACTTCAGAGTTACTATAGCACCGGCATTGTAAAGCTTCTGTCTGTCAGTGTCGAACATCATCTTTGTCTCTTCTAATATTCTGGGTAGTACAGGCATAACCTTACAAGTAAGAAACATATAATATCATATAGCAATTATGAGTTTATATTAAATCATTGTTCCTAGAATAGAATGTTCTCCGTAAATACTCGTACAAGTAGAATCTCAAGGCTTTTTGTCTGATTTCTTTGATGAAGTAGGTGGAGATTTGACAACATGCCAATCGTTAAGTTTTGTATTGATATTTGATAGTGAGTATAATCAAATGAGTGGGATGTGTGATTCATTTAAAAGGCACCAATTTGTTTAATCTGATTAATTAAGATATAAATGTCGTAAGACCATCGTGTTGAAAAAGATTGATTATAAACTATGTAACTTTATAAACTTATGTAATCTCGGATCTATATGGTTTTATTGCGGATGTGTAATATTGAGAACAGACATGTTATTATTGTACATGTATGTAGATAGCATCATTCAATACAAATTTCTTTCGAGAGAGAGAGAGAGAGAGAGAGAGAGAGAGAGAGAGAGAGAAATCGAAAAAAATGTTTTGGAACTCTGAGAGACGAAGACATGCAGGTGTATATCTGGAGTAGCATCGTCAAATTATTACCGAAGTTTAAAAAATGGCACATTTTTAGTTAAATCTGGTATGTCTGAATGCGCTACATAATTGTTACGCGAAAATACCTTGAGTTCAACGTGCACGTTTTTAGAGTTGATTCTTGCACTGACGGGACAGGTAAGGATAATGTCACTGTCTATGGTTGAATGGAACCTTGTCATCTTGTCTGTGAAAATAATGTCATCCACGATTGGCATGGCAACTACCACACATGTTGTTGGTCCAGTAAATTTTGCCATCAACACATACAGGTTCTGTAATAAACATAAAATCTAATTGATATTAGATCTATATCTGCCTCAATGAATTTGTAGTGTACAGAGACTCTATCTGGAGACTCTGTAGCTATATTTGTATTAGTATTATCATTATGATAATATTTTTGAATGGATGGATGATTATTTTTCTCATACACACTACCACCTTGTATACAATATTGTTGACGTGACGTTCTAGTTATGAAAGTCATCCCACATTTACTGGTTAACCGTAAGGCCAGATATAGAAATCTCACAAAGGAATGAATAATACCGTGCAGGTATTGTAACCTCTAATGTGAGATATCTTTATAAACAATGTATATACCAAAAGTTTGCGTCAGATTAAAAAGTTACAAAGTTTTCATTTCTCACTCACAAAAAGACGATGTTTAGACAAATAGTTTGTGGTGAGTACTACCGAATGGCTGAACTAAGAATTTGAGTATATGATATTGGCACAGTGTACATTGTATCATCAAAGTCAGAAACCATTCTTATATTGCAATAGCGGTGGAGTAAGGATACAATCATCACGAAATCTCCTTATTATGTTAATTTGTAAGGCTTAGTGTTTACATTACATACCAACTGAACCAATGAACGCCACCATCATGCTGTCTAATTCCTTACCGAATCATCGTCCCGATGATACAAAGTTTCTCGGCATGGAAAATCACTCCATCGGTCTTTTGAGTCTAACACGCGTAGTACGGGTTCTTGATAGTAGTACATCTCATCCTTCGTGAACGGTATTGCCACCGTGATTTCGTCCTTTAACAGAAACTATTGCGTTATATGTGACATACTAGTAGTTTGATTCTGTAGAAACAATAATGATCCTTAATTCTGATCAAATCAATCATCTTATCCAAACTTTGAAATATCCGCGATATCAATATACAATGTATATGTTTATCATGATTTTCTACAGATCCTAGTGCATTAAGTCACTGTATTTCATGTCAGAGCCCACACAATTATAGTTGATATACTTCTATGCTTTCAGTCTACATATGTGAAGATTTGCCGTAACCTGCATGCCATGTTTCAATTCATCCGAAATGTGACACGGTTCAGAATATATACATGTATTTGACGTTGTTCTAAAATTATCTGATATGTTTAAATAACGAAATTGATCTAATTATGGGGCTGTTGTACCTCCCCGTCAAGATTTTAAATTCTATTTCGATCAATATGGATTTCCCCCGGTCGCCTCCTAGGTTTCATAGGTTTCAAGAAAGTTTACCCTGATTGAGCATCTATTCCAGTTCATCGCCTTAGACGGTCTAAATAGGTGCATTCGGAGTCACCGTGTCTAAATATAGAACACGTACGTCAGGAAAGTAATGTGTTTACCGGGGGCGTCGCTGGCAATATCGATATTACTTTTTTATATTTGACTTTTACAATCCTGAAAATACACTGAACACTGAGATGATATTCTTCCTTGTCTTCAACACTATCAAGTAGGACTTTATGTCTCTAGCTGCATCGGCTGCATTCATAATCACCAAAGACATTTTGGCCAGTAATTGCGGAATGTATATGAACATGAAAAGTAAAATTAAAGAACATTCACGACTAAGTTTATTAGAAATATATTTTGAAATATGAAGAAATATCATGATGTCAGTAGCTGAGATCGAACTCAAGACCCAATAAAAATTCGACTAACGTGGGAGTAACGGATGTAGAACTCGTCGAATTTTATTTATAAAAGTTGTCAAAATTGCATTTTCAGTCGAGAAAACTCCCATGTTTTAGTGCATATTGTTTCATGTAGCAACTTTGGCGATCTGTAAAAATAACTCATGACACTTATCAAAGACATTTTTGTTCTGATAATTGGTATTTGGATATATCTAACTGAAATTGACTTTTCTAATTCAACAAAAAATAGAACATTATCTTTATAATTTTATTGTTGGTCATATTTTGGTAGAATCAGGTAGTCACACGCCCAACCTCTTTAGGCCCTTAGAATCACTGACGAGTCCTAGAAGGACGAAAAAGTAGTTTGATGCAGTTCAATTATTTTTATTGGCTCAACTGTATCTAACTCTAAATTTGTGTTAAAATGTGCTATTCACTTGTGTGTCTTTTGTACAATCTTCCTAACATCTTACTTCGTCTTCCTCGCCAGTTAGGATCTCGCTTGGAACTATATGGAGAATGTTACTGACGACATTTTCGTAGATATTGACCACTGACGGAACATCGGCTGGATAGACAAGACTGCAGTGTGCTGGGTCCGATGTGTCCATTTCCGTGTAGACAACACACCCCACCACCGACCTTCCATTAAAGTCCTCCACAAGTAAACTGTAACAGTAACAGTGATCTATGTAGGAAATGTTTACAGTTTTCGAACATATGCATACATAGATTTATGTATATCTGGTAAAATCGTTGTGAACATCAAATGTATTGATGTACAGCATCGAAAAGAGTTATCTTTCCCATAAACGCCAAACAGACCATAGGCGATATCTTGTATAAGCTGTTTTTAAAATGGCAGCAGATACTCTACTATACATACATGTATGTAGTTCCTAACACGTCATATCTGATTTAAGAAAATTAAGAAATAATGGAATACCCATTTTAATGACTCACGTTTACCTCAATACAGCAGTGTTACATGTACAAATGCGTATCAAGCAATATGTAATTCTTCAAATAAAAATAAAAACAAGTTCGGTATAACTACAGCATTAGGAAATAAAGAACAATCCATATACTGACATTTTATATCTACGGATTTGATTGACACCTTACACATATCGTTAGAACAGTAGCTAGATCAATTGAACTGTCATTTTAAACCGGAAGCAGTAGATGGCGCCAGTTGGATATTATTGACGACGTCTTGCCAACAAAATAGTTAAAGGAGACATATATATCTATATTGCTGCTTTTATTTTTACTGTTTAACAAATATACAATGTGATATTACATCTATGATATCTCACGTGTCTCGTTTAGGGATTTAGGGATTTTGGGATTTAAACAAACATCATGTATCTACAAGAAAGTGGTTAGTTAGCTTTTCCGAGGTCTTTGTTGGTTACTATTATATGTATGGCACCCTAAACACGCTAATACGTTTGTACGGATACTTACACCACATCATTCAGGTTAGAGTAGGTACTAGTCCAGTCCAGTGAACTGATACTGTCTGAAAATGACATTCAATAACACATTATTGGCAATAGGATAAATAAACAATGTGACGCCATGAAATAGAATTACATCGACATGACAATAGTCATTCTTTTTATAAAGTATATTGTTACACCTCTAAAGTGAAGTATGAAATTCCAGATGTTTGTTACAGAACAATGGTTACAGGTCAGCATCTCGATGTAGACTGCTTTTGTCACAGCTCATTGCTGTTTGGTACTTCCCGGTCATTGCACAACAATTTTCAGCATTAAACAAGTTGGCAGATTACATAAAAGTGAAACACTCCGCATTGCATTGATTTATTCCCAATAATGATGCCGTCCTATCATTTATATTTATCTATAATTTATTTGTTTAGACATCAGTCGTAGAAGGTATGACAAAACATTTGTAGACTGGATTTTCGGTCAACATGTGTTATGTTGAACCAGAAGACTAAACGTTTGCCCGAGGCCTTCTGTCTGTTTCGAAGGTTCAAAATAACACATGTTGACCTCAAATCCAGTCAACAAATGTATACTGTCTATCGGGTATATGTTATCTTCTTTTATAAAACACTCGTCCAATTCTGTTAACTAAAGGGAAGGAAACGTGGTGTTATCGAATGAGATTTGTAAGCTCGCTGTTTTTTAAGAGTGAAGGTGGTTTTAAATGTAATAGTGACAACTTTTTATATAATTTTCACTGACGAAACAGCAGTATGATGCAGTTTATTTCATTGTTTCGCGCTACCGTGTTAATTCAAAACATGCATTGAAAGTTGTCATTTACTGGTGTGGTTATTGCACAACCACCATAAACACTTTAGTCTTATTGTCTTCTATATTTTAGTTAAACACACTTAAGGTTTAACATATCGCAAGAAGGGTATTGGAATGAGTTAGTCATAGTGAAAAAATATTTACTTATACCCTGTAGACTGTAAACAATCATTGACTAACATGCATTGCATGGCGTCCTGTATGTTTCAAATTATAATAACTTTAACTGAGTTTCAAGAGAAAACATGAGCAGAAGTTAAATATATAAAAACAAAAAAATCCCTAATCTAGCATGGCAATGGTTAGGGAAGGTCAAACCGAGTAAATAAAGTGTTCTCTAATAATGCTTACACTGCTATTAAAGAATGATATGAAGGACAAGTTATGCACGAAATCATTAACGTTTGTTTTTTTTACTGGCGGACATATTGTGTTGTCTTTCAGAAAGTATTTTTTTTAGAAATAAAACTTTGCAGAGAAAGGGGACCATTGCTAAAATACTACATTTTCCTTATCAAATTTACCAAATGAATTTTTTTCTGTTTTTCATTCAATTGTACGACAAATACATCAAAATGAAACCTTGATTCGTTATAAGCTATATTTCTGTTTTAAAGTTCCAAAAGACTGGATATAGAGTACATCTGATATGTTGAGCCATAATTAGAAAGTTATTAGTAATTAGAAATCGAAGTTTTGAGAATTTTTCGCAATTTGATACTTTCTATACATGTACTTTCTATACCTTTCCTTGAGTACTTTTCCTCGTCAGGTGACTGATCGATGTTGCCACTCAGGCGTGATGGTATTTTGTCATTGACATCAGTTTGATGGTTGAGGACTAATGTCTCTTTAGTTGACTTTTCAGTTGATCTTTCATCGCTGTCATCATCATCATTTTCCTCGACTTTTCTGTCACATGAAACCTCATCGCCATCGAAATGCACACTATTCTCATTTTCTTCATTTGTACAAGACTCGTTTCTCTGTTCTGTTGCCATGTTACTGTGACTATCATCGTCTGAGTTTTGTTTTTCATCCTCTTGACCAATGTCCATACTTGATAACCGACGAATTGTTGCGATCTCCTCCTGTTCCTGAATACTGTTAGAGTCCTGGTTCTCTGTTTCTTCATTAGATTCAATGTTTTCCTCGGTTGATGTTGTCTCCGACTGACAATGGGGCGACTCATCATCTGCACTCATCTCAGCTGTGTGCTCTGTAGCAGTATCTGAATTGTCATGATCTTCTTTCTTTTCTTTGTCGTTTTCTGAATGTAATGCTCTTGACACACTTTTGTCTGGATGTTCTTTTGTGACGGAAGAGTCTACTCTTACACAGGCTGCCACTACCTGTCGCATTAGTCGTAATTCTTTGTACACGTCCTTCATGGTAAGTTTTTTCTGTCGATGGTTAAGTTCATCTTTGTTGTTTTCTTCCCTTTTCTCACTTTCCTTTATGGTATCGAATTTGGGTTCTTTTGATGACACAAGTTCAGACAAGTTTCTGTCAAGTTTTGTCCGTCGGATCAATCGATCCTTCATGGTACTGAGAGCTTCTGAGAACTGTTTTTCTCGTGCCATGTCGCCAATATTGTTGTAACTGTCGGTACAAAATATTGCTCGTCTACGATAACGCCTTGCCTTGGAATGCTTCCATGTTTCCTCAATATAATCTGATTCCTCTTTGATAGGGGTTTGCTCCGTTTCCGGCTCCAGTTTTGACTCCGGTTCTGGTTCCGGTTCCGGTTCCGGTTCCGGATCTATATATATCGTTGAATCTATGGTTGATAGTTGCCTTCTATCTAGCTGACCTGAGCTTGAACTAGGTTGTTGATCTGCAAGAATATTAAGAAATTCAAAATAATGATGAATATTCTTTTTATGTCTTATAGTGTATTCGGAAATCAATCTTGGTCTTGTTGCTGAATATATACAGCCTGTGTTGAAAAGCTAGTAAAAACCTAAACTTTGCTTACGACAGTTACTAGACACTTTATGCTGTTGCTTTTAATATTAGGTTTATAAATCAGTCAGAAAAACGCGAATTTGTGTGTCGCGCATATAATTTGAGATAAAATCACAGGAAATATTTCAATGTCCTAACGCATGTTGGTGGTAAATCAAAAAGGGTAATAGATATGTGATATAGATATGAATCACTTTATAGATCTTATTTTTGGAACGTTTTTTTTTTTAATTTTTTTAACGAGTAGTTGAAAACTAAAATATAACTTTTAAAGTAAATAGAGTAAAAGATAGTGTCTTAAAGTGTTGCTTGAGCGGAGGTCTCATTACTAGTATCGATAATATACTGAATTCTATGCTTCAATAAAACTGCCAGCACAACACTTTTATTAAAATGCATATCATGTTTGTTTAAAACAAACAGGAAACAATTCAATCAACTGATATAAATCGATTCTGTCGGATCAATTGTTGGAATGCAATGGTTTTTATATGGTTTAGGTGGGTGAACTGGTAATATTTGGTTACCGTCAGGATGGTTTTGTTCGCTCCCATGACTTGTTATATCCACTGTTTTAACGTGTGCATGGTGAATCGTGATATTTTCGGAATCAACCATTATAGATTTACATTCGATGTTCGGCATGTCACTGTAGTTTTGCATTCTCGATACTATGTTCCGGTCATGGTGAGCTTCACAATCCCCGTCACCCTTTCCGCTTAAGGAAGACGTAATCTGTCTGTCGCTTTCATTTGTTGAACACTCGTCGTTACCAGTTCCATTCCCGTGAATCATAACATTAACTTCTATGTTTTGTTGTTGTCCCTCATTGCTGTCATGGAATCTTTTTTGATCGTCCACTGGCTGTTGGTGATTCTCCAGGTCGGCCATTATAGTAGAGAATTATCGCGATTAATCACTGAAAAAGGGAAAGCATTGTTATATTGTAAAAATCTAATTCATTGTCAAGTATAAAAAACGACAAAAAAATCAATCACTATTCACAACCATAATCGAATCCCCGAAACACATGCGAATAACACTAATGGCGATATGTAGAGCAACATATGGGTACAAATCCAAAGCATCATCCCTATGGCAATTAAACAGTTAAAGGCAACGAACCTGATCTTTTGATCTTCAGTTAGTTAAAATGCGAATGACTTCAGAGATAAGCATTCCAATACAGATGCTATAATACATTTAAACATATTTACTTGAATCAATGCCATTAGGAATTATTCTATGCTCGAAAAGAAGGAACATTGGTTATTCTGGATGCCGTTAAGGCCGCATGGATCATTCGTTATTGGTGAATATGTTTGTTGTAGTGTATTGGTTAGCTATCGTTCAAATTAGAGTATGTGGAAGGCATGTTGTCAATGCCTGTTACTGCTTCATTTACCTGCTTTAAAACCACGTGGCTATTGTTAATATCAGAAAGAATAGATAAGAAACAAGGAGTGGTATTTTGTAATCTGTATCCTACCCCCTAACAGTCAAACGTATGAACGCAATATGTTACTGTTATGCTTTTCAAACCATTTATCATATGTAACGTCTCCAAGCCTTCCATTGTAAACTCAGCGGCTGTTACAAATAGACAAATATTTCGGACATAACACATGTCTGATATCATGTCGTATTCAGAGTGAATTTGTTGTGGTATTACGGTTCTTTCCATATGTAATCGTATGATTTTTATTTGAACTTTCGTCAGTGTACTTTGCCGACTATATACATGGGCGTTCACATACCAGTAAAAGCGAGCTTTCATTATCGTGGATCAATCATTCTAGACACTTCAGTATATGTACTTTGAAGACACATGAGTTGATCTTACATTTAACCGTTTCCGATGATATTGAATGTTCTCCATATTTTGGTAGCAGCAAACTTCTTTTTTAATGAAGGATGTCGCTTTACCTACACATTTAATTGAGGTACCCCCAAGGTTATGGTTTTATCCTGGGAAGGAGTAAGTTCAATGATGTTTTCAACAAAGCCGTTCAATTTCAAATTTTAATTTTCATTTTATTTTTTTTTAATTTGTCAACTGGTGTTTGCCGCAGATCATGCGTTTTAATGTTATATTGAAGAAGCTTTGTATAATCTCTTTTGTAGTTATTAGAGTGAACACACTTATGAACAATGTGAAAAGTTTTGACAAAAGACATGAATAATTAACAAAGGGAAAAAAGATATAATCAATGATTAATAACTATCTATTGTTTGGATTAAATACAGAATTATTTCCAACAGATTGTTAAAACATTTATAGATAAAGATAGAATAAACATGTATACATGGAACTTGATATTTCTATTTGAATTCGGCGCATTAGTAAATTTCCTATTTAACCTGACACTTTTTATTCCTCTCCACCTAACACCAGTAGATAACTTTATTGACATAAGCTCCTCAATTTGTCAGTTCCTTTTAGTACCACAATGATACCAGAACGTTAATATCAAAGTAAATATGTGAAATCGCTGGCATTGCAAACTAAGTGCCTGTCAAACACGAACAACAGTATTTAAATAACAAACATTAAGTTTAAATAACAGTTGGTAAACCCCCCAACACTAAATGAAGAAGAATGACAGTTACAAAACCCTCGGTCGTTGCTGGGAATGAATGTTTTCTCTCTGGACTGAAACACACTTAAAAAGAAATATATCGAATTTTCTGGTCATATTTATTTGGTTAATGACTATATAAAAGAAGATTGCATAAATGCTGCTCTCCAGTCCCTATGATATCGCACATGCTGTGTCCCAGTATGACTATAGGACACGGTGGTAAGTGAGCCAGGAGTTAGCTGGATTATGATACTTACACAGAAAATTGAACGTGAGTAGATATACTGTATAAGATTTGGATTCCAGTAGGATTGTAATAGTTATATACACATATAACCTAAGATAGATACATATACAATCATAACACCAGAGATACAATGTATATATATAGATATACATTGGAAACTAGAGTTATTGTCGACCGACACTTATTCAAATTATGGTTATGAAAATTTCAAATATACAAAAAGGTAAAAAGGGTTTATTTGTATATGTTTTAGTGGAAACAAGGTAATCAGCTAGATATATATATTTCCTATGAACTATACAGTATTGTATTCGATATAATCATTATATATGACTAAAACTGGACTTCTTTAATATTAGCTTGACTACAATGAAAAGATTTACTTCTTATTTACTGCACACCGAGTAGACAAAATCTGATTGTGTTTCACTGATGACATTATTAAATTATTATAATCAAACGTGTCTAAACAATGAATATATTTTGCTGAAATCTAACTTAAATTCAACATTTTATAAAAAGACCAACATCACAGCAATGTTGACGACAAGAATTGAGTAGTAATTCATAAAACAAACCTTTATTTATTTTACATCAATTGAGGGTGAAGTTTTTCCAACTTATATATATTTCTTGACGGCCCGTAATGGGGGCGGACGAGTGGTCTTACTGTAGGAGGAAACTTTAATAGCCGGGATAAACCCACGTGATCGGGCAGGTGACCCCCATACCTTTTCACGCTCATTCTGGGAATCGAACCACGGACGGTTAGGTGAAAGGCGAGTGCGTTATCACTGCGCAACCCGACTATCCCATTTTATCGAATGCATTATACACCCAAAGCAACGGGGATCAATTGATTCATTTGTTCAAGAAAAAATCCCAAGGAGTTAGATATAACATGTACACGATATTTGCTTTCCTCGTAACATATTGAATGTTGAATCCCTTTGAAAACCTCGCCGGGTTTTTTTTATATATGAAAGAATACGGACAACGTTCTGTGCACATAGAGTTTATAGGTAAACCTGTTCTAGTAGCTGCGTATGATTTGATATATAAAAAACTATTATAAATGTGTCCGAAGCATGAGGGTTCATTGTGTTAAATTTTAATTTCAATTTTCAAACGCAATCCAAACTTCATGCATATACGCATTATACATTTTCTAATTTAATCATCTTGCATTTCACTCTGCCAATTTAATGAAGAGAATTTGAATAGGCTTTGTTCTGTATGCAGTCTTGTCAATCAACTGTCACTGAAATGAAGTGCAAGCGATCAACATCTCAGTCAAACATAGGCTGTTCTATAGACAAGAAATAATAACACGCAAATAATTTTCTTCATCGAAAAAATAACCAGGTAATCTTATTATTCATAAAAGAAAAATTCATTGCCATTGTACCAACTCATTTGGTAGGTGACTCATACATCGGGGTATAATGGTATTTAATCGGTGAATATACATGGATCTAAGAACGAATGATATTGTAATATTTGTCATTGACATAAATCTATTGTTATGTCATTTCTTGATTTGACACCTTTTAAGAAATTGATTTTAATATATCACAGACAATCAAAACGTTCCTTCAATTATCACACATTATATTTATATTTATATCACACATTAAAAACCTCCATTACGTTTCAGAAACCAATATTGATGGGTTTATACATTTGGCACTAAACAGTTGTTGTATAGTGAAAGCATCCTGTTCTTTTCGCGTTTAATTATTTGTGATAAATTCCTCAGTATGTATTTCCTGAATATCAAATTGCAAATACAGTCTCTTGTTACTTCTCTGAATATCACGTGTTGAATCCGGTCCGTAAATACGGTATAGTATACCTACTAATGAAGTTTGTCAGCGTTCATTGGCGATAATACTCTGTATAGGTAAATTGAGCTTTTCCACTAACTATATAGATACTCGGTCTGCTGATCATTCTACGTAATACAGGTAGTAGTGAATTAGCAGAGGACAACAGCAAACACAATATCTACAGTCTGTAGTTAGTTTTCTCCATTATGATGAACAGTGCGTTTTACAATAGCGTATAGGGGGAGCATTATAACTGAATAGAATATACATAATACAGTCATTTACATTTTAATTAGTTTAGTGTAAAGACTAGTGATAAGAGCTCAGTGATCACTGAGTAAAACAGATCAATGTATGATAAACACATAATATTTATTTACACAAATATTTAACACGCGATGTGGTGTAAATCACATAAGATAACAAATTTGGTAAATCGAAAGTCCTTTCAACACTTTTGTTGTATGCACAACCATTAATATATTTTGAAACCACCAGCCGCGTGTTTCATATTTATACTTAAACATTTGCAGAAAGATCAGGTTAAGAGCACAGAGCTTTGTTCAGGCAGTTGTTGTTCAAAGGCTTTTACCGACCTATATCACTGTAAGTATATATACATGTAAACTTCATACATTACGAACAACGGCAAAGAAACCTAAGATTTTGACAACTGACTCTATATGATCACTATATATACATATACAACTCCAGGTTACCTATTTATGCAGCAAACAGAACGATAAACATTTGAGGATATCCCTGTGAAACCCCGGGAAGAATCTGTATATATTTCTTAATGAATTATAATTGCTAAGGTAAGTGGATGATTTCGCACGTGTCGTTTAATGTTTAAACACTTAATATACTGTTGTAGTGGGTATGTTCAAGTTATTTTAAATTCGTAAATGAGTGTTAATCTAGTCATGGGAAATTATACGAATATCTTGTTATAAAGATCATTCCGTTAACCTATGTCATGGCATGCTTCATATCACCTATATCGGAACTTGGCAGATATTAACATATCTGTGTAATGTTGACACACCTGTTGAATTCTAATCAGACAGGTAGAATTCTAATCTATGTATTGATCTATAATCTACATGTGGTATCATATCACATATAGTTATCTATACACAGTGACAATTACCGGTAGTGTAAACCAATGATAATAGCATCGAATGAATGTGAACTAATTATATAGTGTATGCCATCATTATTGCATGAGAGAGAAAAAAAGAAGATTACAAATCAGACATCGGCGGAAGCATCAGTAATTAAAATGTAACCCCTCTATATGCATGATCGATATATACACAGACGTGTAAGTATGTATGAAATGTATCTCGTCATAGATACGATATTAATTCAAAATCTTCATTGGTAACATTTCAATACTAATAAGAACTATTTAAAAATAATAATGGAATATATGAATATGTCCTCTTGTATGGAGGAGCATTTGTGCATTGGCGCATTAAAGTTAAGGTTGATACTGACGAAAGTGTCATATGAATTAGATTAATCATGGCTAAAATGAGATCTAGCGTATTCCTAAGAAGTCTTTAAATTAATCTTATTGTAAATTGATATCTAAATTCACAAGGGAAATGAACCTGACAAAGGCATTATTTTTACCTTAGCAACAAAGGCCTGACAATAACATTCCAAACAGTGCATGATGAGTCGTAAAATTTATTTCTAAATAAACTAGAAATGGAATTCTTTTATTGGTGATCTGTGTATTGACTGTTTGTATTGTGATTTAGCGGCACATTGTTGTTTTCATTATCTTATAGGATCTCGCTAGACATTGCATGGTTAGTTTAACGGCTCCATATTTCAATAATGTATGAACCATTTCATTTAAGTTTGGATTTATATAAGCTTTCAAAAGCTGAATAAGCTTCGTAAAAATAATTGGTCCAGGGAAAGTGTCAAGTAGAAACTCACTCATAAATAAGTTCATACCTGTGTTATTGATCGTTTGTATAACACTGAGTACGTTTAAAATCCTTTGTGACATTTCGTATTTCAAATATTTTCTTTTGTATTAAAACCGAACAAGGCCTTTAATTGTATTGGTACTTATGATAATCATCTTGACAGATAAAGGAGAAAAATATTTGTTTTTAACTGTTGGATGGCTTCAATTTTCCTTTTTTGAAATTATATTTGTAAATTTAAGCATGTCCTTAACGATACTAAACAGTGCATAGTTTTCTGAGTCATACAGGAACTATTTTTGTGTTAGCATGGTAACCCAGCTCAAAGACTGCAGCTTGTTTTTGTTGTACATATCAGATAAACAAAAAACAACAGAGAAAAGTAATGACACCCATATCAATTAATGTTGTTGTATAATATATAAATCTGAATGATATTAACTTCTGTCTATTTGTACAACAAAGGTGGGGTACAGATTTCTGAGTCATACAGGAACTATTTTGATACATGAAAATCGCTAGCCCCTCATGCTGAATTTTAATACATGAGAATGTTGGCACGTGCTCGTGCATTTGACGTTGTTCTGTATTGAAATTTTTAAGCTTAAAATAGTTACGGGATTAGTATACCTCTCTATTTCTTCCCTCAAAAAATGGTTTTGGCTAATATTGATTTTCCAAAGCCTCCCAAAATTTAGTCACTAGCGTCAATTACATTTTGTAAAAACAAAAAAGCCCAAAAATTCTAATTCTAAATTTACATTGAATGGTGCTATTCCCTTGTGTGTCCTCTGTAACTGTTTGTTTTTCCTTCCTCACAAAATGTTGAAATACAGACAGGTACATACAGATATTTCAGAATGAATAATTCATATAACATTTGATATGCCAGTGTTCATATTTAAATTGTAAGCATTATTTTCGTCAATATTCTAGTGAAAATTGATGCTGTACGTGTCGATAAAAATTCCAGTAAATCAGAATACAATTAGCTGGTGAGCTACATACACATCTGACCTTGCGAAAAGGTCACACTGTTAATATGATAAAAAAAGACAGATCTATATATTATTTAATGATCAAGGCCGTGTGACTGTCACTCACCACACAGTGGGTGTGGAAATCCAGTTTAATTAAGGTATGCTGACATAGATTCGCGTGACTGTTCTCGATAAAAAGAAATAGCCAAGTATCAACCTGCCAAGGTAGAAGTTATACCTGTATACAGCGCAACTATAATTATGTGAGAAAGTGAAACTAGATATGTGTGTTAATACGTACAAATTCTTCCCGAAGATTTACACAGGATCATGTAGGATCTATTTCTGGTTACCCCGAGTCCTTACAGAGTTAGTCATGTGGTAGTAGTGTGTTTATTCATCCTTTAGTCTTGTTGCCTCGTTATATGATTATTCACTTGATGTTACACTGATTTTGGATCGCTAATGACTTCAGCATTTGTAGCGTAATCCTTTACATTTATTGATTATTGTTATATATCTTAATTGAAGAACCAACAAATGAATAAAGAGCAAAATGAATAATTGAATTTTTTTATGCATTGAAGGGTTAAGTTTACACTGAACAGTCTTTATGAAAATGCAATTAATTGATGAGCCTATTCCGAAATATAACAAAAATAAAAACGACTCTCGAAATAGGCGGATTGGGAAGTCGATTCGTTGAATACATACTTTATATTTGAATCTTGTTTTTTTCCTTCCGAAATTACGATTTTTTGATGAATCATGTAAGAAGTTATTAGGATTTTTTTAAGTTCATTTATCATTTTAAGGCGTGTTATTGATATTAATTTTCGCTTTGATTTTCATAAGATTGCGCAAATCTTAGTGTATAGGGAAGAAACGACATTGATCATTCATCCCATGAAGGAAACACTTTGGGAATATTAGGGTTTGCTTGACAGGAAACACAACCTTTACTAGCTTTTGGATCAGCCTTACACGCACACACCTACTTTACTTCAAACACTAATGATAAAAAGAAATACTTGATATATCTGTAAATCCAAGCCATTTTCACATAAATATCATCCATACACATTTGATGCTTAATATTTTCGTTTATTTCAGATTGCAAAAGTATGACGTAGTAAGGCGGATAGACTTACACAGTGATATATCATTAGACATGGAGACTACTCAAATTAGAGGGTTTGAAATATCAGTCAGAACTAGGTATCTCATCTGATACCAGACTGTGTATATTATAACAATGGTACTAGAACAATGACTGGTTACGTTAATTCTCCGGCCAAGCCTATCACTATACAACATCGTCTTTACATCATCAACAAGGCGGGGACTGGGGAGGCTCACTACATAATCCTCACTCCGGACCATTCTGACATCCTGTCGTACAATGTCAAAACTGACCACTGGAAGGTCACTAAAGATATCTGTAACTTCGGTGTTGCCGAGGTTGACAACCTGCTTTATATATTCGGAGGGTACAACAAAAAATCTGCCAGACATCTCGATGCATGTTTCAGGTAAAGTCACATAAATATACCTATCCATCACATGATACAGTGTTACAACAACGCACAGAGTTTGTTGATTTTTAAGACAAATTTTTTTCATGAAAATATATATTACTGTATTTCACAGTTTAGATAAATGTCACAAATCTTAAAGTTTCTTTGCGAATATATATATTTTCCCCCCAGAAGCTTTATGATTTGTGTGATTTATCTAAACATTGAAAGACTGTAATATACTGTATATATATATATATATATATATATATACATATAAAAGATGTTATTCTCTTTTGAACAATCTTTGAGATTGCTGGGGTAGTCACTGCTGGTGGACTCTTCGTCCCCTAGGTTTGCTGTATGCAAACATTTTAATTCACTCGAATATTGGTATGGTTATGAATATACACATGAATTTGACGTATTCTAAAATTATCTGTTATATGAAAATTACGATTTTTTAAAAAAAAATATGGGGTATGTACACCTCTTTATCTATATATGTTTTGTCTTTCTTTTGATCACTTTGGATTTTGCTCTGTTGCCTCCTATTTTAAAATATAGACCCTCAGTACCACTTACCAGTCCTAGAAGGACGAAACAGCTGTATGATACAATTAGATTCATTGCTCTGCTCTATTGCATCTTATTTGTACAATCCTCATCAATTCATGAAATTAATATCGACAAAAGTATGATGTCTCCAAGCAAATCTATAAAACGGAATGTATTGATGTTGAAATCAATTCTATACATACGTGAAATTATACACGAGTAGTTCAATTTATAAAACTTAATTACATGAAAGTGTAGTTAATAATTAAATTTGGTACCAGGCAAAACGTTCGATACATCGAGAAACTATAATCATCGAATTTTGATTAATAGAAGTTTATATTTATATATAATTTGTTATTATGTAACTTTCCATATTTTAGAAAACTGGTTGCTTTGTAAATCATTTTAGGCTTTTAAGTATTATCCAGCTACAACTCTTATTAGATCAGAAATGTTCTATCATATGTCATCTATATTTCATGATTCGAGAGACTGAAGCCTGTCTTACATTTTATAAACAACCCAATTTTCTCACAATGTGTATCCATTGATAACATGGCTGTACTCTATTACATTACAGATACAACCCATTTGAGGGTATGTGGTCTGTATTACCCTCTATGCCAAGACCACGTGCGAAGTTTTCTACGAATGTACTTAAAGGAAAGATAATAGTTACAGGTACGTATGTACCAATTAAAGTATGTATAGTACACCACTATCATATCAACATTATTAAATAACATCATGAAGAATAACTTTAGGATATGTAACTGAAAACGAACGACGTCATGAAGTGTATATTTTGGAAATGTAACTGAAAACGAACGACGTCATGAAGTGTATATTTGGGAAATGTAACTGAAAACGAACGACGTCATGAAGTGTATATTTGGGAAATGTAACTGAAAACGAACGACGTCATGAAGTGTATATTTGGGAAATGTAACTGAAAACGAACGACGTCATGAAGTGTATATTTGGGAAATGTAACTGAAAACGAACGACGTCATGAAGTGTATATTTGGGAAATGTAACTGAAAACGAACGACGTCATGAAGTGTATATTTGGGAAATGTAACTGAAAACGAACGACGTCATGAAGTGTATATTTGGGAAATGTAACTGAAAACGAACGACGTCATGAAATGTATATTTGGGAAATGTAACTGAAAACGAACGACGTCATGAAGTGTATATTTGGGAAATGTAACTGAAAACGAACGACGTCATGAAGTGTATATTTGGGAAATGTAACTGAAAACGAACGACGTCATGAAATGTATATTTGGGAAATGTAACAGAAAACGAACGACGTCATGAAGTGTATATTTGGGAAATGTAACTGAAAACGAACGACGTCATGAAGTGTATATTTGGGAAATGTAACAGAAAACGAACGACGTCATGAAGTGTATATTTGGGAAATGTAACTGAAAACGAACGACGTCATGAAGTGTATATTTGGGAAATGTAACTGAAAACGAACGACGTCATGAAGTGTATATTTGGGAAATGTAACTGAAAACGAACGACGTCATGAAGTGTATATTTGGGAAATGTAACTGAAAACGAACGACGTCATGAAGTGTATATTTGGGAAATGTAACTGAAAACGAACGACGTCATGAAGTGTATATTTGGGAAATGTAACTGAAAACGAACGACGTCATGAAGTGTATATTTGGGAAATGTAACTGAAAACGAACGACGTCATGAAGTGTATATTTGGGAAATGTAACTGAAAACGAACGACGTCATGAAGTGTATATTTGGGAAATGTAACTGAAAACGAACGACGTCATGAAGTGTATATTTGGGAAATGTAACTGAAAACGAACGACGTCATGAAGTGTATATTTGGGAAATGTAACTGAAAACGAACGACGTCATGAAGTGTATATTTGGGAAATGTAACTGAAAACGAACGACGTCATGAAGTGTATATTTGGGAAATGTAACTGAAAACGAACGACGTCATGAAATGTATATTTGGGAAATGTAACAGAAAACGAACGACGTCATGAAGTGTATATTTGGGAAATGTAACTGAAAACGAACGACGTCATGAAGTGTATATTTGGGAAATGTAACTGAAAACGAACGACGTCATGAAGTGTATATTTGGGAAATGTAACTGAAAACGAACGACGTCATGAAGTGTATATTTGGGAAATGTAACCGAAAACGAACGACGTCATGAAGTGTATATTTGGGAAATGTAACTGAAAACGAACGACGTCATGAAGTGTATATTTGGGAAATGTAACTGAAAACGAACGACGTCATGAAGTGTATATTTGGGAAATGTAACTGAAAACGAACGACGTCATGAAGTGTATATTTGGGAAATGTAACAGAAAACGAACGACGTCATGAAATGTATATTTGGGATATGTAACTAAATTGGCATCATGAAGTGTACATTTGGGATATGTAACTGAACCCGAACGACATCGTGAAGAGTATATTTCGGTTATGTAACTGATATAAAGTGTATATATTTGAACTAGTGACTGACAACGACATTGTGAAACTAATACTTGTTTTTTAAAGCATGAATAACAACTTCAATGAATCGATATATGTTATGTTGACATGTATTGTTTGCTGTGTGACTGACATTAACTAATGCATTATTGGTTCCAGTTTTTAATCGATAGAGTCGTGGCTTGATTTTAAGGGCGATTTTTTGTTGAAACGCGTTAAATATTCCTGACCTTTTTCGCAAGCAAGATGTCAAAATGGTTCGTCGGACAGTAGTCGTTCTACATATAACAATATGATCCATTTTTCATTTTTGCTTTTGTTTTCTAATCAACACAACGGTTAATTAATTTGTTTATTACTTATAGTGTATTGAGGTGAAAATGTTATGATTGTAAAGCACCAGCGTGTCGGCAGCATTGCTAACTAAATTGTTATCATGGTATTGATTTTCTTTGATTCTATTCTAAACATAGAATAGAAGAAACAGCGTGGTTATTCCGGTTAAGTAAATAAACGTAAAACAGAGCAATGACATGTCTCATTTCCTGTGTCTTCAAATTTCTTGTTCGACGCCGTTATAAGTCACAAAATATTTCTGATACTACTAATTAGATCGTGCTCATTTTCCAATAAGACATAATGAAGTACCAATATCACGCACACTTGTATCATAAAACGGATGATAACAACAATGTAAATGTGGATCTGACTGATTATGTCCCTTATATATTGGGCGAATTACTTTGACAGTCATGCAACCATCCCACTTAACGACATCACAACATAAAGGGTTTTAACGGGGCACAAGTGTCTGGTAACTACAGGCTGGTATCGACTTCATCACAAACACATTATATATTGATGTATTTTAACGCGATAATATTGTTTCCGAGTATTCTCATAGGAGTAATTAATTATGGACTTAAATTTGACTCTTAAAAGGTCCATTCAAGGTAAATATTACACAATAATCCATTAAAACAACATGACAACATAAACTTATTCGATGTCATGTTATCATTCATTTTGTTCGCTTTTTTACCAAACTATTTTTTGTTCCATTTAATTGATTTGCTTTTGTTCTGCAACATAATAGAGTGTCAGTGACCTGACATGGAGCATTAACATGACCTGACCCGCGAGTTCATCACAGATGTCAATTGACATATGCTTTGTATTTACAAATTGTTTGTTTGTTTTGTTTTCGCTTTCTTTTGTTGTTAAATAGCAATATAAACCCAAACAAATTGTTGCTACTGAAGTCGGTCATTAGCACTATTCTTATTCAGGTCAGAATGATTTCTAGTTCGTTGTTTAGACCAGGCAATCAGGCTATAAAGCGGCCTAGCTGTTTGTATAAATATTTAATACATTGTGATTACCCTAATCAGTGTGTTTTCAAAATAAAAGGTGCCTGTTTATTGTGCTATTGTTAGTACAAGAATCTATATCCAGTTCATTAAGGTCAGATGTCTTGACTATTCAATAGATGAGAAAATGTCAAAAATCACATCCTATAAAATACACAAAGCAACATATAATAGTTAGTGTAGTTTAGTTTAGTCAGATATCCCGATCAATATTGTTTAGTTAGTACCGTCCTCGTAGACTTAATCACAAGAGACGATATCATCTAATTAAATTTGAATATCAAGTACAACAAGATGTGATAAAATCTATCTGCTTCTTTAAACGTGAAGATAAATTTGACAAAGACATATGAATAACATGAAATGCTTGATATATTCAAATAAAATATAAAATCGGTGAACACTAATTTAACATAATAACCTGCATTGTAATAGCTCGAGATAGTCCTAGAGGATGCAGATGGCGTCATTAAAGATAGTGACAATTTTAGTTTTTAATTAATAAAGTTTCTAAAATGCAGTCAATAAGTAAAAATGTAATTAATAGAATCTAGAAAAGCAATCAAGATGTAAAACATAGAATCTAGAAAAACCGATCCAGATGTAAAGCATAGAATCTAGAAAAACCGATCCAGATGTAAAGCATAGAATCTAGAATAACAATCAAGATGTAAAACAGAATCTAGAAAAGCAATCCAAACGTAAAGCATAGAATCAGGAAAATCATCAAGGTGTAAAACTAAACTCGAGAGAAGCTATTAAGATATAAAACATTTTATATAATAGGTTTCATTTTTACACTCTTTTTGGTATTTCCAAAACACAAGAAAGAAATGAATGAATATTGATGAGAATGAAAAAAACATAAATAGATAAACATGACAAAATAATTCAACATCCGAAAGTACTAATTTGTTTAAATGATCGTTAAGACATCATTTGATTAATTATATACATGTACAGATATGAAGTCAAATCACCTGTTATCCATTTCTGGTTGACACTGCCCGTCCCCTTTCAACGGAGAGGTTTAGAAATAGCAACAAATAGCAGATAACTACAATGTCTAAATATCATCTTAACCATTATGCTTTAAGAAAGATTCACACAAAAAAGTAACTCTAAACTTTTTTCATCATGATGTTGAAGGAGGCGAGCTACCAGACGGACGCCAGTCAGTTATGTGTGATATGTATGATCCTGTAAAAAATACTTGGACAGAGTTACGTCCCTTGATATCGCCACGTTCAAACCACGCATGTGCTGTATTCAATGGTGAGATATACTGTGCTGGAGGCTGTAATGGGAACCAGTTTCATAATAATTTATGGTAGGTGAAATAATTCATATTTCATTTCAATATTGCATGTATCTAGATAATTAATAACACACTGATGAACATTCGCTCTTGATTTGTTTGCATTTATCTCAGGAACCAAAATAAACCTACGAATAATTGTGAAAATGTGTGAAAAGCAAATATGTAATCTACGAAAAACATTTTAAGGAAAAAGTGTGAAATATAAATTTGTGAAATTCTTTCATGCGTTCGCGTCAAACGAAACCTATTTATAATAATCAATACGACAACTACTAGCTGGCTCCTGAGAAAAGAATACCAATATGTCAACAGAGTCAGAATTCAAAAACGCAAACAATGAGGCCCATAACAAGTACAAGAATAATAAGACCAGGTGTGTGTGGTGGGTAAGCGTCTTCTACAACATTCCCAATGTAAGCATCCAAATAATGTTACATCAAAATGGATATAAGCTTCATAAAAAAAACAAGAAAAAACAAAAACAAGAACCACCCCCCTCCCATCCACACACACACACACAAAACAAAAAAACAAAACAAAAAAAAAATAATAATAGATTTACCTATCATATTGAGCATTGTAAGTATCCATATCTATTTAGCACAAGGTAATACAAAATCCTTCTCAAACCTACTAGGTGATGTGCATTCGTAATTTTGTATTTTTATAACGGGAACCGTGAATACACCATCTACTGCACACATAATGGAAATACAATGAATTTGGGACAATAAACTTTACTCTCTAGAAATGGAAAATTCACAATAGCAATATGAATCACCTCTTTATCATAAAAGTAAATGGCAAACGATTATTTTTGCCAGATTTTTGTTACATTTAATTAAAGTTAGCAGCATGTATAGCAAAAATCTGTCGGTGCCTGAATGTCAAGGTGAAAGTATGATAATAATCAATAAATGTTTTGATTTGTAAAGAAATGAATCACCAAGCATTTTAACATGAGACTGAAGGTGTTTGTTACCTGTTCTGATAAGCTAATTGAAGTTTGCTGCCTTAGGTGCCAACCAACATCACTCTTATTATGGTGTCTTAATCTCAGTATAATCTTTAGGTAAAGGAGGCAGGTATATACCATGAAAACTTGGAAACAACATCTGTCATACTGTGATATTAATTTATCAACATACCTTTATATATCACTGATCTATCGACATTCATGTGACATTGTTTTGTCGATGTGTCTATAAGATAGCTATAAATAATAAACACAGATATATTACCATTCCTTAGTAATGAATAATTTGTCTTGGTGATGCAGACGTAGATATTGATATGAGAGCTTTATTTGATATGGCTAGATTATTGTTTATGTGATAGAATCCCCTAAGACTTAGACGTGTGCTTGGTTATCTTATTGAAGTTGGCGTCATGGTGTTTATCTAAATATACACAACCAACGAATTGACGCATAATAAAGTCATTACCTGAAACAGTGTCGTCAGCAGACCTTATTGTTTGATATTGATTATATTTGGTAGGAACGAGTAGGTTTTTGAAGTGAACCGCCATATCTGAGAAAATTAACAAGGACAGCAACGAAAGAAGAATAATTTTAATAAAATACCTCTCCAATTTAGCACAAGATAACTATATCAGCACCAAATATTTTACTTTGTTTTGTTGTCAGAAGAAATAATTAATTGATAAAAAAATACCGAATAACTGGTAGTATTGAAAAGGTATTTGATTTCGCTGCATTTATAGTCATTAACAACTGTTCGAAATCAGAATACGACAACATTTTCTCTTTAGCAATAGATTCTCAAGTGGGGCATTAAAACTGGACTCTATAATGTGTGTGCTAATTGCATGCACACTTTGTTAAACACTTATGTCTCCAATGTGCCAAAGTTAAGATCAATGTTTAAGTTTTTCAAATGTAGGTCAAAGGTCACAGTCAAGGTCACATGGTCTGGAGTCTCCAGAAGGATCTTGTCACAAGGAACACTTGCCAAATATGAAAGTAATACCTCTTATGGTGCAATAGTTATGGCAAATGTATTTTTTCAAATGTAAGTCAAAGGTCATGGTCAAAATATTTTGGTACCATCGGAAAGGTCTTGTCACAAGTAAAACACATGCCAAATATGAAAGCTCTACCTATGCCCCCGGTTTTTCGATCCGCCTAATTTCTTTAAACATAGTACTGATTTTAGCCACCAAATAGCCGGTGACCTTAAATCACCGACATATACTCGAGGAAGAAGATGTTCTTTCAAGCATAATGACTGCAACCAAATTAAATATACAACGCCTTCTGTAACTTATATCATGTCATATTGTATCATGAGAAGGACTATTCTAGACACTATGTAAAACATCAACAATTTCTAATTCAACATTTTTCAAATTCTTAAACATTTGCTGCATCCTGTAACTTAGAATCTATACGGAAGCTACTTTGTGGCGAGTATATCAACAAAATCCTGCCTTACCTGAATTAGGTGTCCATATCCACCGTTCACTTTTATATACTTCCACAGAGTTCAACGTCTGTTTAGTACCGATTCTGTCTTTCATTATACATCGTCATGGTTGCTACGGACAGGTTCTATTCCCTTTGCAAATAAAACCATGAAATATGTGCAGTGTAACAAATCAATAAACATACAGAGAATGATTTTGTTGTAGTACAACCTCCCAAATTAGGATTGTTCCTTGTTGAATGTATTCTAAAACCTCCCGGATAAGAACTGTTTCTAATTGAAATAATACATTTTGTTCACAAAATCAGAATAAACTGATTAATGATGTTATGTAAGCAACAGGTTAATGGGTATACAGCACCTTCCGTCGGTTAATGTGGCACGACCTCGCTTGTCCGATCGCACAAACTAAATAACACGAGATCATTGAGACCTTACTTGGATAACCCTTACATTCCATTGTTGTATCACGATTGGTTCATGGCTCAGCGACTGGGTCATTTTTTTCATTTTCAGTTGATTTCACAGTCATAGTAACCACTACCGCGATATCAACTTACCTGTTGTATTCATAGGAAGAACATTACGATTGTACACATCAATAACAGAAAATTACACGCTTGTATCAAATACATTGCTTAATGATTTACGTCGCATAAATAATTAGTTTACAAGAGGAAATCAACCACAGGAACTGACTGATAGAATGCTGATGACATTAATATGCAGTAGTCTATCTTGTCTGCGGAGACACACTCACATTTTAGGAACACATCATTGATTGTTAATTTTACAGTAGTATTATGTTGACCACACACAAATGGGAATATTTGCTTGACTGTCATTGTATGTTTTCATTGGATGTGATAAGTGAAGAATGATATTGCTTTACACAGTCTAAAGATTGATATACTCGTGTAGCTTCATGGAAATAAGATACATTATTGCTTTATTTTACATCACAACATTTACCCTCAACACATTATATACATTTATCGATTTTAACTTATATAATTGTTATCAACTTCAACAACGGTGCAACGTTCTGTTACAAATAGATCAATCACATTAGTATATTAGGAAAAAAGTAAAACAAAATACCTACCCAATAACAGAAATTTAATCACACTGAAAGGTGAGGACCTGATGCTCAGGAAGAGTAGGCGTATTCTGCTTAATCGACGACAACCGCCTTGTAAATTTTTGTCGAGCATTGTCACAGTCCCAAATGATAACTGTATACAAAGGAACCTTTTATAACATTACATGGAAATCAGATATTAATCTCCAGTAATATGCAGAAGGTTTAATCATTTGCACTTAACATAGACAAGCATGTGCATTAAATATGACAGAATCCAGGCGTTAATGATATATTTGTTTTTAAAAATGAATATACAATTAACACATTCTCTACGACGTTAATTGGAACCGGTTTGATATCCTACTGTCACAATCATATTCGCATCAAAAGTTAAAAAAAAAGATTAAAGCCAGACGAATTTTAATATCTCTTAAAAAAATTGTGTTAGGCTGTAAAAGATAAAAACAGTCGTACCAGTTGAAATAAAATATTGTACTTTGTACTTTAGGTTTAGTCTGTGATTTCCATGGGGATTTCGTTGACCTCGCTGATGGTAGTATACCGTGGTTCATCAGGAGAAATGACGCGCATTAACAATTGAGCCGTTTGTTTTTTAAAGCAGCCCATTGATTCCTTCATCCCCATTGGTTAATTTCCTTGAACGTGTCTTATTTATTTATAAACTTTTCCTATAAACAACACATGAATACCACCATAAATGCCATAAGTAAATTCCCTTATAAGCTATGAAACAAGACGAAAATAGGAAGATGTTTACAGCTATAATCAGCGTAGTCATCATCATATTTTTCACCTGTCAAACTATCGGTTGCTTTTGAAATCTATTATTTGTGTTGGGTGTCAAACAGGATCCATATACATATACACTTCGTCTCAATGTAATAAAATAAAATTTCAAAGGTATGAAGTGATACCCAAAGTACTGTATAGGGCCAGGCTAATTTAAGAGATATCCAAAGTGCAGCTTGGGCCAGGCTGATATAAGACATATCCAAAGTGAGCTTGGGCCAGGCTGATGTAAGAATTATCCAAAGAATAGTATGGCGCCAGACTGATGTTAGAAATACTAGAAATACCCAAAGAACAGTATGGGGCCAGACTGATGTTAGAAACATCCAAAGACCAGTATGGGGCCAGACTGATGTAAGAAATATCCAAAGACCAGTATGGGGCCAGACTGATGTAAGAAATACCCAAAGATCAGTATGGGGCCAGACTGATGTAAGAAATATCTAAAGACCAGTATGGGGCCAGACTGATGTAAGAAACATCCAAAGAACAGTATGGGGCCAGACTGATGTAAGAAATACCCAAAGACCAGTATGGGGCCAGACTGATGTAAGAAATATCCAAATAACAGTATGGGGCCAGACTGATGTAAGAAACATCCAAAGACCAGTATGGGGCCAGACTGATGTAAGAAACATCCAAAGACCAGTATGGGGCCAGACTGATGT